GGTTCAAGTTGATTTGATTCTTCCCTTTTTTGCCCCGTGTCACTCCTCTCCCCACAGCCTGATCCGGCCACTTGATGGAGGACATCCCAGACTTCTATAACCTTCACTGAAGCACTGACGGCTTAAAGATTACAGTGACTGGCTCAGTCATTATTGTAAAAATCGGTCTGAGTTAAACCAAATAATAAATACCCTTAAGAGAAAAAAAAATGGGAAAACTGTTTTGTCACCGGTAATAAAATACATAAAGTATGTAAATGATTCCAATGGACTTTAGCAAACTCTCGCTTCTCCAGGGATCATGTTACCAGAGTAGAGAAAATCATACATTTATGAGACGAAAATCACCACCCACATGTGAACACATTAATGCCAAGCAAATGCATCTGTTTTCTGGACCCACACAATCATGAGAAGCCTGACAGGACTCAAGCAACAGCAAAGCACTGGGCAAGGGGTGCGGACTCCCGGATGAGAAAGTCTGGCAGCAAGTGAGTTCTAGAAGGAAACTGAAGGAAACTGAAGGAAAAGGGCCCACTTCATATGCCCTGGAGATCCCATTCTATTCCTAGCTGAGACTAAGAACAGACGACCACAGCAGAACCCATCCGTGTGGGGCCACATTCATCAAACAACCTAGAGATGTCTGAGGACCTAAAATGTGACGACTTCCACAATGTTTATGCTTTGGGATGGAGGCTGCAGAAGGGTAACTGTGTTCCCAAGTCATCACAAATACAAGTTTCCACTAAAATCCATTTTGTACCAAGTTCCAGCAGCCATCTGGGATGGTCTGTGCCTAGTGCTCTGCTGCTGGAATTACCCCCTAGAAACAGAGCACTTTATAGTCTTGTAAGCAAGTTTCTCAGGCAACAACACTCAGTTTCAGGGAGAAAGGTGATGGGTATTAGGCACTACAAAGAATATAACACGAATCGTAACTTTTTTTTTTTTCTAAATGTAATATAAAGCTACATCGCTCACACACTTTTTAAAAACATACACACAGATGTGGCATCTTTAGAAAATCCAATTACCTTAAATGGGAAAAAAATTTTACCATTAAGTTTGATAGTATTTCTTCAAATTTCAAGAAAATAGGTGCACTGATTGTAGTGTCCAGCCTGGCAAGTCAGGGTGTCGCCACCACTGGGAGCTCGTGAGACATGGGATCTCAGATCACTAATGCTACGGAAACCCTTCACCTGGGGTACACTGCTCAGGTAACTGTGCAGCTTTAAAAGACCCAATAACCGGTAGCCAGAGAGACTATCATCAACACTTGTTAAGGAACCTGTATGTATTCTGATGCGATGTTGTTGTAAACAAAGTAAAAGTAAGGAGCAAGGAGCTATTTTGTTTGTTTTGAGAACCTACTTCTACACAAAACTTTTGGACTTGCAAAAATATTTCTCTGCAATTTCCTACTCAGAGTGATGTGTAATTTTAAAAATATACTGCTGACTTAGCAATCAAATATGCATATCATTGTTCGACAAATGTAAGACTGAAGACTCAAATGAAGGCACTATGGGTATTTAAGAATAATAACTAAGTAGGGGCGCCTGGGTGGTTCAGTTGGTTCAGCTTCGGACCCTCGGTTTCAGCTCAGGTCCTGATCTCAGGGTGGTGAGGCTGAGCCCCATGTCAGGCTCCACGCTCTGCTTGGTGTCTGCTTAAGAATCTCTCTCCTTCTCCCTCTGCCCCTCATGCCTGTGCATGCTCTCTCTCTCAAATAAATTTTTTTTTTTAAGATTTTATTTATTTGTCAGACAGAGATAGCAGAAGCAGGGGAATGGTAGAGGCAGAGGGAGAAGCAGGCTCCTCACTGAATAAGGAACCTGATGTGGGACTCAATCCCAGGACCCTGGGATCATGACACAAGCCAAAGGCAGATGCTTAACTGACTGAGCCACCCAGGCATCCCTAAATTAAGAAATCTTAAAAAAATAACTAAGTAATATTTTAAAAGCCTGAGCTTTTTATGAGTAAATAATGTACTTTTATTACATAGCCTAAGCCAGACATTAATTTATGGGGATATATAGTCCACAAAACCACGAATACCAAAAGTCTTCAAATCATTAGTTTGATTTCAAAGCTCTTCTCAAAGCAATAGGGGGAAAAAAAATCACTAAAAATCAGAAATTTCAAAGCACCTAATTTGGTCTATGTTCCAGGATTTATTTCAAGTCTTTCGCAAATTGTAAATTATTTAAGATTTAAGTTTGATGCTTAAAAAACCTATTCTGCTCAGAAGACATATATTTGTACACTTGTTTTCTGTCTTAAGATTCCCCACTTCTCATTTTTATAGATCAAAACACAGATAAAGTTAATAATGAGGTGCTTTGTAAATCTTACCCCTGTCAGCAACCCCAACCGTTTTACTTCAACCTAGTAAATTAAGAGAACATAAGAGGGAAATCAAATAGTGCTGCTTTTCCTTCCCCAGTTCAACAAGTATAAATAACATAAAAACAAATCAAATTGGGTATTTGAATAAAACCTACATAGCTTCTTCCAATTACCTAAGTTACCCAGACACATGGAAACAATTACCTAAGTTACCCAGACAAATAAAAACCATGTAATTTAAAAATTGCAAGGTGTACAACTGTCTAAGCCTCCACAGTGAGCAGTTCTAAATTTAATCTTGGCCACTAGTCCAATGTAGGACACAGGGTAAACCTAGGTGGGGAAGTTCCCCTTAACAGTTCATGATTTGCTACACAACTTAAATGTCAAATCCCACCGAAACGTTTCTTGCAGCCCGAACAGCTACAGCCACTCTGCAGCGAGCCCTCTGACTGCAGGGACCTTAGCAGCCTGAGGCCGTTTCAGTAAACACAAGCAAATGGGATGGGGCGCTCATGCAGGCACAGTTTCTGAAAAGGCGGTATGCAGGACAAACAGAAGAGCTGCACGAAAGGATGTCAACAGTGAGAAGGATCATGAGTTAGAAGAACATGCTTTTATTTACCCTTTCTTCTTGTGTCGATAAGCCAGGATGCCTACAGATGCTGCAATAACAATACCTATAAGAAACCAGGAAAAAAGTAACATGTAACAGAACTGGGTGTCAAGATTCAAGATTTAGCAGCAGAAATAAGTAAGTGCTGGTTGCATTGCAGTCGTTATAAAATGTTATTTTACTTAAGCACCTATCTATTCATGTTCCCTCTGGACCCTCTTACTATCTAAGGCCCATTCCCTGGAGTCACTGGACTAGTCCACAGGAAGCCAGAGAAGAATCCTTGCTTCGTTTAGAAAATTACCCGAAGCATCTCTGGGACGCAAACTTGTGCCCAATCATCCTGAAAACACATGTAACGTTTAGGGTTTGTGACTAAGCGTACACGTACAGTATAAAAGACTACACATTCTCCAGCAAAACGCAGTGTATCATACCAAGGTCAGGCTGTCCTAGACTGGTGGACTTCATTTCAGGCTATATAACTATTGCAACCGAAAAGTTAAATTAAAAATCATTTAATTATATAAATTTAAAAATAATGCACTTTTTCAGAGTAACACTCTTATTTAAGTGGCATCAACGTTGGGGCTACTTACAAACAGGAACAACGATCGCCACAATGATGACTCTATCTGAGAAAAAAAATGAAAACAGTTTCAAGACTGAGCACCCAAGGGTCCCAGGAGGTAGTTGCATTTAATGTTGATCAGATCATCGAACGCTACGGCAGAGAAGCTGCTCCTGCGTCTAGTTTTGGCGGGACACTAGTGTGCCCAGCTCATTTTTTTCCATAACTCTTGGAATTGGATCCCTGTTCTGGCTTCGGCTTTGGAAGACTCTTCACAGGAACTTCACTTTTGACTGTTCTGTGCTGTAGTTACCATACCAGGTTAGCACAGCTTACTAGGACAATGAGAATTCAGCAGATTAGAAGAAAACCGTTTCAAAACGTATTACTCCATTATAGTTGGTTTAGCTCAGTATTCATTCTATCACTTGTTATTTTGTTGGGAATTCGTATTTTTCCACAAAAGTGGGGCCTGTGGACTGCCACAAATAAATTCCCATCCATCAGATATTAGTTGCAGAACTATAAAATAATAGTTTATCTTATCATCAACCCCTTCTATCTTCCACCCCCTAAAACCAAGACATAATCCTCATTACCAAGGAGATTCTAAATACCAGACACATGGATGAAAATAATGCACAGAAACTTAAACATGCGTTTTTGGCTACCCAGAAAGAAATAAATCATACCACAAAATCTTAAATGCTTAGCAATGATGTCAGGAGCACCTCTGCTTCTAAACTGCCATTATTTATACTAAATTTCTGAAAGTTGATGCATGAAATGTCATGTTTAAGTCTGATCTTTTCATTTCATAAAAAATTATCAAGCTCTTAAGCACCTTAAGACGGCACTGTTTTTACTGTACAATGACAGTCTGACTACAGTGTTCAGAGGGAAAATATAACAAGCCTAAAGTTATAAAAAGGTTAACCTTACTACAATTGTCTAATATAAATAAAAGTAATAGATAGCTCTCTTCATTTACTTATCAAGAAATCTTTTAACTGTCACAACTATACTTTTTTTTTTCATTTTTACATACATTGTGTGAACTATGTGGGCCTATATAAAGTTTGCCACACTAGCATGTTCTAGAAAAAAATTAATCTAACCTGTCGTACTTTAAGGCTTATGTATACAAGGTACAAGTAGAAAGAAAACTGATCTACAAACTGCCATAAAAAAATAACACTACCACATGGACAACAAGTTACATTTTATGTGTTTTAATCTATATATAATTACAGAATTTAAGGAAGGTACCTCACCCTTCTAGGAATCATTTTGGGGGGACACCTCTTAAAAACTATATTGTCTACATGTGTTTACAAAGACTGCTGCTTACTTCTACTATGGTATCTACACTATTAAAATAACAAGTGTCAATTTTTACCAATTTGTGACATACACGCTGTTTCTTCTCTAACTACAAGTAACTGAAATATGATATTTACACGTAGAACTCTAAGATCTCATAATAACCAAAATAGTACCTGAAGTCTTAGAGTCGTCAGGCTTTGAGTCATCATCAGGGCTTGGGCGAGGTCCTAGAAAAAAAACAACAAAACAAGGAAATACGTTTTTAAAAAAAAGAAAAAAATCAAGTTCAAAGACCTCTAAATTCATAGGTTGTGATTTTTCGCCTTTGTATAAAAACTCTTATAATTTCCTTTTCCTCCAGTTAAAGGTGGCATCATAATACAAATTCGTATGTGATCAGTGTTCTTCTTGTCCAGTAATATTTCCTGTGATAATATTCTGTGGTACTGTAAGCAAATATATCATAAGTGTATTGTTAAAATTATGGATTTAATTGTTAAAATATGGATTCAATGTGATTCTACTTAACAGTAAAAATTTGGGGGGCTTAATAAACAATTTAGATAGTGATCTGCAATAGAAGGAAACTTCAACTTGATGAAGGCCATTTATGAAAAGGCCGTCACTTGCATCATACTCAATGGTCAAAGACTGAAAGTTTTTCGCTTATGATCAGGAACAAGACAAGATGCCAGTGTTTTCCACTTCTATGCAACATAACATTAGAAATTCTAGTCAGAGCAACCAGGCAAGAAAAAAGTAAAAAGCATCCAAACTGGGAATGAAGAAATAAAATGATCCCTGTTCCAAATGACATGCATGACCTTTACACAGAAAACTGTAAGGATCACAAACACCCCTATTAGAATAAATGAATTCAGCAAAGCTGCAGGGCACAAAATCAACACACAAAAAATGGTTGTATTTCTATACCCTAACAATAAATAATCCAAAAATGAGACTAAGAAAACAATCCCATTTACAATAGCTCAAGAACAAACAAAATACTCAGGAATAAAACAAGCAGGAAGGTGAAAAACTCACACACTGAAAACTACAAAACGTAGCTGAAGCAAACTGAAGATATAAATAAATGGAAAGACAGCCCATGTTCATGAATTAGAAGACTTAATATCGTTAAACTGTTAATACTACACAAAGCAATCTACAGACTGAATGAGACCACCATCACCATCCTGAAATGCATGCTGCAGAAACAAAAAAACAAAACAAAACAAAAAAGTGTGCTAAGAATACCAAACGGAGAAAGGGCAAAATTTTTGACAAATATTTCTTAGAACTGGATATCCAAATGCAAAAGGATGAAGTTGGACCCTTACTTTTACAGCATACACAAAAATTAATTCAAAATGGATACAAAACTGAACACAGAGCTACAAGTATAAAACTCTTAGAAGGAAACATATAGAACAAGCTTTGTGATGTCGGATCTGGCAACTATTGCCTGGATGTGACACAAAAACACAGGAAACGAAAGAAGAACCAGAAAAACTGGACTTCATCAATGGACACTGCAGAGTGTGAAAAGGCAATACACAGAAGGAGAAAACACCTGCAAACCATACACCTAATAAGGCACTGATACACAAAATATATAATGAACTCCTAAAACTCAACGGTAGAAAAAGACAATTAAAAATGGGCAAAGGACTTGAACAGACATGTCTCCAAAGATCTGCAAAAGACCAATAAACACGTGAAAAGATACTCATCACTTGTCATTAGAGAAATGCAAATAGAAACCACAATGAGAGAGGGTGCCTGGCTGGCTTAGTAGGTTAAGCTTCTGACTGACTCCTGATCTCAGCTCAGGTCTTGATCTCAGAGTTATTAAGTTCAGCACCCACCCCCCAAAGGCAAAACAAACAAACAACAACAACAACAAAAACCCACAATGAGATACTATTACATGTATATTAGGATGGCAACAGTCAAAAAACGGAAAAGAACAAGTGTTGGCAAAGAGGTGGAGAATTTGGAATCTTTGTGTATCACTGGTAGGACTATAACATGGGTGGCCACTGTGGAAGATAGTATGGCTGTCCCTCAGAAAAGTAAACAAAGAATTACCATATAACCCAATAATTCTACTCTTAGGTATACGTACTGCCAAAACTGAAAAGTTACTCAGATGCTTATATTCAGAGTAACATTATTTGGAAGAGCCAAAAGGCAAAAATGACCCAAATGTTTATGAACAGATGAATGAATAAACAAAATGTGGTACATAATACGAAATATTATTCAGCCAGAAAAAGAAATAAGTTCTCATATATGCTACAAGATAGATGAAATTTGAAAACATGCTAACTGAAGTAAGCCAGAATACATTATACTAACTGAAATAAGCCAGAAATGATTCTACTTCTGTGAGGTACTTGCAATAGTCCAATTCATAGAGACAGAAAGTATAAAAGTGGCTGCCACAGCTGGGAGAGAGGGGAGTGGGGGAAGGATGGAGATGGAGAGTTTTGTTTAATAGGTATAAAGATTCAAAGTGAGATGATAAAAACATTTTGGAGATACAGATAGTAATGATGGTTGCAAATAATGTAAATGCACTTAATGCCACTGAAATGTACACTTAAAGTGGTTAAATGTACATGAAATGTACATTTAAAGTGGCTAAAATGGTATTATACATTTATTTAGAGATATTAACACACAAGGGCACCTGGGTGGTTCAGTCAGTTAAGCATCTGACTCTTGATTTCAGCTCAGGTCATAATCTCGGGATGGTGAGATCGAGCCCCACACTGAGTTCTGTGCTCAGTGGGGAGTCTGCTTGTCCCTCTCTCTCTGCTGCTCCCTCCACTCACTCAAATAAATAAATGAGTAAAATCTTTAAAAAAAATTAACATACAGAATAGCCTAAACATTTCTGAGAAGGAAGTGTTCTTCCAGAAATTAAAACATATCACACTATACTATAGTAAAAAAAAAAAAAAAAATACACTACTGGAAGAAAAAAAAAATGATCTGGTACGGGCTCAGGAATGTAGAGTTCAAGGGTACTGGAGAATGACTAGAACACTCGTGAATTTCATAATAAAAACCGGTACTTGAAAATAGTTGGAGAGAAGACAACTTATTCTATAGATGTTCCTACTTCGCCACTGGGTCGGAGTGGGTGGGGTGGAGAGGAACCCTATCTCACACCATATACCACAATGAATTTCAGATGCACCAATGACTTAAATGCAAACAACTCAATCAGAACGCATGGTTGAAATGACTGTATATTTCAGCATGGGGAAGACCAAAAGGTTAAGGCAAAACACACATAGCCATTAGGGTAAGAGCAATACACCCTACTACCTGTTAATATAAAACTACACATATAAAAGTCCCCTGATGGGAGAACAGTTTATATAAACTGTGGCAGATCTCTTTTTTTTTTAAGATTTTATTTTATTTATTATTTGAGAGAGAGAGAGAGAGAAAGAGAGCACAAGCAGGGTGAGGGACAGAGGGAGAAGTGGACTTTGGGACTCAATCCCGGGACTCCAGGATCATGACCTGAGCTGAAGGCAAGACACTTAACTGACTGAGCCACCCACACACCCCTAAACTGTGGCATATCTTAAAGTCACCATTAAAAAGGATGGGATAAAATAAATCTGAATACAACACTAATCCAGGAAGTGGAAAAAGTGCAAGTTTTGGAAAAATATGAACAGCATGATGCCATTTTTATTCAAGAATGAAGAAAAAATTTAAACCAAAATATGTATAACTACACAGAAAAGGATACTTATATACAGAAACAGGTAAAAAGTTTACTATTTAAACTATTAAGTGATTAAGTCAGGTAATGGACTAAGAGTGATTAACTCTCTAAACTATTAAGTGATTAACTGAGGTAATGGACTAGCGAAAGAGTAAGAACCCATCTTTTATTCTGTGTACTTTTGCAATGTTTGAAATTTTATAAACTTACATTCATATACTTACATATTAAAATTACAAAAAGCAATCTATATCCAATAGTATAAAAATCTTAAAAGAAACCTGACTAGTCAAAAGGCAAAGAAAAAAAGCCTAGAAAAAACTTATTCACTTCGTGTTAACAGTACTTTCATTTATAATGAGTTCTGACAAATCAATAAGAAAAATACTGTAGAAACCTAACGGAAAAATGAGCAAAGGGCATGAATAAATGAAAGCAGACCAAAAAAAAGTTCAGCTTCACCGATAATTAAGGAAAGGTAAATTAATACAGGACATCATTTTTAACGCATCACTTTATAAAACTTCTTTTTTTCCCAAAGATTTTATTTATTCATTTGAGAAAAAGAGAAGCATGTGCACAAGCAAGGGGAGTGGCAGACTCCCCACTGAGCAGGAAGCTGGACCTGGCTCAATCCCAGGACCCTGAGATCACAACCTGGGCAGAAGGCAGACACCCAACAGACTGAGCCACCAGGGGCCCCAGTGTTAATAAGAGTAGGAGAAAGAGCAGCTGAACCTGGAGGTGTAGTTGTTGAACTCGGAGGCAGAGTCGTATGAGGAGACTCGGGTTCTGAAAAAATGAATTTGTTTCAATTCACCAAATTTATCAATACAAAATTATGGATTTTAATTTTGATTTTAAAAGATTATTTCTCAAAGTGAAAAATACTTACCTTTTAAACTTTGTAATTCTATTTCTGGGAATTTAACCTAAATATCTATTTGCACAAGTACATGAGAATGTATGTTTAACATTGTTTGCTATAGCTTTGTATTTTAAAATGGAAATCCTGGAAGTTAACTGACAATAAGTCATACAAATAATGGAGTTCAGAGATAGCAACTTCGAAATCTGGAAGATATTTCCTTCCAACCATAGCAAAATAATCTTTCTGGTCTTAAGCAGAGTAGCTTAACAGCAGAACTGGCAAGAAATCCCTCATTTCATTTCAATGAATAAGGACTTTTACTGCCTTCAGTGGCTATGAAATTTATTTTCTATTCCTAAATAAAAATGCCCAGTAAAAAGAAAAGAATAATTCTATGAAACAAGGAGTCTGGTGGGGGTGGAGAATGGAAATACAGGTCTTACTCTGGAGAGTAAGTAGCAGAAATGCCCCAGTTTAAACTGTGCTACAAAAACAAAACAAACCAAACCAATACCAGCACCCAGCACCAACACCAACATCAACACCAACACTGAAAACCAAACTAAACTGGTTGCAGTCCCAGCAACTGAAACAGTCCTGGACCAGGAAGACACCCTAAAGGACCCGAGAGATCCCTTTTACAAAGAATAAAACAGCAAAGTAAAAGACACAGAAAATATATGCGTTAAAAACAGAAGACAAGGACCTTCCTCTTCACTAATACTCATTCAAGTGATGTCATATGAGCTACCTTTAGGAGCTTCCCATATGCGAGGCACTGTGCTTTTTCAAACGAATCCCATGAAAAGTTTACCATCACTCACTAGGGAAGGCATTAAAATCATTTTACAAATACATACACATTTAGGAGTCCATAACTTGCCCACGTTTACATACCTGTTTCTATCTGTATGCTATGGCAAATGCGTTTTTGGGACTGTTAACAACTTAAAAATGACTACCAGTATGTTCTTCCTCGTTTCATTACTGAGCCTAATGAGTGCATGTAAATCATTAGAGATTTAGATGATTTTGAAAAATATAAGCAGGAAGGTACTAAACCTGAGACACTTGGAATTGGAGGTTTTGTACTGGGAGGAGTCGACACTGGAAAACAAAATAATGTAGATGTATCAAATGACTGGGAGTTATTGCTGGCATGTGCATCAGGAATTTAAAGGATTTTTGGAAAAGACAAGCAGAAAGTTACTAAACCTATATGATTCAAAATTGGAGGACTGGTATAGAAGGAATCAGCACTGGAAAAAAAATAATGTACACCTGATCAGCTTGATCAGACTTGTTTTTTGAAAAATACAAGCAGAAAGTTCCTAACCTGTATGATTCAAAATCGGAGGACTGGTACTGGCAGGAATCAGCACTGGAAAAAAAAATAATGTACACCTGATCAGCTTGATCAGACTTGTTTTTTGAAAAATACAAGCAGAAAGTTCCTAACCTGTATGATTCAAAATCGGAGGACTGGTACTGGCAGGAATCAGCACTGGAAAAAAAATAATGTAGACTGGGAATTATTGCTTTCTTACCATTTTTATGAAGCATACCTTCCACTCTTAACTTATTTAGGTAAAAATTTCCATGCTTCAGTTTTCTGAAAAATGGCTGCTATTCAGTTTTGCACATAAAAAAAGCCAAACGAGGAATGTATATACCTCTGTGACATACCTAACATGCAAAGCCCCTATGAAAACAGAAAATTACACAGCAGAATTCTTTTGTGAATTCTGTCAGACATCTGTCAGGGAAATGAATACAAGACAGAGTTAAATACTAAAATTGCTTCTATTCAACTATTTGGTATCACTGCTATTTAATGTCGAGGAAACAAAATTAAAAGGAAAAAAAAAAAGGCAAAAAGGCAAGTGACACCCACTGTACCTTTAAGACATGTTGGCTTCGCAGGCTCCCAAGTACTGTTACTACCACAGACTGCCATGTTCTCACCCTCATGGTAATAACCCGGGTAGCATTCAAATGTGACTGTTGCTTTGTAGTAGTATTTTCTTCTGAATCCTGATAACAGTCTTCCATTTTCAGGGTCTGGAAATGGACATTTGACGACTGAAATGTAAAGAAAGTCCAGAATTAATGGAAAGCTGCTTGAACACAGGAACAGAAGAAATGGTACGAAGTAATTTCCTGCCAGAAGAGACATACAAGGAATGAAAGGCAAGGTGTTAAATAAAAGAAAATTTAAAAACACCGAAGAAACCTGTATGCATATAAACATTTTAAAGCCCTCGGGAGACAGATTTAGAGAAATCTAGTAACTTTTTTCCACCTAGAAAGACTAGCATTATAGTTTATTGGCTTTCCTGTATTTTTTCCCATTACTGACAAAGCTTGAGAAAGCCTGACCGCCACATACAAATCTGGGGTAAGTTCAACAGCAACTTTAAATCCCCCTCTGTTCTAGGGATTTTTCGCAAGGTCATGTTGACACTGCTTTTCTAGAAAGCTGGGGAACACCTTCTGAGAAGGCAATACTTGAGCTCAAAGTTAAAAGTTGAAAAGCAGGCAGCCATGCAAAGAGACGCAAAAAGGAAGTTCTCAGGTAGCAATAACATACACAAATGGATGTTCAAGAAATGGAAAGGCCAATGGAGTCAGGGCAGCGTTTTCCAAACATCTTGGCCGGCAATCCAGAGATCAAACAACACACTTCTTGCTGTATACCAGTATATGAGCACATAGGCCTGAAATACAAGTTAGCCTCATACCGGAGGACTCTGCTAGTTCCCATACTACTCTCCCTCTTAAGAAGTACACATGGGTCATGACCTCACAGACTGATTTCAGAATCGACTCATGGGCTTGGGAGAATTTGGAAACAAAACCACAGGACTGAGCCGTGAGTACGACAGAACATGCTATGATATTAAATCCGAGCAGCAGATAAGGGCCGGAGAGTGGACAGCCTTTTCAACCAGAGGACTGCTCTTCCTGTGTTCCCAGGGATTCTGACTTTCCAGCAGCTGTCCTTTCCCTTCAGCCCGAGGAACTTCCGGTAGCAATTCCTATAGTGCAGGTCGGCTCGTGATTCTCCTGGCTTGGGTTTAGCTCCAAAGGTGTCCTTTCCTCACCTTCTGATGTGAAAGATTTCCCCTTGATGGAGAATTCTAGATGAAGTGCTGTGGGGTTTTTCCAGCAGCCTAGCAGATACTGTCTTCCAGTCTCCAGCGTTCCTCAGGACAAGTCAGCTGTCACTCTTACTCCAGGCGATGGTGGGGGGTGGGGAGGACAGTGTGACATGTGTTTATTCTCCCCTCTCCCTGACTGCTTTTCCTTGTATACCTTTTGTTTTCAGTCACTTGACCCTGGGGGGGTTCTTGGTAAATGAAAACAACGTATTTGTCCTGCTGGGGTCACTGACTTTCTTGGTTCTGTGAGGTTATTGTTTTGGGACAAATGTGATTAATATTTGGCCCATGTTTATTCAAATTGGTGTCTACCCTGTTCTTTCTCCTCTTTCTGAAGCTCCAACAGCTTGTATGTTTGACTTCTTGCTACTCTTCCACAGGTCTGTAAGTCTCTCTCTCTTTCTGGTATTTCTTTTCAAATCCTATTCTCCTGACTTCAGGTTCATCGATTTTTGTGCCAGATGCCTGTTAGTGGCAATAATGGCTTTCTTTATGTCGGCTAGACACAGTATACACAGTAAAACTCATTCTTTTAAGAATACAGCTGTGTTAGGGCTGACAAATGCAAATAATCTTGTAATTACCACAATAAAGACACAGACAAGTTCCATTACCCCCCAAAACATCCTCATGCCACTCTGTAATCGACCCTACACTCCCCCACACAATCACCTTCACCATCAGCCAAACACTGATCTGTTTTCTATCTCTGTACAGTTGCTTCTCCAGAATGTCGTAATGGGATCGCAGCCTCTGACTCTGGCTTATTTGACTCAGCATAATGCATCTGAGAGTCATTCGTGCTGCTGCATGGATTGGAGCTCACTCCTTTTTATTGCTGAGTCGCATTCTGCCATCTGGATGTACCACAGCTGCTAATCCATTTCACCAGTTGAAGGACAAGTGGGTCGTTCCCAATCTGGGGTGATTATAACTAAGGCAGCTGAATATTCTCATAAAGGTTCCTATGTGCGCATGTTTTCATTTTACTTGGATTGATGAGCTGTATGTTAAAGGTATGCTTAACTTTCCAAGAAATAATCAAACTGTGTTCCAAAGAGTTCATACATTTTAGATTCTTATAAAAAGTGTATGACAGTTTCAACTGCTCCGTATCTTTACCAATATTAGCTTTCAGTTTTAGTTTTTTAATTAGCCATTCTTTTTTTATTTTTTTAAATGTTTTATTTATTTATTTGAGAGAGAGAGAGAGAGAGATCACAAATAGGTAGAGAAGCAGGCAGAGAGAGGGTGAAGCAGGCTCCCTGCTGAACAGAGAGCCTGACGCGGGACTCGATCCCAGGACTCTGAGACCATGACCTGAGCTGAAGGCAAAGGCTTAACCCACTGAGCCACCCAGGCACCCCTAATTTCAGCCATTCTAACAGCTATCTAGTGGTATCTCCTTGTGGTTTAAATTACATTTCTATAATTGCTAATGATATTGAGCAACTTCTCATGTACTTTTCACCACCCATATATCTTCTTTGATGAAATAGTTGCATTCAACATTTGCCCATTAAAATAAAAACTGGGCTGTTTTCTTATTATTGTGGGCTTTTTATTTTTTTTTAAGATTTTACTTATTTGTCAGAGAGATAGAGAAATAGAAAGAGAAAAAGCATGAGTAGGGGGAGTAGCAAGCAGAGGGACAAGCAGGCTTCCCACTGAGCAAGGAACCTGATGTGGGACTTGATCTCAGGATCATGTCTGGGATCATGACCAGACCTAAAGGCAGACACTTAACTGACTGAGCCACCCAAGCATTCCTTATTATTGCATTTTAAGAGTTCTTTACATATTGTAGATATAAATCCATTATCAGGGATGACTTCTGCAAATATTTTCTCTCCAGTACATGGCTAATTTTAAAAAATTCTTTTATCAGTGTCTTGTGAGAGCAGACATAGCGGAACTTTTAAAAAGTCTATTTCATTAATTTATTTCTTCATTAAAGGATCAAGCTTTTACGGGTATATTTAAATCTCTGGCTAGGTCACAAACATTTTCTGTTTTCTAGTGAAACTTTTATAGTTTTAGGTTTTATATTTAAGTCTATTATCCATTTTGAGTAAACGTTTTTATATTAAACTAACACGAGTTAAGGGTTCTTTTTGGTATTTTTGAATATCCATGTCTAAATTGCAAGTACTTTTATCATTTTCCACTCATTTGTTTGTAAACTGTGATAAGATCAACTAGACACACCTGGAAGGGTTTATTTCTGGACTTTATTCCATTCCATTCCTGTATAAGGCTACTCTTTCAACAATACCACACTATCTTGATTATATGCTTCATACTACGTTTTATAATTAAGTCCTTAAACCAGGAAGGAGGAGTGTTCTAATTTTTTTCAAAAAATGCTTTGAATATTTTGCTTTGTCTTTTCATAATAACTTGTCAGCTTGTCAATTTATATAGAAAATTCTGCTGGGAGTTTTATTGGGCTTGTGAATATACAGATCAGTTATGAAGAAATGACATCTTTATTATACTGAGTATTCCAATTAATGTTACTGAATTTCTATTATTGATATGATTGAGATATTCTTTCTTTTAGTGTTTAGCTGTTTTTAGCCACTCAAATCTTGCACGTTTGTCAGATTTATACACAAGTATTTATACAAGTTTGAAGTTCTAAATGGACCATCAACATTCTCTAATGGTTTATTGCCAGTATGCAGACACTGATTTCTGTACATTCATCTTCTGTCTCACAACCTTGCTAAAACTTCAGTCTTTCAAATCTTCCACCACCTAATCATCTCATGAGTGAACATAGTATATTTTATTTCTCTCTTTCCAGTGTGTTCCTATTTCCATCTCTTGCTGAATGCTGAATACAATACAATGCTTAATACAATGGTGATAGCGGGCATGCTTGTCTTGTTCCCACCTTAGGGGGAAATAAATTAGTCTTTCATCATTAAATATAATGCTAGCTGTGGCATCTTTATCAGGTTCAGATAGTTTCGCTCAATTCCGGTTTGTTGTGTTGCACAAAGAGTGATATTTTGATATGTTGTGTTTTTCATTTTTATTCAATTTAAAGCATGTTTTGATTTTTCTGTGACTTCTCCTTTGACTCATGGATTGAGTGTCTTGTGTAATTTTCAAATATTTTGGGCTTTTTTACATACCTTTGTTTTCTACATTCATTTCATTGTGATCTGACATTATACTCTGCACGATTTCAATTAAAATTTTTTTAAACTACCGTATTTTGTAGAATATGGTGTTGGAGAATGTTCCACATGTACCTCAATAGAGTTAAATATTTTGCTGCCCTTCAGTGGTTCTTTCTTCCAAGAGTCAAATCCCTTCCAGAGTCTCCCTGCTTTTGGCCACTCTTTACAGCCTTACACACTATTTTTAAAATACGTTTTGTCCAGAGTTTACCATTCTTACTTGGGAGAGGGTTAGTCTTTTACAATTTGCTCTACCAGTTCCTGTAGCTGGAACTCTTAGACGTCTTGTAATACAAGATAAAACTTATTTTTTTTTATTTCCTTTTTTTTTTTAACATATAATGTATTTTTATCCCCAGGGGTACAGGTCTGTGAATCGCCAGATTTACACACTTCACAGCACTCACCATAGCACATACCCTCCCCAACCTCCATAACCCAACCACCCTCTCCCTCCCCTCTCCCCTCAGCAACCCTCAGTCTGTTTGGTGAGATTTTCTTATGGTTTGTCTCCCTCCCGGTCCCATCTTGTTTCATTTTTTCCTTCCCTACCCACCAAAACTCGCCCATTGCCTCTCATTTCTTCATATCAGGGAGATCATATGACAACTGTCTTTCTCTGATGGACTTATTTCACTCACATAATAATACTTTCTAACTATCCACATTGTCGCAAATGGCAAGATTTCATTTCTTTTGATGGCTATGTAGTTAGTATTCCATTGTATATATACACAACTTCTTTATCCACTCATCTGTTGATGGACATCTAGGTTCTTTCCATACTTTGGCTATTGTGGGCACTGCTGCTATAGACATTCGGGTCACGTGCCCCTTCAGATCACTACATTTGTATCTTTAAGGTAAATACCCAGTAGTACGATTGCTGGGTCATAGGGTAGCTCTGTTTTCAACTTTCTGTGGAACCTCCATGCTGTTTTCCAGAGTGGTTGCACTCCCAGCTTGCATTCTCACCAACTGTGTAGGAGGGTTCCCCTTTCTCCGCATCCTCGCCAGCATCTGTCATTTACTGACTTGTTAATTTTAGCCATTCTGACTGGTGTGAGGCGGTATCTCATTGTGGTCTTGATTTGTATTTCCCTGATGCCGAGTGATGTGGAGCACCTTTTCATGTGTCTGTTGGCCATCTGGATGTCTTCTTTGCAGAAATGTCTGTTCATGACCTCTGCCCATTTCTTCACTGGATTATCTGTTCTTTGAGTGTTGAGTTTGATAAGTTCTTTATAGATTTTGGATACCAGCCCTTTATTTGGTAATTTCATTTGCAAATATCTTCTCCCATTCTGCCAGCTGCCTTTTGGTTTTGTTGACTGTTTCCTCTGCTGTGCAAAAGCTTTTGATCTTGATGAAGTCCCAATAGTTCATTTTCCCCCTTGCTTCCCTTGCCTTTGGCAATGTTTCTAGGAAGAAGCTGCTGTGGCTGAGGTCAAAGAGGTTGCTGCCTGTGTTCTCCTCAAGGATTTTGATGGATTCCTCTCTCACATTGAGGTCCTTCATCCATTTTGAGTCTATTTTCATGTGTGGTGTGAAGAAACGGTCCAATTTCATTTTTCTGCATGTGGCTGTCCAATTTTCCCAGCAACATTTGTTGAAGAGACTGTCTTTTTTTCCATTGGACATTCTTTCCTGCTTTATCGAAGATTAGTTGACCATAGAGTTGAGGGTCCATTTCTGGGCTCTCTATTCTGTTCCATTGATCTATGTGTCTGTTTTTGTGCCAGTACCATACTGTCTTGATGATGACAGCTTTGTAACAGAGCTTGAAGTCTGGAATTGTGATGCCACCAACTTTGGTTTCATTTTCAACATTCCTCTGGCTATTCAGGATCTTTTCTGGTTCCATATAAATTTTAGGATTATTTGTTCCATTTCTTCAGAAAAAATTGATGGTATCTTGATAGGGATTGCATTAAATGTGTAGATTGCTTTAGATGGCATAGACATCTTCACAATATTTTTTCTTCCAATCCATGAGCATAGAACATTTTTCCATTTCTTTGAGTCTTCCTCAATTTCTTTCATGAGTACTTTATAGTTTTCTGAGTACAGATTCTTTGCCACTTTGGTTAGGTTTATTCCTAGGAATCTTATGGTTTGGGGTGCAATTGTAAATGGGATTGACTCCTTAATTTCTCTTTCTTCTGTTCTGTTGTTGGTGTATAGAAATGCAACTGATTTCTGTACATTGATTTTATATCCTGGCACTTTACTGAATTCCTGTTCAAGTTCTAGCAGATTTGGAGCGGAGTCCTTTGGGTTTTCCACATAAAGTATCGTATCATCTGCAAAGAGTGATAGTTTGACTTCTTCTTTGCCGATTTGGATGCCTTTAATTTCTTTTTGTTGTCTAATTGCTGAGGCTAGAACTTCTACTACTATGTTGAATAACAGTGGTGATAATGGACATCCCTGTCTTGTTCCTGACCTTAGTGGAAAAGTTCGGTTTTTCCTCCATTGAGAATGATATTCACGGTGGATGTCTGTGATGACACTGAGGTATGTACCCTCCATCCCTACAATTTGAAGAGTTTTGATCAAGAAAGGATGCTGTACCTTGTCAAATGCTTTTTCAGCATCTACTGAGAGTACCATACGGTTCTTATTCTTTTATTAATGTATTGTATCACATTGATTAATTTCAGATGTTGAACCAACCTTGTAGCCCTGGAAATCCCACCTGGTCGTGGTGAATAATGCTTTTAATGTACTGTTGGATCCTACTGGCTAGTATTTTGGTGAGAATTTTCACATCTCTGTTCATCGGGGATATTGGGTATGTAATTGTCTTTTATGATGTGGTCTTTGGTTTTGGTATCAAGGTAATGCTGGCCTCAAAAAATAAAGCTGGAAATTTCCCTCCCATTTCTATTTTTTGGAACAGATTTAGGAGAATAGTTATTAATTCTTCTTTAAATGTCTGGCAGAATTCCCCTGGGAAGCCACCTGGCCCTGGGCCCTTTTTTGCTGGGAGCTTTTTGATGACTGCTTCAATCTCCTCACTGGTTATGGGTCTGTTCAGGTTTTATATTTCTTCCTGGCTCAGTTTTGGTAGTTTAAATGTCTGTAGGAATGCATCCATTTCTTCCAGATTGTCAAATTGGCTGGTGTATAGTTGCTCATAATATGTTCTTATAATTGTTTGTATTTCTTTGGTGTTGGTTGTGATCTCTCCTCTTTCATTCATGATTTTATTTATTTGGATCCTTTCTCTTTTCTTTTTGATAAGTCTGGCCAAGGGTTTATCAATCTTATTAATTCTTTCAAAGAACCAGCTCCTAGTTTCGTTGATTTGTTCTATTGTTTTTTGGTTTCTATTTCATTGATTTCTGCTCTTTATTATTTCTCTTCTCTTGCTGGGTTTAGGCTTTCTCTGTTGTTCTTTCCCCAGCTCCTTCAGGTGTAGGGGTAGGTTGTGTATTTGAGACCTTTCTTGTTTCTTGAGAAAGGCTTGTATTGCTATGTATTTTCCTCTCAGGACTGCTTTTGCTGTGTCCCACAGATTTTGAACCATTGTGCTTTCATTATCATTTGTTTCCATGAATTTTTTCCAATTCTTCTTTAATTTCCTGGTTGACCCATTCATTCTTTAGACTCCATGTACTTGGGTTCTTTCCAAATTTCCTCTTGTGACTGAGTTCTAGCTTCAGAGCATTGTGGTCTGAAAATATGCAGGGAATAATCCCAATCTTTTGATACCAGTTGACACCTGATTTGTGACCCAGGATGTAATCTATTCTGGAGAATGTTCCATGTGCCCTAGAGAAGAATGTGTATTCTGTTGCTTTGGGATGGAATGTTCTGAATATATCTGTGATGTCCATCTGGTTCAGTGTGTCATTTAAGGCCTTTATTTCCTTGTTGATCTTTTGCTTGGATGATCTGTCCATTTCAGTGAGGGGGGTGTTAAAGTCCTCTACTATTATTTTATTATTGTCAATGTATTTCTTTGATTTTGTTATTAATTGCTTTATATAGTTGGCTGCTCCCATGTTAGGAGCATAGATATTTAAAATTATTAGATCTTCTTGTTGGACAGACCATTTGAGTATGATATAGTGTCCTTCCTCATCTCTTAGTATAGTCTTTGGCTTAAAATCTAATTTATCTGATATAAGGATTGCCACCCCAGTTTTCTTTTGATGTCCATTAGCATAGTAAATTGTTTTCCACCCCCTCACTTTAAATCTGGAGGTGTCTTTGGATCTAAAATGAGTTTCCTGTAGAAAGCATATTGATGGGTTTTGGATAAAACTTATTTTTAAGCCACTGTATGCTCTTTTGATGTTTCCAAAGAAGAAAATCCTAAGTCATGCATACATACAAGAGTTCACAATGTATTAATCAGAATGCCAAAAACATGTAGGGGAAGGGCTGGGGAGTTCTATAAACAGAACTACTTTGAGTCACTTGGACCTAAATTAAACTAAATTAGGGGCTCCTGGGTGACTCAGTTGGTTAAGCATCTGACTCCTGATTTTGGCTCAGGTTGTGATACTGTGGGTGGTGAAAGTGAACCCTGCCTCAGGTTCCCTGCTCAGCAGAAGTCTGCTAGAGATATTCTCTCTCTCCCTCTCAAATAAATAAATAAATCTTTTAAAAAATTAAATGAGAAGCCAATTTAATGGGAGGAGCAAGCACATGTGGCTGTTTTGTTTACTGGTAGGTATTTACCAAGTGTTTCCAAAATATTTATAAATGAAGAAGGAAAGAAACGAAAATATTACCTTTACACTCAGGAGGGTGACTACTCCATACACCATTACCAGTACAAATAAGTTGACTCTCTCCAACAAGTGAATATTCATCTGGTCCATTTGAAGGATTACAACTGTAAGTTACCACTTCATTATATTCAAATTCACCCTTCTCACTACCGGTATATTTTCCATTTGGTATTTTTCCAGGTGACGCACACATTATCCCTTAGAAAGTGGAAAAAAGAGAGGATACAAAAAGCAAAAGGAAAGGAAAAGATTACAATAGCGTTAGTGAAGACCTATGAACTGCCTTCAATAAATTCATTAACATATGATTTCTACAAGCTAGGTGTAACTCCAATATTCATTTAGAAAAAGGTTTCTGTGAGAAAATATATTATCCTAAATTCAGACCAGTAAGGTAGATGTGAACTTTAACAGAACTCATTTTCTTAAATACCTATATAAGATACCTATGAAATACCTATGTTTACCTGGAAAGCCATTTTAAGTTCTCATTGTAAGAGATGCTGACAATTTATAAATAAAATCTTTTTAAAAAGAGAAATGCTGAGAATTTAATGAGAAAATATGCTTGTGATTAAAAATAAAACTAAGGGCTGAGAAATGCTTTATAATTTATAAATATACTTGACAGTTGAACAACAAAGGGGTTAGAAGAACTGATCCTCTGCATAGTGGAAACTCCTCATGTATCTTTTGACTCCCCCAAAGCTTAACTACTAATGGCCTACTATTGACTACAAACTTTATCAAGAACATAAAGAGATGATTAACACACACTGTGTATACGTACTACATACTATATTCATACAATAAAATAAGCTAGAGAAAAGAAAATATTAAGAAAATCATAATGAAAAGAAAATACATTTATAGTACCGTACACTTAAAAAAAAAAAAACACATGTAAGTGGACTCACACAATTAAAATATGTGTTGTTGAAGGATCAACTGTATACCCATTCACTGAATCGGTAGTTTACAGTATCAAGATACTATTGTCTGTTTTCACTTTCATCCTAATGAGTCTATGGTGAAATTATCCAAATATGTATAAATTGTGTGAGAGCATAATAGACTGAATCCACACATCTTCCTTTATGCCAGATTTTGAAGAGATTTGCCAAGTTGTGAAACAATGCCACTACTCTCTTTCCTTTGGAAAATAATGCTTTTTTACAAAAAAATAAAATATGTGGCATATATTGACATGCACTGAGCTTACAGTTCTTAAAAGTGAATTAATAAATATTTATTTTAAAAACTTCTTTTATTTCCAATATAATGACTACCAACAGACCTAACCACATAAAGCAAAGTACACTGTGGTGTCTAATTTTAAAGCATAAAGGAATCCTAACAACAAAATTTTAAGAACTAGTGCTCTAGATTCTAACGAAAGACTATACTTACTTATACATAGTGGGGGATCATCACTCCACGTCACTCTTTTTTCGTCAGCAGTAGAAATTTGACAATATAGAATTCTTTCTCCAACTAGCCGATAACTGAATGAGAAAAGAAAAAGTTATTGGATTCTTTAGCAGTTAACAAGATGTATATAATAATGAAAAAAAATCTGATTGTTTGGTGGTTTCTTATGCTATAGTAGTTTGCTAAAGATGTTCTTTAAGTGACATATAATGAGAATGCTGACCATATCTGTAATTTAACCAAAGAGTTTCTGCTTTAAATATACATTGGCCTAGATCAAAGATGTTCAAATAAGTCTTCTATCTCTCAGCAATCTCCAGCAATCACCTTACACATTCATTTCTATGCCTATGCTCCTAACTTTTTTTTTTTAAGATTTTATTTATTTATTTGAGAGAGAGAGACGGAGCACAAGCAGAGGAGAGATGCAGAGGGAGAAGCAGACTCCCTGCTGACCAGGGAGCCTGATGTAGGGCTTGACTAGGGGAATTAAACACAGATTTGAGCACGCAGAAGAAAAGAACCGGCAAACTGGAAACTACTGAGCAGAAAGAGAAAAAACTAAAGAAAAGTACACAAGCAAAGGGACTACTGGGACACCAATAAACAGAACAAGGTATACACTGTTAAGATTCCCAGAAGAAGACAGAAAGGGCACAGACAGTATTTGAAGAAACAATGGCTGGAAACCCAAATTTGATGACAGATATGAATATAAATATCTAAAATGCTCCAAAATTCCAAGTAAGATGAAAAGATGAATTCAAAGAGACCCACACTAAGACACATAATAATCAAACTTTCAAAAGACCAAGAGAGAAAATCTTGAAAGCTTGAAGACAGAAGTGAATCATCACCTACAAGGGATCCTAAGTAAGATTATCAGCAGATTTCACACCTGAAACTCGGAGGCCAGAAAACAGTGGGCTGACTGAATATATTCAAGGTGTTAAAAGAAAAAAAAAAAAACTGGCAAACAAAATTCCTCTATCCAGCAAAACTGTCCTTTGAAAGCGAGGGAAAAATTAAGATTTCCCCAGTAGAGAAAAAATCTGAGGAGTTTGTGACCATTAGACTTAACTTGCAAGAAATGTACAAGGGGGTGTGCAAGGTCAAATGAATGGACACTAGTAAGTAACTTGAAGCTGTATTCATAAATAAGGATCTCACTAAAGGTAAATACCTGAGTAATTATAAAAGCTAATATTATTGTAACAATGGCTTATAAGTAAAATTTTTGTTTTCTATGTAATTTAAGACAGTAATCTTTTAGAAGAAAATAGATTATTAGTGTAGAAGCTAATATTACAATTAAGTATAGAGATCAGTATGACATCAATAACCAAAAGGGGTGGGGATGAAGCTGTAAATGAACAGTTTTTGTAATTTATTGAAATTCAAACTGGAGTGCTAGGCCTGTAGAATGTTAACTGTAGTCCCCATGGGAACTACAAACAAAACAGCTATAGAATATACACAAAAGGAAATGAGAGAGGAATTCAAACATAACACTACAAAAATCAACTACACACATAATAAAACAATACAGGAAATGAGGAACATAAAAAGCTATAAGGAATATAGAAAAAAATAGCACAATTTCAGAAGTGTTTCCTTGTCACTAATTACTTTAAGTGTAAATGGATTAAGCTCTCCAAGCAAAAGACAGAGATCAGCAGAATGGAAAGAAACACGTTATCCAACTATACAACATCTACCAGAGCCTCACTTAAGCTTCAAAGACACATACGGGTTGAAACTGAAAAGATGGAAAAAGATATTCCACACGAATAGTAACCAAAAGAGAGTAGGGGTGGCTATACTTCAGATATAATAGACTTTAAATTAAAAAACGATTACAGGAAACAAAGGAGGACATTACATTAGTAAAACTCAAAGAATACTCAAAGAATATAACAATTACAAACATTTATATATGCCATGACATAAATAAATATGAATCAAAAACAGAATTAAGGGGGGACTACACATTTCTCATATAGGTATTTCTATACTCATAGTTGGAGACCTCAATACCCAACTCACAAGAATGGAAAGACAACTAGAAAGAAGATAAGGAAAACAGAGGACTTCAACAACGTAATAAACCAACAAGATGACACAGACAATATAGAGAGCATTCTACCCAACAACAACAAAATACACATTCCTTTTAATTGCATATGGGTCACTTCCCAGGACAGTCATAAGCTAGGCCATAAAATAATAATGTATAGTATTATATTATAACATGATGAATTATACAATGAATAGTTAATAAGATAATTATGTTAGGCCACAAATTAGTATTAATTAATCAGTAGATTTTAAAAGATAGATATCATATCTGGCCACGATGGGATGAAGTGAGAAACCAATATTAAAAGGAAAACCAAAAAATTCACAAAATTGTGAAAAATAAACAACATGCTTTTAAACAACCAATGGATCAAAGAAGAAATCAAAGGGAAATGAGAAAATACTTTCAGGTGAATGAAAATGAAAACACAGCTTACCAAAACTTATGGGATGCAGTGAAATTGCTAAGGGGGAGATTTATGACCATAAAGGCTTACTTTAAAAAATGAAAGTTCTGAAATCAACAACCAAACATTACAACTAAAGGTATTAGAAAAGAAAAACTAAACCAAGGTAGCAGAAGACGTAAATGCCGAAGACTAGATAGGAGATAAATAAAATAGATGAGAAAAACAATACAGAAAATCAACAAAACCAAAAGTTGGTTTTGTGAAGATCAACTGAATTCACAAACCTTTAGATAGATGGACTAAGAAAGAGGGAAGACTCAATTTATTGAAATCGGAAATTTAAGTGGGAAGGTTACTATCAACTCTACAGAAATGCAAAATATGATAAAATATGATAAAAATATAATACACTCTGAACAATTTTATGCCAGCAAATTGGGCAACCTATATAAATAGACAAATCCCTGGAAAGACAAAGCCTACCAAAACTAAACCATAAAGGAACAGAAAATATGAATAGACTTATAACTAGGAAGGAGATTGAATCATCAATCAAAATTCTCCCAATAAAAAAAAAGCCCTAGGGCACCTGGGTGGCTCAGTGGGTTAAGCCACTGCCTTCAGCTCAGGTCATGATCTCAGGGTCCTGGGATCGAGCCCCACATCAGGCTCCCTGCTCGGCGGGAAGCCTGCTTCTCCCTCTCTCACTCCCCGTGCTTGTGTTCCCTCTCTCACTGTGTCTCTCTCTGTCAAATAAATAAATAAAATCTTTTTTAAAAAAAAGCCCTAGACCTGATGGTTTCATGGATGAATTCCACCAAACATTTAAGAAGAACTAAACCTATTCTTCTCAAACTTTTCCAAAAAATTCAAGAGGAAGTCTTTCAAATTCATTATGAGATCAGCATCAACATGATATCAAAACTAGACAAAGGCACTACAAAGAAATAAAGCTACAGACCAGTTATCTCTTATGCACAATGATGCATATACCATCAAAAAATACTAAACAACAAAATTCTGCAGCATATTATATACCATGAACAAGCAAGATTTATTCTTGGGATACAAGGATATTTCAACATGAAAAATGATCAGTGCCATATGCCACATCAGCAAAATGGACACAAACCACATCATCACTTCAAGTGATGCGAAAAAGCATTTGACAGAATTCAACACTCTTTCATGCTAAATATACTCAATGAAGTAGGAAGACAAGAAAACTATCTTAAGATAACAAAAGCCATTCATAAGAAACCCACAGCAAATATACTCAATGATGAAAAGCTGAAGGCTGAAAGCTTTTCCTCTAAGATGAGGAGTAAATCAAGGATGCCTGCTTTTACTAGTTCTATTCAACACAGTACTGGAAATTCAAGCCATAGCAGTTAGACAAAAAAAAGAAGTAAGACATCCTAAACATCCAAAATGGAAAGGAAGAAGTAAAATTATCAGTTTACAGATGATGCAATCTTCTCTATAGAAAACCCTAAAGATTCCACCAGAACAAGGGTGTTAGTAGCATTAATAAATGAATTCAGCAAAGTAGCAGGATACAAAATCAATATTAAAAAAAATCAGATGCAGGGCACCTGGGTGACTCAGTTGTTCAGCTCTTGATTTGGGCTCAGGTCATGCTCTCAGGGTTGTGAGATCAAGCCCTGCTTCCAGCTCTCTGCTACAAGTGGAGCCTGCTTAAGATTCTCTCCCTCTCTTTCTGCCCCTTCCCCACCCCCCCGCCACTCACGTGCACATGCGCTCTCTCTCTATCACTCAAAAAGAAAAGAAAAGAAAAGAAAAGAAAAGAAAAAAGAAAAGAAAAGAAAAAGATACATTTCCATATTGTCCTCTAGGTGAATGCTTCATAAATGCCCAGTATCCCCAATATACATTATTAAAAGAGCCCTACAGAACCAAGGTTTTTATTCTTTTTTTTTTTTTAAAGATTTTATTTATTTATTTGACAGAGATCACAAGCAGATGGAGAGGCAGGCAGAGAGAGGGAAGCAGGCTCCCTGCCGAGCAGAGAGCCCGATGCGGGACTCGATCCCAGGACCCTGAGATCATGACCTGAGCCGAAGGCAGCGGCTTAACCCACTGAGCCACCCAGGCGCCCAAGGTTTTTATTCTTAAGTGCTCAGTATCTCTTTTTGAAATACTTAAACTTCATAGTAGTCACAAAAATCCAACTAACAAATCCTCATCAACATAATGGTCCAGGCTAACCAGGTGAATTTTGACATGGTAACACCTTAGAATTATCTCAATGCAAGAATATCTATAGTTGGCGATTCGACCTCCCATTTCTATAAGATGGTCATTTTAAATAGGGTGCACTATGTTGTCAAAAATGAAGTCATCAGGGGCATCTGGGTGGCTCAGTGGGTTAAAGCCTCTACCTTTGGCTCAGGTCATGATCCCAGGGTCCTGGGATCAAGCCCCGCACTGGGCTCTCTGCTCAGCAGGGAGCCTGCTTTCCCCCACCTTTCTCTCTGCCTGCTTGTGATCTCTGTCAACTAAATAAATACAATCTTTAAAAAAAAAAAAGAAGCCACTTAAAAAAAAAAATGAAGTCATCATTGTTAATGCTTACAGTATGTTTATAGTAAATATAGTAAGTATTATAGAATTTTCCTTTCTTCAATTTATATTTCTTTCTACTAATTACACATCTTCTCAGTTTCAATAAAAAGCCCGAGACTTGTTAGGCTATAAGTATGACTTGTCACATAAAACAAAAATGAAGTCAACTTTATGGGAATGCTTAAGAGAAGCAGAACAAAAAAATGGAATTAGTAGTATTTATCTTATTTCCAATAGGGAACAACTTACCCCTCATTACAGGAATAGTGAACCTGTGAACCAAAGGATAAAGATCCATTTACAGCGACTACCCGGCCATTCATGGGTTCTCCTGGATGCTGACATTGTTTTTCTAAAAGAAAATTTATAAATTCATTGTTTCACAGTGAATTCAAAACATTTCAAAAGATTTAAATGCTTAAATGTTTAAATTAGCCTATTTCATAGCAATTTCAAAACATTTAAATTAAAATCAAAATATTACACTGCTCTTCTGAATTCAGGAGAGTGTTACTTTCTTTCTTTGACTATTGTAAGGCCAAACTTAATATTCACATTTAACCAGGTAACCAACTGCCACGAAAGATTCCCTGGGGATTTTTCAAAACCTGAAAAGCTACATTGCTATCTAAAACCTACATTCACATGAGAAAACGATCATTGCGCTAGTGCAGTATACAATCTAAAATATGTGAAATCTCTAGAACAAAAAACAAAACAAAACTTTTGTACCCTTACCTGTACAAGCCTCCTTGAGAGGTGTCCACATGTTATCAGTCTGACAAGTGGAAAACATGGGAAGAGAAGGTACAATAGGCTTGTATCCTGGTCGACAAACAAAGTATACTACGTCCCCAGGATTATAACTGGATTTAGTATCATTTGGCTTCATAAACTCGAATCTTGGAGGAGGATCACAGGCATCTAGGGATAAGAGAACGAGAACGTGAAAATGAAGTATTTTCTCTCTTTCGCCAACCAGGGACGATGATGTCCCAGCAGATAGGTAATACAGAATAAACGGAAAGATCCTTGGCAAGATTTTAAATGATTCTCCCAAGCTTTTAACCAAGTGGTGATAGTAGTTGAGGCTGTGCCTTGCTTATTTTCAGTAACGTCCTACTGGATGATGAATTTTCTTTCAACAATCAACTGAAGAAACAAAATGAATGGTTTAGGTCTAACAATATATGTAGATAAACATCCTTTCCCACTTTTTTCTAAATTCATGTCAAAACTCGCCTCTCCTTTAAGAAGCCTTCTATAGGACATAGCACCCTGCTCCAATGACTCTCCCATAGTCTGAAACATAATAATGATAACCCGTTACTTCAGGCTCAGTCTCCTTGTTGCAGAAGGCAAGAATCTAGAGGCCAGAGATCACAGGTCTTCTTTTTCTACTCATTCAGTATCCAGTGGGTACTTCAGAAATGCTAGAGTATCAAGTGATTATTAAATAAGCATTGTGTAGTTCACAGATCAAGATAAATATGCACAAACTCTTCCATGTAAGACTTCATTTCATGCTTCATATAAGTGAACTGAGCTTCTCACAAGTGAACAGATGCCACTCAAATATCAAAATTTACCATGAATATCCTTATAAGAAAAAAATGTTGCTTTGGAGGCACTATTTTAAATATAATTTCATCTTCCTCCACTCATTAACATATCCTACATTCCTTCAGCTAGAAATTCTATATAATTCCATTCTAGATACCAATCCATTACATCATTAGAAATCATGGAACAACCAAGAAAGAATTAAGCAACAGCAGGCCCCTGATTAAATAATACAAGTATCCCTTGCTTTATGCAATTTCCGTAACTATTCTGAAAGCAGATAAAGAAGACAGAATTCTAGGGACACCTGGGTGGCTCAGTGGGTTAAAGCCTCTGCCTTCGGCTCAGGTCATGATCCCAGGGTCCTGGGATAGAGCCCTACCAACAGGCTCTCTGCTCAGCAGGGAGCCTGCTTCCTCCTCTCTCTCTGCCTGCCTCTGTGCCTACTTGTGATTTCTGTCTGTCAAATAAATAAATAAAATCTTAAAAAAAAAAACAAACAAATACCTAGAGTTTTAAAAAAAAAAGAATAAGAATATAGAGTAATCTGTTTGGGAAAAGAAATGTCAATGGGATGGTTTATCCATCCAACTAATTTGAAGTATTTCTCTTCCTCGCATGTGCAGTTATATGACATGCTTTCAAAAATATGCAGAGTTTACAACTTGCTCTGTAAGCTTTATACACTATAATAACTGTGCCCAATATTACACTATTTCACAATAAACTTACTTCTGTTCCTCAGGACACTATGTTTTTTATCCTCTGGCTACCCTTCCTTCTCTGCCCAGTTAGATAATGTGACGCTCCTAACGGGTTGCTGGGAGAACCCTGGTTACTCCATTCTGCACATCCCTGAGAGGGAATGTGCACACTCCCGTGACCTCATTACCACTGACAAGAGCTGTCCTAAATCCTGGTCTCCATGCTTGACCTCTAGCCCAGGGGCCGACTGATTATATTCAACTACCTCCAACATACCCCACATGCTGTCCATACAACATTTAAAAAAAAAATTTTTTTAAAGATTTTATTTATTTATTTTGGACAGAGAGAGAGACAGCACGAGAGGGAACACAGGGAAGGGGAGCGGGAGAGGGAGAAGCACCTGGATGCAGGGCTTGATCCCAGGATCCTGGGATCATGAACTGAGCAGAAGGCAGATGCTTAACGACTGAGCCATCCAGGTGCCCCATCCATATAACATTTTGAAGCCAAAGTGTAGACTCTGGATTATTCACACTCACACAGGTCCAGAAAACAAGACAGATGAGTTCTTAAATTTTTAATTCCTCAATAATTAACACACAGTATTATATTAGTTTTCAGGTGTACCAAATAGAGATTCAACAATTCTATATATTACTCAGTAATCATCACAATAAATGTGCTTTTAATCCCCTTCACCTATTTCATCCATTCCTTCCCTCACCCCCACCTTCCCTCTGGTAATCAGCAGTTTGTTCTCTAAATTTAAGGGTCTGTTTTTTAGTTTATCTCTTTGTTCTTTGTTCATTTGTTTTGTTTCTTAGATTCCATATATGGGGGTGCCTGGGTGGCTCAGTTGGTTAAGCGTCTGACCCTTGATTTCAGCTCAGGCCATGAACTCAGGGCCATGAGATCAATCCTCGCATCAGGCTCTGTGCTGAGTGTGGAAGCTGCTTGAGATTCTCAATCCCTCTCCCTCTGCCTAAACCCTGCACCGATGCTTTCTCTCTTAAAAAAAAAAAAAATCCATTATGTGCATGAAATCATATGGCATTTGCCTTTCTCTTACTGACTTATTTCATTTGGCATTATACCCTTTAGATCCATCCATGCTGCTGCAAATGGCAAGATTCCATTCTTTTTTATAGCTAAGTAACAGTCCACTGTGTGTGTGTGTGTGTGTGTGTGTGTGTACAAACATATACACATCACACCTTCTTTTACCCATTCATCTATTGATAGGCCCTTGGATTGCTTCCATATTTTGTCTATTATAAATAATGCTGCCATAAAAACAGGGGTACATATACCTTATCAAATTAGTGTTTTCACATTCTTAGGGTAAATACTCAGTAATGACATTACTGGATCATGTGGTAATTCTATTTTTAAATTTCTAAGGAACCTCCATGTTTTCCTACAATGGCTGTACTAGTTTGAATTCCAACCAACAGTGGAGGAGGAGGCATTTATCCACATCTTTAACCTTTTGATTTTGCCCATTCTGCCAAGTGTGAGATGATTTGCATTTCCCTGATGATCAGTAATACTGATCAACCTTTGCATGAGTCTCTTGGCCATCTGTCTCCCTTCTATGGAGAACTGTCCATGTCTCCTGTCCTTTTTAAATAGATTATCTGGGGTTTTTTGTTTTTGTTTTTTTGATGTTAAGTTGACAATTCAAATGCCGATTCCGTCTCTATAATTCTACCTTTCCTTCCAGTTCAAAACACTGCCATTTCTTCTCTAGAGTGCTACCAGTGTTTCTGAACAGGCCCCCTTAGCTACCTCGCCACCTTTCATTCGTTTCATGCCAGAGTCATGCTGATAGGACACAGTGACCAAAGCTCATCCAAGTCCGATACTTTTCAATGACTTCCCAATGCCCTCATGACAATGTCTAGGGCTCCCTATCATGGCCAGCAGTCTTGTAAAGCCCGTCATTACCGGGATTCTGCTCACTCTTGCATCCTATTCTCAAGCCCTATTCAATTCCTGGCAGGGTCCATTAAATGACCTCAATTATGTCAGCATTCCGGACCTCCCTGCCTCAATTAACTTCAGCTTTGACCAGAGACCCCACACTCCTCCCACCCTCTCACCCACTCATGCTTCAGTTTCAGCTGACAGGCCACTTCTTGTGGCTCTTGACATGTGTCAGCAAAAAAACCGTGGTAAGTTTCCTCATGATCCACATTTACTTCGTCCACAGACTACCCACAGTGGGACTCCTTACTGTCTGTGCGCTCTACCAGACTGTTACCTCTGAGGACTATGGGGGACACCTCACTGCACCTGTAACACCAACTGCCAGAGCTGAATGAGCGCCGCTGTCAGTTCCAGACACTATCTTAGACCAAAGCTCAAATCCTTTTCTGCTCAGCCAACTTCTTTCAGAGATATCAACAAATCATAATTTTTTTCTTTGTTGTTTTACACCTGTCTTCAACGATTTTCATTGGTTGAATGATAGCTCTTTTCCTTAATCAGGGTATTTGATTTCTTTGATGTCAAAATATTTATGCTTTCTTGTTTTATTTTGGGCCCATTCTCCATTACTGCTATTATTAGAAACAGCATTTTAACATTACCAAAGGAGAACTCCAAATAATGGGGATTTTATTTTTTCCCAAGTACGGTAACTGAAGACTTTATGTCTTTTTTCTTAAAACAATAGTGGTGATAGTATTAATGATTTTAGAAATAGCAAACGTTCAACACTACCTGTACTATTATTTTAAGTACAATTTAACTTGTCTTCATACTTATCCTACGGTTGGGCACTATTGCCCCCCCCTAAGATGGGCCACCTAAGGCACAATAGGTTAAGTCACTTGCCCAGGCCAACATCTCCAGCAGCCAGGCCGCCTGCTTCCACTACAGACACTGCTTCTCACCACACTCACCTGAAACCCTCCCACGCTTACACCAACACCCTGCAATGCCGTCCTCAAGAAATGGTCTTCTACCGAGTCTGGAGAAATTAAAGGAACCCTGGTTTAGATTTGCTGTGTGCTAAGTCAAACAAAAGGGCTCAAGTGCCCTGAAGGGACAGATAACATCAAGCCTGAATTTTAACAATGGGGATTGTTCATTCCTCACTATCCTGTTGCTTTTCACAGTGATTGGCTCTGTGTTCTAGTCCTTGGCCTTTCCCTTGCCTCCCTTGTCCTCCAGCTGCCACACAGGCAGCTGCACGGTCCTTGGGAGCCCCCAGCCACATCACAGCTCCAAGCCTCTGATCACACTGCTCCCCTCTGCTCTGAACATCCTTCCTTCCTGCTCAGCTGCAACCCCCCTCAACTCCTGTCTTCTTATACTGAATCCACTCAACCACTCCTCTAGCAAGCACCATCTGCTTCCCCCGGGAGGAAGTGCCCAGTGGCCTCGTCTTGGACTGTCCTCCACATGGATCGCTCAGTCACTATCACGGGTTTCTGTGTTCAATAATTCCCCTGTTATGGCCCATGCGGCCATAACACCAAGCACAGCATGTCCCTCAGAGGAGCTGGGCAAAACCATCTGGCACTCAAAGGACCCCTGGTGTCCAACAGAACACCTCGCTGAAGAATATACTGGGATGCATCTAATACTGAAAAGCATCATCTTTAAGCTTTGGCCAGAAGGACCTGGCCACAGGATTTCCTCTGTTGCCTAACTCCCAGGATTCTGGTGACCCAGCAACTGACCAGATAAGGACTGCTCTCTTTGCATTCTAACCCGTAGAGTAAGGAAGTAAGAAACTACCCTGTAAACACTTAATGGATCTATCCTGGCTTCATCCACCAGAGAGAAAGAAAAGACCTAAAAGAGACACCACTCACAGCAGGAGGTGGTGGGTTTTGTCCAAAACGCAGACCCCTTCTAGAAGAATGAGACTGGTTCTCAACTGGACGAATGTTGGCTTCTGCCATCTCATGCAGCCGGCAATTACCTCCCTCTGAGATGGGAAGCCTCCAGGCACAATACTGCCTGCTTACAAACCTGCTTCCGGCCTGTGAGCTGCTTCAGAACTGAATGTGTATTCTAGTCCCGTATATTCCTTGCCTGACATAAGGAGGCTCATTTGTACTTTCTCTAATTTCATACCTATCCTGATTTTACCTTTGAACTTTCAACTTGGTCTTGTGTTTCCTTTTCTGCATTTTTAAGTTTTGCTACCTTCCATGTTGCACCCCAGTCATTTTATTTTCTCTCTTCCAAACAACATCCAACGTGAGCAACAAGGCTCATCTAAACTTGATCCGTTTTTAAAACATGTTTTTGTTTTCTTTTTATTGCGCCTGGTCCCTCCCCACGCTACTTCCCCCACAGAAATGAACTTTTTCATGATCGGGAACAAGCAAGATTAGAGTATGGTGAGCTCTGCAGATTCTACAGAACAGGGAAGACAGAGCCTCTGTGATGGTCAGCTTCCCCTGACTTAGCATAGGCACTGCAGAAAGGCCATCCTGAGGACAGGTGTTTAAAGAACCTTCCTCCTGGAAGTGTGAGGAATTGTTGCCGGCACTCTAAGCCCCAGCCTCATTATATTATATTATTATAATTCATTTTCTGGTACTCAATACTTATACAAGAGTGTTGACACTGTGCAAAAAATTGCAAATCTGGAACCGCAAGCGTGACAAGACAGAGAAGCTCTCTACACTCTCGTGAAGAGAGCAGAAAACATGTTTGCAGGGGTGACTCCCAGTCAGGGGGGATTTGAGCTGGTGTGCGTGTGTCTGTCTGAGATAGGGTGGTCAGAGAGGGGCCTCCTGAGAGGCTGACATCTCTACTGAGCTTGAGAGATAAGGAGGAGCCAGGGGAGAATGATCCAAGTCTGAGGGAATAGTAAGTACAGAAGCCCCACAGAGGCGGAGTTTGGCCCACCAGGGACCCCTAGTGATTGGTAAATGCTATCAGAGGATCAAGCTCCTTTCCCCCAGAGCACTTCTTTTGGGTTATAACGTATTCACAAGTAGTATGTTTGGTCTGCCACTCCTGATAAATTTTAGCAACTATTTCTCCACTGCCACTGTGTGCCTGACACTGGGATTCTAAAAGTGAGCAAACATGTCTGCTTCTATTTGTTAAGTGCAAGCAGATCAATAGTGAAATCAGGATCATAAAAACGGACAGTTTTGTTATCACTTACCAGTGTATCCTCAGGACCCAGTATAGAACCTGGCACATACAAGGCAAATATGTGTAGAATGAATGCTACTAAGGAAAGAATACAGCATATAAACTGTACATGCAACAGGATCCTAGAAATAACTTGGGCAGAGAAACACAGGTGCAGATAAAGACAGAAATATACCAAAGTACTGAAAATGCTCAACGCTTCATTGTAAATGTGTTACACACTAGCATGTCCTTTTAGCATGAACACTAATTCTTACTCAGCGAAACAGTAAACAAATTTATTGGGTGGGAATCTTCAGTTTCCGTTAATGGGTGTAGGGGAAACCAGAATGACATTATGTATGGGTTATTTCTTACTCAGTTGACAGTAAGCTACCAAAGCTTTTAAGATTAATTTAGAATTCCCCTCAAATATGGCCCACCCATATGAAAACAAGGAAAACAATAGCAAAAAGCCATTGGGTAATGGAATTGGATAATATCTCTCTCTCTCTCTCTCTCTCTTTTTTTTTTAAGGTTTTATTTATTTCTTTGACAGAGACAGATCACAAGTAGGCATAGAGGCAGGAAGAGGGAGGGGGGGAAGCAGGCTCCCTGCCGAGCAGAGAGCGGGATGCGATGCGGGGCTTGATCCCAGGACCCTTTGATCATGACCTGAGCCAAAGGCAGAGGCTTTAACCCACTGAGCCACCCAGGCGCCCCTTGGATAATGTCTCTTTAATGGAAACAGGAAGATGATTCTATATAAAGAAAAAAAAAAAACTTAAAGAGGAACACCCTGCAAACCAATACCAGTATGATCTCGGACAGCGAGGAGACTTGTGCCTTTAGACACAAAAAGCAGGGTGTAGTCTTCCCAAACCTTCTAAGCCCCAGGGGCCCGCAGCATGCTTGCACCCGGAGCCCACTCACCCAAGAGCTGCCACACTCGATTCCCAGCCCCCATGTAGAGCAGACGGTGAGCTTTCTTACCCCACACCACATCCATACCACAAGCCTGGTTAGCACACACCCGGTAACACCCAACCCGGGGTCTCCCAGCCCGGAACAAACAACGCCCCTCTCCCCAGTGCCATCACCACGGCAAGGAACACAGAAAAACCTCCCACGGGCACACCGCGGATCCTAGCAACAGCCACACGCACTGGGTATGGAGACTAAGCAGTCTCCCCAGGCCCCGCGTCCGCACTCCCCTGCCCCAGGTGCCTCTGCCTGGAAGCACACTGCAAGCATTCGCTGGGGTCACAGTTCCGCGGGTGGAAAGCACAAGCCGCGCCCAACACCCTCCCGACTCACTGCCCAACTCCTCCCAAACCTTCAGCTTCCGCACCACAGGGCCTCCACCCCCTGGGTATCCGCAAAACACGACTGGGGCCGCCCCAGCACCGCGCCTGTTCCCGACCACCAAGCAAAGCTCCCAGGCCCTGGGGAACCGTCCGCCAGCTCCCCGACCCGCTCAGCTCGCCGCGGAAGCGCGCACCCTCTCCAGGCTCTTACCAGAGGGCTTGAATATCAGGAGCACTGCGGCCATCAAAGAGAACCCAAAGCAACGCAAAAAGGAAAAGCGCTTCTCCAGACAGCAGGGATGGGCTGCGCGCGGCGCGCAGGACACGGTCATCTTCCCGGAGACCACCGGGAACCTGAGAGTCCGCCAAGCTACACTATCCCAGGTCAGGGAGCCGACGCAACAATCCCCAGCTGCCCTATGTCAGGCGCCAGCCGCCAGCCGCGGGGGCGTGGCCTGAGCGTCGTTTTCGCGGAAGTGGCTCTCCTTTCCGAAGTGGGCGGGGCCCCGCTGACCTCTGGGACCTGGCCGGGGAAAGAGAGGGTTGGGCCGCGGGGTCGTAGAGCGGCTTGGTGCCCTCCGCGGGCGCCAGGCGGCCCTGCGACGATCCCTTGCGCACTGGCCTGACGTCCCCGGCGGCTTGCGGGGCTCGGCGGGCTCACCGCCCGGACTCAGGAGGGTGCGAAGGGAAGCAGAACTGGCGGGGTCCTCTTAGTCCCTTCTCCGGAACCGAACGCCTCACTGAGCGAAAAGCACAGCGACCTGAAACTAGAAACGCAAGGCCAGGCAGCGGGTCGTCGTGGGGCCGCACCCCTCCAGGCTGCTGTGTGTTTTGGGGCCTCCGAAATGCCTGGACTCCCTGGCCCTTGTTTGAAGAGTTGGCATGAGTCGGGCATATGGAGGGACAGTGCTTGTGATTTGCGGGGCTCTCAGCATCTGCTCTGGGATCCTCTGGAGGCCTGATAGATTTCAGAATCTCAAAGGTTTGGCCGCTGCACTCCCAGCCCCTCAAGTAAAGCAAGGTAGATGAATTATTCAACAACACCGAGCCATGCCATTGGCATTTGGGGCCTCACCTCTCTGGGGTCCTTGCCCTTGAGCAAGTAAATGCTTTATTGAAGAAGGGAAAAAAATGCATGAGAAAGGTAAGGACAAGGGTGTATTAATTGCCCATCTCCTGGCAGTGCTTTAATTAAAGCCCTTATTGTTGGGATGGAGAGGAATCCATAAGAGGGGAAATTTCCTGATGACCCAATCTCTCAGTGGAAAATCAAGAGGAAATGAGCCAGATCTGTTTGTAGCATTCTGACTAAACCTGTATGACTAGGAAGAGGAAAAAAAAGTCACAACCTGCATTAAAAGAGTACACAAAAGGAATTGACATTTTCTTCCCATTAGCTGGCAAAGAACGACAAATGTCAGCCAGTGTGAGTAAATGTACTGGGGGGACCAACACCTTCAAACTTCGGCTTTCAATTTAACTTTTCCATATGTTGTTTTTAAATGGCCATGACTTTTAAAGCACCAGTTGCATTTGGACTTTATCCCAAAGAAATCATCAGAGCTGTGACCAAAGATGTATAATATTGGAAAAAATAAATAAATCTTCAGTGTCTAGCCAAAGAACAAGGAATTTTTGATAGGTGGTTTTATGAGCATCTATGCAGCAGGAGTTAAAAAAAATCTACGTGAGAAACTACAATATATATGTAAGTTAAAAAAAAATAACTGACTCCAAATAAATGTATGTCTTTGGCATTCTCATAGAGCAATTAGTTTAAAATTAACTGTCAGTGATAGGATTATGGGTATTTCATTTTCTTTATGCTTTTCAGTTTTCTATATTGACCCTGTGTTTTAGGAATGAGAGGAAGAAAAAAAATTTTCAGTCCAACTTATGTATCAACTACTATTTTGTTCATAGAATGATGCGGGTTGATCCCACATCACACAGAATTAGGGTATAACAGAATGCTGGGGAAAGGTAAGCTTTCTGTATTAACCTCAAATGCATCTTCTGGAATTACAAAACTCTGTATATTTTAAAGATTTCCGTACCTGAGAGGTACTAAAAACGTTGTGGGTTCATCAAACCATGGAATTGCCTCTTTTCCCAGAACAACACAATGTTTGGATTCTTGATGGCCTATGAAACAAAAGGTGTGGAAATAATACCTAAAACATCTCACTGTCTAAAATCCAGACATTCCATCACAACACTGACTTAAAGGAGGTATAATTAAGGAGAGATTGAGTAAGAAAATGAGGGGGAATTATTTCTGTTATTACTGTTACAAAGAGTTATATAACAGAAATGTTCTGTTGTCCAATGTTGACACTTAACTGTGAAAACAGAGAGTCTCTTTTTCTCAGCCACCATCTGTATACAACGGTATATGTCAGTTACATCTCAGTAAGATGAAAATACTTTCGCATCTATTTCTAGTCTTAGAAGTAAGTTTTTATTCTCATGCGTAAATTAAAAGGTGGCAAAGTATGGCAGGAGTTTGGTTTCCTAGTTACACAAACTAGATTAGAGTCAAGAATTGGGGTTTTACTGGAAATTTCTTTCAATCAGTAAAATCTGTACTGGGGAATCAAGACACTCTAAATATAATTGGATAATATCACATAGATTAATTTCTTTTCATTTGCCCCAATAAAGGCTCCATTGGAAATTTGGAGCCCTTTTCCGTATTTTTCTTAACAGGCTCCTTGACACAGGGATAGAGTTTTCCTGCTGTAGCTCCAGTGCTAAGACAGTTCTAGGTCTCTCGTAGGTGCATAATAAATGCCTATGAATACTGCATGAAATAAATGGGTGTGGCTGTCAAATGCCTCTAACCTGTCTCTGCCTGTTCTCCCCCAGCATGGATTTACCAAATAAAGGCTGAGAAGATTCTGAGAGATTTTGTTTTAATAATCTTAGACACTAAGAACATGGTGGGGTTTGTCTCTAAAGGAGGGAGCTACAACTGTCTGCCCAGAAAACGTCCTGTCTCAGGCAGTGCGAGCTGTGATAGGAAGTGGAGCTACTGTCTGTCCCTTAGCCCTGAGATCATTTCAGTGACTTAGTTCAAAGGGAGAGTGTTGACATTGAACATCCTGTAGCCTGGACAGGAATAGAATTCAAGAGCCAAGGCTTTGAGTGAGTTTGGGCAGTAAAGGCTCCTGGTGCCTGCAACTCCCCTAAAGATTTTTGTCACCCCGCCCAAGTGACAAAGAGGAGAGCATGGAAAGTATGCCTGTTTGTCCACCAGGTTTGAAGCTGTGTGCTAGATCTCCTTTAAGGCCTTATGAATGGCACTAGGGTGGAGGGAGGGGTGTGGGGATGTCATTAAACAGAGGCCAACTTGTGTAAAATTAATCTGAATGCCAGATGCTTCTTGGCCTCCTAAATTAGTGTATTTCCATCATGCTTTTCAGAGAAGTGGGCCTGTGAGGACTCTCAGAAAAGGCTTTCCACTGTCACAGTGAATTACACACTAGGTTAGCTGTGAAAAGCTGAAAGAGACTGCCTAAACAGAGCAAAGATAAGCCATCTTTTTGATGTTGGCCCTGGGAGCTGTGCCACCTCCGTTTGTACCTGGTGAGCACCTGCCAGACAGTTGACCTTCATATTTATCTGTTACTGGCAAGAACATTCCAGTGATAAGCCACACCCCACGCAGGGAGGGATTCTGAAACCATGAGGTGCAGAGAGGGCGGCACTTCTCAGAAGGAAAGCATGTTCATTTTGTTTCCTTTTGGCTTTTGAAGGCTTTAAAATGTAAATATATTACAAACCATATTCCAGACATAGATTTAGAAGGAAAAAAAATCTTTTATTCCTATCCCATTATAGTGATGAAAATAGAACATACCATTTAAATGTCAGAGACTTTAATTTACACCTCACAATTACGTGTACACAAAAAGGAAATGAGAAACAAAATTAGATTGTTAGCACTAAGAATAATCTTGGAGACCTGCTTCTTGGATGAAAAATGTAAGGCCAGAGGTTAACAGGATTACTCAACAATGCAAATGAAGTTAGACAGGTCAGTATTTTACCCATAGTTCGTAGAAGCAGTATTTCCCATGGATCACTGATGTCACAGGCAAAAAATCTCATGAATTCCTTGAAATTCAATGGCATGGTCATCAGATACTGGTTAATCACAATACTTACTGACCTACTGCATTCTGGGGGGATAAAGGAATTTACATTTTTTTCTTGTGGTAGGGAATTTTAATTCTAAGAAAGGCCAATTCCCATCAGTTAATTTCTAGCCCTTGTTTAAAATGTCCTTTTTCAGAAACTCAAGACCTAATATATTTCCCAAAGTTTCCCCAAGTTTCAACTAAGCCAAACCATTGAGGATCTTTTCATATATTCATTGGTTACTTGCCTTCTTTTATTGAAGTCCCGGCTGGATATCCTTTGCCCATTTACAGGGAAGAGAGGTGAGGAGGTTTGGTCTTTTATTTTTTTTACTCTCTAAATATGCCAGTTACCCTTGTCTATGATATAAGTTATAATTTTTTCCTCCTAGTTTGTCAGTTGACTTCCTTAATGCTGTTTTTCCCCCTTTTTTCTATGATTTTAAAGAAAACTTCCAGTTGATGTCCAGTTCCCTCTTTATATTTATCAAGATAAGTGTGGCACAATACACTTGAAAAGCAAACCAGAATTACACAGTAGTTAGCAGTCGTCCTATGCAAGTCTATTGTTAACTACCCAGAAAGATTCTGGGATCTTCTAGATCGTTAGCATGGCCGATCTGTAAGTGTGTGGACCAGTTACGGACTCCAGGACCACTTATTTAGAGACCTGTACATTAATGTTGCAATTCTTAAATTCAGGGTTTCCTAGTTTATTGGGTGTATTCTGAATCTATATAAAAAGTAAGTCACTTGCTTTATAATAAAATTATCCTTTTATTTAAGTTAGTATGTTTTAGACACACAGTACAAATTGCTTTTGAAATAGAGCTTAGGAAATACCCAGATCTCATTGTTTAAGATGTTTCTCTTGAAAACCTCTCCCCCTTCTGTCTAAACAGAAGACACTGTGGTTGCTTCAGCATTGTATATAATAAACAGAAAATACTTTTTTCCTAGTGATAGCAAAAACGGATCTAGCTATATTTTTCTGTTCTAATAGATTTTGCTCTACAGAAGAAAAAGTGACTGTTAAGAAAGATATGTGTATAAAGAACCAAACATGTATGAAGAAAGGTTAGCAAAAAATCAAAATATTAACAGTGGTTATCACTGAAGAGTATAATTATGTGTGACTCATTTGTTTTTCATATCTTCCTCCTGGATTTTGATCCTCTCGTTAATGAGCCCATTCCATAGTATGAACATTTATTTGAAAGTGAGAAAGGGAAATCACAAATGTGTAAACAGAAATCCAAAGTGACACCGTCTTCCTTTACGTAACTGAGACTATTTATAAACCCTGAGTGCAGTCTTTTCCCCTTACTAGCTGAGGTGTGCATTCAGCAGCGGAGGGCAAGAGGACTGACAGTAATCCAGGCTAAGAGGAGGGAGATTTTACGGGCTCCTGGGAGCGTGTCAGCATCTTCTTGGGCACATGTCTGGTCTCTGCGAGGTCACGTCTGTCATTGTATGAGTCTCACATCTTACTCTGTTGAATAGGCTCCTTTCCAACAACATTGTGATTCAAGGTGTTCCCCAGCTCTGGTACTTTGTCAAGGAAGGGCACTGAAATAACAGGATATTTTTATTCAGGTGACAGCATGGTGACAAGGGAACGGCCCACGAATTTGCTGCTTAAAATGGTGATACTGGCATTACACATAATTCCGAGTTCAGAAGACGTGTTTCTGCCCTCCTTAGTGGTTGCTGTGTAGTGCCCAAGAAAATACGGCCAAAGTTGAGACACTGAGTAGATAAGAGAGAGATTAATGAAGAAGTTGACCTTTCCTCGTCACCTTTTTTTGCCAAAGGAAAAGTGTTCTCACAGTTGAGCGACTAAATAGAAAGAGCCTCGTTCCGGAAACATAGAGGTCCCTCATAACACACGAAATATTTCTGACTCTCTTTTCTGAGCCAGGCCATGGCAGGGAGAGTAAACAGGAGCTGGTAGTTTGGACGAGGCTCTGCCTCCAGGAGCATGTCCTCCCCCTACTGCAGTCACGATTTGCAGAAGATACCATATAGTCCAAGATGTCCAAACACTTCCCTGGCCATGCTTCAGGCCAGGATGACTGTCCTCCCACCAGGGGACAGATCCCTGCGGAGGCCCAGCCGCTCACCTGACACCCCCTATTATTACTGCTACCTGATCCCTCAGTGTTCCTCTCTCCACCTCACAAGATTGCCCAACATCATTTGTTACCTGCGTCATCTTTGAACATTCTCATGTCCTTTAGCGCACAGCTGTGTCTTTGGAATCTACCTCTTTACCTGTATCACCCTCTCGGCCCTTGCCCCTGGCTTGGGCACAGGGTGCAGATTCTGACTCATTCCTTGTCTACCGTATCTTGCCACAGATGATCAGCCCTGCTCCTGGAGAACATTATGGCCAGTCTTAGAAAAGAGATTGGAGACAAATTCATTAAGGACTTCCTACCATTTATTAAAAGTTGATCAACGGTGAAGGTAAACAGTTTGATGTGTACCTTGATGCAAAAGAACACTTCCAAAATGTTAGTTAAAATAAAATTTTGGTAAATTTACTCTCACATATTAATACTTCTCATTTGATAAAGTCTCTACTCAGAAATTTAGGGAAATTTAAAAAGAAGGTCCTTACTCATAAATACAAAGTGTGGTGCATGTCATAATTGACTAATCCAGGAGCGCCTAGGTGGCTCAGTTAAGCATCTGACCTCGGTTCAGGTCATTATTCCAAGGTCCTGGTACGGGCTCACATCGGGCTCCCTTCTCAGTGGGGAATTAACTACTCTCTCTCCTCCCCTGACTTGTGCTCTCTCTCTCTCTCTCTGAAATTAAAAAAAAAAATCTGAAAAAAAAAAGGTGTCTAATCCATGTTTGTAGAATGGAGGAATGATCAAGTGAATAAAAGAGTGTTAATAGGCAAAAAACAAGAAATATTGTGTTGAATACTATGGCATATAGGCTTTCTCATAAAGGAAATGGTTGTCATTTGGTGAAAACAAAATCAAAATTCAATATTATAAAGTAAGTACAATTTCAGTGTATAACCCTGCGCATGTAAATGTAGGCAAACAAGCGTAAGCGTACCACCCAATGGGTGGAGGCTATTTCAGGTAATTTTTATATTTTTTAATATTTTTCTTATTTTCTATATTTTCCTTAATGGGCACTTATTATTCTTAAAAGGAAATAGTTTATTTTAAAAATTTTATAGACAGCAAGTGCAGGGAGTTTTAAAGATTGACATCACTTTGGACTGGGGTACTTTGGGGAGAGCTCCTTGGGTAAGTAGAGTCCGAGCCTGATGAATGCACCTTAAATTGGAAGAAAGCTGGTAAAGTGTTCAGTAGGTAAGTAACCTGTCAGGAATGAAGAGGAATTAAATGCTATTTAAAGCCCTCTTGTGAAGCAGTTTTTAAATTAAGTTTTGTAAAGACACACACAGTCTCTGGGGCTCTGTGGTGTCTACTCTGCTCTGCTGTTGTAGCTGTAAATAGGCCAACAGTAGGCGAGGGAGGCTGCGTTCCAGTAAGACCTTATTTACAAAAAAAGTTACTTTTAGGTTCCATGATTTCTACTATTCAGTTATACATTGTATGCCCATTTGGGTTGTAGCATAATTTCCCTTTTTACCCCAGTCCTTCAGCAAACAGCTCAACATTTACTACACAACACCTGTGAGGCCAAGCTGGGGCTCTCAATTCCTGGAATTCAGGCATGAGGTGTGGTGACAAGCCTCTGGGGATGGGGGAGGGGCACAGAAGGGAGAGAGCAGTCCTAGGAGGCCAGGTGAGGCAGAGAATTGAGTCAGAGTTGGGAAGCAGGAAATGCAAAATCTCCACAGGATCCTGAGGTGACCCTGTGCACTTAAGGGGAGTTGGGGGACCTGGAGGCACACCCACGTGGCAAATGCTTGGGTTCCACAAGAAAAACAAAAGCTTCCCTCTCAAAGGTTCACGGCACCCCTGCACAAAAATAGAGGAATGCTCTGTGAAAACAGTGCCTGTGCATAGCGCAGATGCCAGTCCTCACCCAACTGCTGGAAACAGCCAGAATCCAACACAACAGCAACCAAGGCATTTCCACTTCCTAAAGTACCTTCTGACCCCCGGCCCCAGGGATCCAGCTAGACCAGCAACCTATGCAGATCTTGTTCTCATTTTTCAGTACTTGAGCTTTCCAAGACATGAGCTCAGGATATACGTGAGGTACCTGCTGTCTTCCTGATTGGTTTGCAGTGTCTGAGGCTTTACACTGTTGTCTTCTTGAGGATGTAAATGGATCATCTCTTTAGGTTTCCCATCTGTATTCTTGCTAATGGGCAGAAGAGGAAAAATAGGAAAATAGCTTAATTATACACATTTCAGTCTTGGAAGAAATTCGTCAGTGGCATTCACTTTGAAATTTAGGGCAGAATTTGCCGAAGTTTCTGAAATCTTTGTGAGATATATAAAAGGAAAACATAACCAAATCCCACCTTTCAAGACTAAGTCAAAACTCGAAGGAGAAAAAGCTATGAAAACCACCCTGTACATTGTGTCAGAAGACTGAATTCTTACAGACAAGTGTCCATGCCTAAAGCAACACTTCCTTCCACAACAGTTCTGACAGGCAAATAACCTTTTACAGCCCGATTGTGACATCAAAGCCTCACAAGGTCAGGGGCCCTGTACAGTGGGTCTGACTCAAAGCTTCCTCTTCTGCTTTAGTGAAGGTAGAAGTTCTGTGTTCTGTCCAATTAACGTCCACAGTTTGGAGAGCAGCAGTCCTTGTCATGAGGCGTAGGAAGACTGACAGTATTTCCAAGGATTTAATCGCTTTGAGATGCCAGTAACGATCACATTTGAAGAACGATAGCTCACATTTTCTTTCTTTCTTTTTTTTTTTTTTAAGATTTTATTTATTTATTTGACAGACCGAAATCACAAACAGGCCGAGAGGCAGGCAGAGGGGCAGGGAGGAAGCAGGCTCCCCGCTGAGCAGAGAGCTGGATGCGGGGCTCCATCCCAGGACCCTGGGATTATGACCTAAACTGAAGGCAGAGGCTTTAACTCACTGAGCCACCCAGGTGCCCCAATAGCTCACATTTTCTGACCTTCATCCTAAGCCAGGCACTGTGTTAAGTGAGCTTGGAACTACTGTCCCTATTTTACAGACAAGGAAAATGAAGTTCAGAGAAGGGAAGTGTCTCCCTGGGGGTTTCATAGCCAGTAGGTGGGAGTGAACACAGCTCTCACTGCTCACTAATCTTGGGATCTCACGTGGTGTGCTGCTCTGCCTCTTCAAGGGCTAAGTAAGCACTTCCCTGGCAGAAATTAAATGAGAAATGATGCAATACTGTTACCTTTAGGTTTGGAGTATGTGTTGGTATTAGGGATTTCAGGGTGGAAGCACAAAGAGTTAAGTCACTTGGCCACTTGCCAGTACTTCATTACTCAGTTACTCTTTACCCTTTCTTAGAAATTACAAGGAGGGCATCCCCTGAGACAAAGAGCAAGAGTGAATCAGGAGCCAAAGTTTTCAGAGGGTGAGGAAGGGCAACTTGAGATCCTTGCGTGAGGAAGAGCAGAGGGTTGGACTGACTGGTATTCGGGGAGATGCTTCCAAGGAACAATGGCTAAGTGGTTATCTGAGGAATGGTTCTAAGTGGTTTTTAGTGATGAGTGGGACATAGATGTGGGATGGCTAGCCACCTGACTGATGGGAGTTAATGGGAACATGGAGTAATGCATGGATGCTTTATAGTGAGTGGTCTTAATAGTTTTGTACTCCAAGCCTCAGACTAATGAAGACTTTAATGACTTACCTGAGTATATACAAGAAGGCTCGTTTGTATAGGAATAGGAATAGATCAGAGGCAGAAACAAGAGGCAAGGATAAATGGGCTGTGAATGGAGGAGTCTAACATTTTTCCCGAGTGACCAATGCATGACTTCTGCTAATTAATTTTTGTCACAAATTATTGTATAAATATACAGTGAAATATACGATAAGCAGATGACACATTTTTTGCTAGTGAAAGGCCAGTAACGTTAAATTACAGAACTTGCTAGTCTGTGTGAATGGACAGGAACATTTTCACCAAACCTTACTAGGGACAGAGTCCTTTACAGAAATACTGTAATTTTCTTGTAAGCTAGTAACAAACTAGCATAAAAAGGGAGAGATTTCCTACTGTTTTCTAGAAGGATACTGGCCTAATGTACCAGAGTAGCTTAAAAAAATCCAGTACAATTGATAGGGGGACAATATTGAAAGAAAAAAGGAAATATTCCCCCTTTGTACTATATGCAACTCTGGGTGATACAGAATGAGATTCAGAAGTCTTGACAGCTGAAATTGTTACCAGGAAGCCGAATGGGCTCAGGATTCTGAGTTCCATCATGAAGACCAAAGCCCTAACCCTGAGCAACTTCCTGCTGGTATGATTTTAATCAAGTCACCGAAATTCTCTGCCCCTCAGAGTCTTCTCTGCTTTGGGATAACGATGTTATTTGTCCTACCAACATCCCAGAGTTGCCATGGAGACCAAAGACAATACATTTTAAAGTATTTTGTAAGCAAATATATTAGCTGTTGTTATTTTTTTTTTTAAGATTTCATTTATTTATTTTTGTAAGGGAGGGGCAGACAGTGAGCAGCAGGGAAGGGCAGAGGGAGAAACAGACACGCCGCACTGACCAGAGATCCTGACGTGGGACTTGATGCCTGAACCCTGGGATCATGACCTAAGCCAAAGGCAGACGCTTAACCGACTGAGTCACCTAGGTGCCCCCACTGTTGCTATTAATCCTGACTACTGTAGAAGTGGAAGTCAGAAATCACTAAATAAAAATGATTTTCAGTCTGATATGATAGTTGGGTGTCTGCTCACAAGAAGCTCATTTTCTGCGGGGGGCACTGTTAAGGACTATAGTAGAGACCAAGGACACAAGAGATTAAAAAAAAAAAGATAATTTAATAGAGTGGGCAGTGCAGTGTGGGGGCAAAGGGAGGAAATGCATGGAGTAATTAGACATCCTGAAACTCGGAAAGCTAAAGATCAAGGAGGCATAGGAAATCATCAGTGATGTGATGTTAGTATAGAACAGGCTTGCTCCCCAAGCTCAGCGTTAGTATATTCAAACAAAGAGCAACCTTAAAACCTAGGGTAAGTATAGGACAATTAGAGATGTATTACCTGGTAAACAGTTGGAGCCGAATTCCGTGATGGAGGAGAGGGCTAGTTACAGCCATCAGGTCCTTCAGTCCCAGATCACAACATCACCGTGGGAAGACGCCACTAATTACAACACCGCTTTCGGCTGGACCCTAACCACCACCTCGGGCCGGTGACTTGTATTTATAGCTGCACTTTTCCCTGCTAACACCACTTCTGGCCACTTCACTCCTCACTTGCTGGTTATACAAGGCATACAAAAAGTAATTTAAAAAAATAAGCAGTTTGAAGATTTATAAGAAATTAAAATTAGACAAAAATAGAAAGGATATATTATATATACACCCATAGACATGACCTCACTTTAAAACCCTCCCCAGTGGGACCCACCTAATCGTATTAAATTTGGCGTCTGCCCCACACCCACGTTCCCGAGCTCCCTTACTCTGCTGTTTTTTCCTAGTCTTTCCTGTATTATAATTAATTAATTACGTGTCTCATTTGTGGTCTCTCTCCCGTCACTGGAATGAGAACTCCCTAAAGGAGTCCATCTTCACTAATGGATACTCACACCAGCCTCAGAGCTGTCCCTGGGACAGAGCAGTTGCTCAAGTATTTACAGAATGAAATGAGTGTGTTAAACATCCCCTCAGAGGGCTACCACAAAATGAAACTGGGCAGTTTCTGAGCTGTCTCCTGTCAGAGGCAGAGTTGTGTCTGCACCCCCCCCTCCCGCCGGGCCTGGTTTGATCCTGCAGCTCCCACAGAACAGGCTGTTCCTTCTACACTGTTCTGTCAGTCTTGGGGTACTGACGTAAACTGCTCTGCTGGCAGGGCAAGAGCCAAGGTCCCCTCCACTTCTATTCTGTGCCTCATATGACTTCGCTCTGATTTCTGTGAGAGCGCTTTCCTGCCCTTCCTGTGAGGAAAGCTTGAGATCCAGATAAGAAGCCACAGCTCAGCTCCATAGTCTGTCAGCTTCACCATACATGGACATAGAACAATGATTAATCACCCAATTGCTTCCAAGAGAAGGACCTTGGAGATTCTGATTATTTAAACTCAGCACTTCCTCCTGTTAGTTATATATAATTTCTAACATGAAAACAAAACATTTTCTTATAGTAATCCACTCATTATCCCAAGAAGTGAAACACGGGCCCAAAAAATAAAGGCTTAGAGAAGTTTTGAAATGTTTCTGGATCACATATATGATAGGTTCGATAGTGGGTTACTTTGCTGGTTGGGGGGTTTGCTCCCTGAGCTTTCGGGTTAGGGAAGACCATAATCTTCTTCCCTGCCCCATCCCTGGTTGCTGCTGCTCACAGAAGGCTCGTGTGAGGCCATCACACATCACACTCGGAAAGAACATGGCAACGACAGGAGGCAGATTTTAAGACATGGAGCGTATGAAGAAATGGCGTGTGATCTAAGGGTGTTTTGATGAGACAGGATAATCATTTCTAAAGAAATGATTTTTATGAAATGGATATTAAATCTTTTTTATGCCTGTAGATATTAATATGAGGAAATAATCTTAAGTTACATGAGGGAAACAATAGCTAGATTCGGGAATTCGATCCGTCAGTTGATGAACTAGGAACAGGCCCTAGGAAAGCGGAATGGAGTCGTTGGGAGAAGGGAGGAGGGGCGAGACTGTCGTAAATGTCTCTAAGAGAAAGAGAATCGTTTGCCCTGGCTGGTTTTACCTGGACAGTGGTCTGGAAATAGAAAATTAGGAGCCCCCACTACTTTAATTCAGCCTTAATTTTTTAAAAAGGCTAATTTTTTAAAAAAGTGACTCACAATCGATAGCACTAAAAAAACGTTAAGGGGAAAAGCTTATTGGCACAAAGACTTGCTTATTTAAAGTATCAGGGCTACTTTCACTTTTTTTTTTTTTTCATAATTAAGAAGAGCGATGTGTGTTTATCTGTCAAACCACAACATACAGAGAATGTTACTTAGGAAGGCTACAGATTGAACTTAAATGTAAATCTCTACTAATTATTTTATCATGAAATGGACTTCCTGACTAGATTGTAGGACCCTCGGCTGTGATATTCTGCTTTTAAAACATGTACCCTGGGGAGCCTGGGTGGCTCAGTGGGTTAAGCCTCTGCCTTCGGCTCAGGTCATGATCTCAGGGTCCTGGGATCGAGCCCCACATCGGGCTCTCTGCTCAGAGGGGATCCTGCTTCCCCTCCTCTCTCTGCCTGCCTCTGCCTACTTGTGATCTCTGTCTGTGTCAAATAAATAAATAAAATCTTAAAAAAAAAATGTACCCTGGCATCCTGTGTGAAGTAGCTACTTTAGTTTCTGTCAGGCTTGTTTTTGGGGACTGTGTGTGTGTTTAGAATGTTTACTGAAGCAAATTGCTTGAAGGTACGAGCTATGTCTCATGGGTATAGAATTTGCTTATCACCGTTAAACATTGATCTTACTGACTTTGACCTCACAGATGTTGTTCTAAATACATCAGCGAATAAAAAAGCTGAATGCCTTCTCTTCCTGGTCACAAATGTTTATTTAGATCTAATCCTTGGAAGGTTTTAGCAAGTTTCAAAATTAGGTGGGTTTATAAAATATTTACTTTTTAATGCCCTGTAAAAAGCCTCAGTTCTCAGTGGGTTAAGCCTCTGCCTTCAGTTCATGTCATGATCCCAGGGACCTGGGATTGAGCCCCACATCAGGCTCTCTGCTCAGCAGGGAGCCTGCTTCCTCCTCTCTCTGCCTTCCTCTCTGCCTACTTATGATCTTTCTCTCTGTCAAATTAAAAAAAAAAAAAAATCTTTCAAAAAAAAAAAAAAGCCTCAGTTTTTGACACTGGCATCCTGTGCTGTGTGAGCCTGCAGGACACACTGTGTAACTTCTCATGCCTGGATGAGGTCTGTGGTATAGAGCTCAGAGCCGGGAATGTTTCAGTAAGACTGGGATACCAGGTGTCTCATCAACATTTTTGGAAAAGTTCCTCCTGCCTAATTTCCCTTTTGGTAAAACTTTAATCCTCCATAAAATCCTAGACTTTTTTTTTTAGGTGTTCTTAATATCATATATATTTAAGAACTTTTAGGTGTTCTTAATATCATACATATTTCTTTTAGTGTCCATAACGTACATCAAGGGCCTTCTTTATAATTATGAATTATTACATCTGGTTATGTAGTAGTGGTTTTTGGTTTTGGGGTTTTTGTTTTTTTTTTTTTGAGGTTTACTTTCACTTCTCTTTGGCTTTCAAGGGGAGGCAGGTACAGTCATAGACATTTTCTAGGACAATATGGCTACACTTACCCTTTTTTGTGCTTTACAGTTATCCAACAAGAGCCAGTAACATACGAAAGAAAGAAGATCACGCCAAAGAAAAAACCTAGGCAGTAAAACAGTGTCATTGAATGCACAGAAAATGTAACCCATACGTTTTAAACTCTAAACATCTAGTCCCACTCGAGGTTGCCAGTGAGTTCTTTAAATGAAAGTATAAATTCTACTTTTTTTTTTTTTAAGATTTTATTTATTTATTTGACAGATCACAAGAAGGCAGAGAGAGAGGGGGAAGCAGATAAATTCTACTTTCAAGAAACACCTCACACAGGCTTACCTTTAGGGAGTTTCTCTCTGCTCCTGGTTTAATCTAGCACATTAGTCTTACTACCGCAGGGTGGCTGATAAAGGGGGAGCAGAGCAACCTGTAACCTTTAGTCCACAGCAGCCCTTCAACAGCTAGGTGACAACAGCCCTGGAGCTCCTGCCCCCACGCTCAAGGGCCCTGTGCTCCCGCCCTGTATAAGGCCCAGGGACGAGCTGTCCTCTGCCACAAGAGTCTGCCACCAAATCACTCCTCTTAAATGCGCTTGGGAAGTTGATCTTTGTGGCTTCCAGGTTGTGGGAGCGGGCGTGATACCATTGTTGGGTCCCCCCAAAATTGGGTACCCCAATAATGGGTCCAGATTAAAGGAGCGAGACTGATGCAAAGCGAAGGTCAAGCAAAGCTTTATTTCATGCCAAGCATCAAGAATCATACCGACCGTCAAACAGACAGGTCCGGGATGCCCCTCCAGAGAGGACGACCCCTCCCTGCTTTCCAGACTAACTTTTATGGAGCAAAGGCCATGTGGTTGGGCCTGGTCACACAGAGGTGGCCAATGAGATTGTAACACACACGCAGGAAACGCCACAGTGATGCTAGGCAACCAAATGAGTTACAATTTACCCTAGTAGACATTTGATCCAGCCTATCACACCTTGGTTAGGATTGGTGCCAAAAGGCTCCCAAAGGGCGGGGCCCATACTCCTTGGTAGCTGGGAGACAGTGTGCGCCCCCACTGATTGAATACCTCCACCTGGCCTGACCCACCCTTGTACTTGGACTTTGTTACCAGGCACTGGTTTCCCGGACTTGCTTTTAAATATGTTCGGGGGGGGGGGGGGGGGGGGGGGGGGCAAGGAAAATTTAAGCTTTACAGCAAAATGGCAGTTCAACCGGGGTGGGGCTGCTCCGGCTGAAGAGGCCCTTACACCATCCTGAGGAAACTTCCTGGGTTATAAACCAAAGAGGAAGTAGGGCTCTCCAGCTACGAACAGGAAGGATGATTATTCAGCTGTAACAGTTTAAAGCCAGTATAGAACCTTCCGTCAAGGACACTCACTCTGTATGCCTGTGAGGATACCAGTCTTGCCACACTGTGGCCTGAATTTTGACTTACTTTCCTTCTAACCGAAATTGTAACGTAGGAGACACTGATCTCTCCTTTTAGGTTTCACTCGTGTCAGTACATACTTACTGTTCAGGGTGCGAGAGCTCCTCATCCAGCCCTTCCCAAAACTTACCGACTATGAGAGCGCTTGTGCCTGAGGGGAAGACAAAAGCAGGACAACGTCAGTCTGGCCCACAGCATGGCCAAGAGGAGATCAGTCACTGACGATTCTTCCTGATTTTTTTCTGCACACGGTCTGATGTTCTTCTAGTATCAAAAGCCATTTATTTCCCTCATACAACCTCATTTTATCTTGTGCACTCAGCAAAGTATGTGTTTTCTTCTTTTAACTTAATATTTTTTCATAAAATTACTCGCAGAGAATTTGTAAAACAGAACACAAAATATCACCCATACTCCTACCCTGAAATGTTTTGGGGCCATCCATTCTAGTACATTTTCCCATGCATCTAAGTTTTTACAAACTTAGGCAATAAAAATCCCAATCATGACAGGGAAATATAAACTTATTCTAGTGTCTGTATCTGGGTAGTCCAAAATTGCTATTATATATTTAAGTTGTTCCACTTTTACTGGTAATGAAGCCCTCGCTAAAAATGCATGAAATATTTTTCATATCAAAATATTCCATTAGGGCGCCTGGGTGGCTCAGTGGGTTAAAGCCTCTGCTTTCAGCTCATGTCATGATCCCAGGCACCTGGGATTGAGCCCTACATCGGGGCTCTCTGCTCAGCAGGGAGCCTGCTTCCTCCTCTCTCTCTCTGCCTGCTTCTGTGCCTACTTCTGATTTCTGTCTGTCAAATAAATAAATAAACTTAAAAAAAAATCCATTAGAATGGATTCCTAGGAAGGCTAATTGGCATGAATATTTGTATTATTCTCTATACACATTGCATAATTGTTTTTCATAGGCTTTTTGCCAGTCGCTGTGGTACTTTCAGCATATGAAGATATCTGTTTCATCACCTCCTTGCTTTTTATTGGGTGTTAACATAAGAAGCTATCTGTTGTTTTAATATAATGGGGATTAAAGGTATCTTGTTCTTTGATTTTGCAACTCTTTAGTTTTAACGAGGTAAAAATTTCCAGATTTATGGGCCAGGGTGAATATATGCTTTTTTTCTGTCTCCCTATCCTGCATTCTAAGATAGTTTCTGCATTTCTCTGTTCCTTTTTTATTTTGTTTTTATTTTAAAAGATTTTATTTATTTATTTGACAGACAGAGATCACAAGTAGGCAGAGAGGCAGGCAGAGAGAGAAAGGAGGAAGCAGGCTCCCTGCTGAGCAGAGAGCCCAGTGTGGGGCTCGGTTCCAGGACCCTGGGATCATGACCTGAGCTGAAGGCAGAGGCTTTAACCCACTGAACCACCCAGGCACCCCTCCCTGCTCCTTTTTTAGTGCTGTGTTCTGTTGAAATCTGCTAAAGAAATTTCACTTACCTTAGGAAGATCATGGAGACTTTAGTGAACTAAGAGATCCGGACAGTGAGGGCAGGTAGTTCAACCAACTATAAGCCAACTTGAGCTGGAACTTTTGAGAAAATCTGGGTGGAAGAGAGAAGCTAGGTTCTAGGAAAGCAGTTGCATTAACAGATGGATCCTTGGAGGGACTGAAATGGGTGAAGTGGATTTTAGTGACATTTTTATGAGTGTTACATGATAAAATACTTCCTTGAGCCTCACTGGGATATTCCAGTAAAGTCTTAGTTTTTACATTATTTCTGGAGTTAAATTTATTTAGTGCTCAGGCAATACTGTTATGGTACTCTTGAGACAGCACAGTTAAATATAGGTCATACGTACTGTTAGCGGCATGTTCTAGCCCTAAAGAGGAGCCTGAGATCACCCCTTATGGTGAGGAAGATGATATCAATCAGGTGTCTGGTATAACTGGGCCATTGAAATAGAAGTGGTAGATTTGAGAATTCCAGGAAATTCCTCATTCTGTGATGCTAGCATCCGAAGAATTATTTTCTTACTTGGCTGGTTGTTTTCTCTCAAACTGCTCTCTCGGAATTCTTCCAAGTCCCCGGTCTACTTCCCTAGCTTCCTTTTTAGGAAGGCCTAGGACTAGTATCTTGAGCAATCCTAAGCCTTAGGGAAAATACTCTTTTATTTCTGTTTTCCACTGTTTTATCTTTGCTTGCCTCTTCTCACACAAAGTGTTTAAGGTTTCCAGGACCAGGATTACAGAAGAGAAAGAGACAAAGAACAAAAGTGCAAGGGGCTGTCCTTTCAGCCTGGGTCTGTTTTAAGTCCAGAGGGATGAAAGAGTTCACAGGTGGTCCTGCCCAATTGATGAGTCCACCGTAAGGTGTGAGTTCCAGGAATCTTCTGCTTAACAGTTACTTGGTCTGTTTGAATTCTTTGTATGTTCCTGAATCAGAAGAACTGCTTCTGGTCCCGTGTTTGGACTTTGGCCTAAGAGCTTTCCATTTCATCCTAACACTGGGATTTTCTCTTTTGTGGTACCTGTTAGGGTCCGTGATCAAAGGAACGAGACTGATGCAAAGCGAAAGTCAAGCAAAGCTTTATTTCGTGCCAAGCATTGAAAATCGCGCCAAGCATTGAAAACCGACTGGTAGGGGCCGTCTCTTACGAAGAGACAACTACGACGACCCCGACAAGGCCGCTCCCAAGAAGTCCCTCCGGACAAGGCCGCTCTGGAGGAGGCCTCTCCCCCACGAGGCAGCTCCCCAGATGAGGCCACTCCGGCCAGGGCAGTTCCCAGGAGGAGGCCACTCCAGACGAGGCTGCTGCCGATGAGGTCGCTCCCTGGACAGGGCTTCCCGGAATGAGGCTGCTGGCGGTGAGGCCATTGGCCACGGTGCCGCTGCCTCTGACCACGATGAGCAGAACAACCACCACGCTCCTGATGACCATGATGACCACTGTGCTCCGACTCTCCCAAAGACAACCCTGACCGCTATTCCACCTCCTCCTCCTACTCCCACTACTCCCCAGCCTCACAGACTAACCTTTATATAGGTGGTTGAGCCCGGCCCACACACAGGTGGCCAATGGGATTTCAACTCACCACAGTAAATATATGCATGCCCCACTGATTGGATGTTTCCATCCGGCCTGGCCCGCCCCTATATCCGGGGTTTGCAACTAAGTTCCTCTGGCTAACCAGGCCCTTACATTATCCGGAGGACGGTCCCATCCGCGTCAGCACTGCGCCTGCTCCAGAGGCCCCGGGCCAGTCCGCTGCTGTGGCAGTGCGGCTGGAATCGGACTCGCCACCTGCGAGGTCATGTGCGGGACCCCCGGGAGCACCAACGGACCCATCTCTTACACAGGCTGACCGATTTCTCCTGGTGTTCAGAGTCTGTTTTTGTCTAGCACCATTTGAAATCGGTTATGATGTAGGGGGAAAAGCAGCGGCCCCGAAGCCTCGTGCCGGCTCTGGGGAGCCACCGCCTGCGGTTTCCTGGAGGACCCACGGGCAGAGAGCGCTCAAGGACCACCGCGCGCCCTTTCCCCCTAACTTCTTTAACTGCATTTATGATCCCTTACTGCAGAGGTAAGAGAGAACCGAATGTATTTTGAGAAATGGCTGTGCTGTATCTGGTGCCCGGGTTGCATGGTGCTGGAAGGTGGTAGGTGCCGCCCATGCGGGCAGTGGTTGCTGTTGAATTCTCCTTCTGTGACGGGTCTGTTGATGCTCCTCCCTGAATAAATATTTCCCTCTAGTCAAGTCGTCACGTCTCTCTTTTTCATCTGTCATTGCCTCCATACTTCCGTGATAAGTGGGGTCCGGGTAGGTTTAGCCGCTTCCTAAGCATTTGAGAAGCCAGCCCGGTAGGACAAGGAGGGAATTCTGTGAGCCAAGAAACGTAAACGAGAGAAAAGATCGCAGAAAAGAGAAACGTTCCAGCCTGGGCCAAGGGACGCTGCTCACAGAAGGGGAAACCGAGGCTGGTTCCCAACGGGCCCAAGCCCTGGCACCTCGGTGGTCTGTGACCCTTTGAGAAATTTTGCCAAACTGAGCACACTTGTCCCACGGCTGGTAAAGGAGAGCACCGAGGACTCCCCTACTTATAAAAGACGCGGGAGGTCTACTTCTGGTGCACAGTCTCCGTGAACCCTTGAAGACAGGGTGAACCTCTTCTGGGAAGGTATTCAAAGATTAGGCAGATTTGACTTCATGGTGGGGGGGGGAGGTGGTGAGACCTGGGGAATCTGCAGGTCGGAGGGCTGTGGCCTCTTGAGCAAGTGTTTTGCGCAGACGTCGGAAGACATCTTGAATCTGTTTTTCAAGACCACGCAAACTAGTTATACTGTTCCGGGATCGGACCTACATTTTTGTTCTAGTTTCCCCAGGTGACTCTCAGGTGCAGCCACTGTCAAGAGCCACCCCTCTGTGGTCTTGCTTTCCTACTCAAATGGTGCTGTGAGGACCCCTAGCGCAGGTGTGTATTTCTGGTAACAAACGCAGCAACTTGGGGTTGGTCTTCGTCTCCTTGGGCTGCTGTGAGAAAATATACAGCCTGCACAGCTTCTAAACAGTGGATACTTCTCTTTGCCATGCTGGGAAGCCCAAGATCAAGGGGCTGGCAGATTCGGTGCTGGCTGGGAGCAGTTAGCTGGTTCAAAGACCCTGCCTTCTCAGGGGAAAGGGGCTGAGGGAACTTTCTTGGGCCTCTTTACAAGGGCACTGGCCCATTCATGAAGCCTCTGCCCCCATGACCCTAGTCCCTTCCCAAAGCCCCATCTCCTAGGACTGTCACCTTGGGGGTTAGGATTTGAACCTGGGGATTCTGGCGGGACCCAAACATTCACACGGTAACTCTTAAAATAACAAACGTCATTGTTTTCAGCTCAGACATCCACAGTGCGACATCATCCCACTAGGCTGAACTCGGGCATTGGCGGGGCCAGGCTCCCACGAGAGGTCCTAGCAGAATCTGCATCCTTACCTTTCTGGCTTCTAGAGCTGCGTCTGTGGCTGTGGTCCTGGCTCTGTACCCTCCAGGCAGAGCCTTCAGCCTCTCGGACACGTGGCCACCTCCTGCCACACACAGCTTCCTCACTGTCCTCCCTTCCAGGGAACTGAGGCATTCATTACACTCAGGGCCCCAGCCAAGATCCCAGGTGCAAAGACCCTTCGCCACAGAGAGGAGGGACATTCCCAGGGGTCAGGTATTAGGACTCCAAAATTTCTGCAGGCCATTAGCCTACCACAAGCAGCAGGAAGTAGAACTACTCCTGGGAAAGCTGTACCTTGGGCCCCAGCTGGGACCTGCTGCATCAGAATATGCTTTTTTATTTTTTTAAGTATTTTATTTATTTATTTGTCAGAGGGATTGAGAGCCCAAGCAGGCAGAGTGGCAGGCAGAGGCAGAGAGAGAAGCAGGCTCCCCGCTGAGCAAGGAGCCCGATGTGGGACTCGATCCCAGGACTCTGGGATCATGACTGGAGCCAAAGGCAGCAGCTTAACCAACTGAGCCACCCAGTCATCCCCAGAATATGCTTTGTAACAAGACTTACCTGTACACTGCAATTGGAGAAGCGTGGTCCTATGGGGTCTCATCCAAGAAATTCTACAGTAAGGAATTGAGCACCATGTCAAATACAGATTGAAGGGGTGTTTTCCCAGGAGCATTTTCCGCTGGTGCTGGGTAATCTGATGACCAGCATTTTCCCAGGCAGCGTAACTAAGTGCTTATCTGAATGACGGTGGTCTCCCGATTCTCCCTGAAGCCGCCAGCCTTAAGCACCAGCATACCAGAGCTCTTGCTTGGTTCCCATAGTTCAGCTCAAATCTTGCTGCCACTGCCACAGAAAACAATTCCAGTTTTCAAACGCTGTGTAAGGGAGATAGTGAGCCAGGAATCGGGGGGGTGGGGGTGGGTGGTAACTTTCTCATTGGGACCTATACTTGTGGTGATTCCTTTACCTTTGGGTATATAAGTGAGAGGGAGAGAAAGGACCACAGCCCTCAGAATTCTGCTTCCCCATATTCAAGCAAGATGGGGCAGAGATTAGCCCTTTTAAAATATTGATTTCACAGAAGGTAAGCATAAAAGACCTAGTTAATGCTGGATCCAAAACAAAACTTAAAATGTCTTCTGGGAATCACAGGAAGGATGGGAACCTCTGAATAATGAATGACCTGGTTGGAAGGACTTGGGGACTGTCATATGCCCAGAGCGTCCACAGGAGGGCAGCAGAGCTACGCCGCAGAAAGAGGGACCGCTTCAGTTCAGTGCAACTTTTCAGGATGAAATTTGAAATGATGAAAGCAAAATTAAGTAGAGAAAAAATGATGTGCCCAGGTAGTCGACTTTTCATCATTTCTGGGAATCAGTAGACTATGTTAAATACTGCTCTTGAGTAGAAATATGCAAATGTGAAAATCTGTAAGAGAGTTCATTCTTGCTTAAAATGTTAGCTGTCGGTCATTACTAAGTTTTCAAATAACAAAGCTGCCCATTTTCTTTAAAGCTAAAATATTCTGGAACAATGCAAATTCAGATTCTTGCCCATCCTTTCTCTCTCCAGCTTTCTTACAGAAAACTTTCTGGTTGTTACCTTAAAAGCTCCCCTGTACATTTTATGCCAATTTAAAAAATATTCTATAGTCTCAAGCCATAGCCAATTACAATTTAATAAATTGTTTTATTTATTGATAGACAACCTAATTTCCATGCAGTGTCATCAGAAAGATTGCCTCTGTTTTTTCAAACCACAAATAGCCTTGTTTCCTTAGGCAACATCTTATGTCTCAGACTATATTCTGATGTAATAGGCTATATTTGAAAAGCAGCATCTTGTGGGGTACCTGGGTGACTCAGTCAGTTAGGTGTCTGACTCTTGATTTCACCTTGGGTCATGATCTCAGGATCATGGGATCCAGCATGGAACTCTGTGCTCAGCCAGGAGTCTGCTTGAGATTCATATTCCCTCTCCCTCTGTCCTTCCCCCCAACCAAAATCAACCTTTAAAAAAATAAAAAACAGCATTTTGTATATATAAGCTTTACTTCTGTCTTTATGAATTTATATATAGAAATGGGCTATGGAGCTTGAGAATCACAAATGCAGAGGTTCTATGCCTTAACTGCATATAAGAATCACTTGCGAGGCTTAAAAAATTCCCTATGCCCAGGCCTCATCCCAGGCGAATTACATAAGAAAACCCAGGGGGCTGGGACCCCAGCATCAGTAAAGCTTCTGAGGCCATCCCCTGTGCAACATGGTGCAGAACACTAAGGCCTGATCTCAGACATTTAACACTCTGAGTTTATTTAAATCTGCAAAAGGACCAGGAAGCTTTCTGCATAAACAAAAGCAAACCCCATTATTAGTTACACAAATCAAATTTTAGACTTTCATTGCTGGGAGTTGGGCTTTTCTGTACTTGACCACACCCATGCACTCCAGTGATGAGGAAGGCGAGTCTCTTTCCCAGAGGCAGGGATATAGAGGTGGTGTGACCTGAGGCTGGGTAATCACAAAAGCTCTGAGAGCTGGGCGAATCAGGAAAAGCTTCAGCAGGTGGGCAGTGGGAGCTGAGCCTTGGAAGATGCCCAGGATCCGGCAGGACCATGAGGGCTCCAGGCGGCCGTGAACCAAGAACTCAGCAGAGCACTCGGGGCACACGGTTTGCCTGGTGGACGCAGCTTATTTGAAGAAGTACATGGAGCAGCAGGAGGAGAAATCTTAGGAAGAAAAGCTGGGACTTAATCGTAGGAAGCCTTCGAGGAGCACACTAAGCAACTTGGACTTGATGCTGTAGGTCACATGCTGTGGCTGAACACCTCCGGGCAGGAGTGGGATGCTAAGGGAAGCTGGGCCCCAGGGGCAAGCACGTGTCCTCTGAGATCAAGCACGCTGGAAAGAACACATCATCACAAGTGAAACTTCTCCAATCTACACTTTATTTTTTGCAACATTTGAAGATCCAGTTTTCAAAAAAACAAGCAATAAAGATCCGACACATGGGACGTCTCATTTCACTGCAAATACATTCTTACAGTTCCAGCAAATTTGTAAATTTACATACACGTTTTTATGTCATTACAGAAACTTTCTGTTTTCCCCTTATGTTAGATGATTGATAAGTTGTCTGACAAAGAGCATAATTTATATTTATACATATATAACAATTTCCACATAAATCTACTAAAATGAAAAAATTAAATTTGAAGCAGAAACTACTGTACAAGTCTATTTATTTTCAAAAGCATAACAATCTTTGGTTGAAAAGATTCAGTTCGGCCTGTTACAAATAAAGGGCCCAGCCATCCCTTGCTTCGGAGCCAGTGCTACTACCCCCCTGAAGAGTAGGCGGCAGTGGGGAGGGTACCGCTGGGGAGGGTACGGCTTTCCCTCCGCACTGAATTCGGAATTCCTGTTTCCTTCTGCTCCAGCTGGCCCTCCCCGAGTCCCTCCCGGATCCCAGAGGGAACGAACACAGTGCATCACAGACATGCCTTCATCTGCAGACAGGACTTACGCTGCTCCGCGCTGTTTTCCCAACCTTATCCTTCCCGGGGCAACGCTTCTTTGCTGAACTGGCCCTACTAACCGTCCAAGTGCAAGATGAAACTCATACAAGTGTCATGTGAGTTCGAGTGGCCGTCCCTCCTCCGTCCCACTGGGCTTCTCTGAAGGAGACCTTGCCTGGGGTGAGGACGCAGGGGCCACAGTCTGTCCCAACCAATCATCTGCCGCCACCTCAGCGGCTGGCTCTTTCTGTCCCTTTGCTAGACCAAGGGCAGGGAGTCTCCTTCTCTGAAACGCGCGCCTTAATCTTTACTCTGCTTTTAGCACAGAAGGTGAGATGCGCCTGAACACTCAGACTGAGATAACCTGAGCTTCTGCGATGGCCACGTTCCTGCAAACCTCACCCGTTTCACACAACCTTGTCTAAAGTAAGACTTCTCTGCATTCAAGTACCGGGAGAAGAGGGCCCCCTGCCGGAATTTAGAGTGGAATCGAATTTTCCTAAAGAACAGAATCCTCTTAGAGAAAACTGCAAGGCCACAGTGTTCCCTCTGGCACCGGCTGGTGTTCTTGCTATGTGAGCGCTGGATCCCTGATGTTGTACAGGGGTTTGCAACAGATCTGATGCCTCATGCCTGTCTCAGACAGCTTGCTGATGCTTTAAAAAGTAAAGCACAGATCCGTACACTTTATAGCTTCCTTAAATCACCAGGAAATTAAACAAAAACATATAGAGCAGAGGACCACAGGGGAAGAAAGGGAAGACTGAATGGGAAGAAATCAGAGAGGGAGACAAACCATGAGAGACTCTCGACTCTGGGAACCAAACTAACAACTAATGAAACGAACACTACATCAAAAACTAATCATGTACTATATGTTGGCTAATTGAATAAAAACCTTATTTAGAACATTTTCCACTAATATTCTTAGTTAAGGAAGTCAGACTTGTTCAAATTCCCAATATGCAGTGTTCCTGTTTTTAATCTTTAAGGGCTGAAGTACCATACACATATTAGTAACGGCATTTAACACTAAACAATATATAAAACACATCTTAGAGTTCCTGGAAGTTCCTGGAATCTTAAGACTTGGCATTAATCTTTGAACAAAAAGGATTTAAAAATCACTTTCTTTACAAATGAAATGTAATTCATTTTGAACTATAGTTCTCTAAATATGGAGATTTATTTTAAAAATGATTTCCCCACCTAAATACTACCAGGGTTACAGTGTTGAGTTGTCCTATAAATTCAAGTGTTATTTAAGGGAAAATAGGCCTGATGTCCATACTGAAGTTCATCCCCCGTTCAAAGCATCATCAAAGGATGGTGACTACTACATTCAGCCTTATGGCTTAGTGGCTGCATTCACGAGAGCATGACAACTACAGAATAACTTTGAAGGACCTTGAGAATTTAACAGGATCAAAAGATAAACTGAGGCACTGGTTTGTGGAAACAATTTAGTGCATCTGCTCTGCCTCAGTGGCTGATTTACTCTGCTAAGTGGTATATCACCTCCAACCTCTTGTTTCCTACAAGGCAGTTTACCCAGAAAACATCAGTGAAGTACAGAAATTAAATCCAGAGGCCCACTGAGAGAACGGACAATTAAAAACATGTATTTCTAGTAGCGAAAGTTCAACTAGTCTCAGTATAGAAACTGTCGTATCCTTGTGTCTCATTTCTGAGTCTCTCCAAAGCAAGAAATAGAACAGTATGATACAAAGTACTTAGTAAAGACTTCATTTAAATTAAAATGAGGGCTAACTGGGAAGACTGGAGAGAAACACATGTAGGACCTAAAAACGAAATCTTAAATCTGGCTCTGAGATGAAACTTTTGGTAACAATTCCACCAGCCTTCGAGCCCAATAATGCCCCATTTAGCCCTCACCGCCAAGGAAATCGTGTGTTTCCTTTTGTTTGTGTGGTGGTGGAACCCTTTTCACATAGAATTTTAAACAAAATCCGAGAGAGAAAGATAAAAAGGACTCAGCTAAATTTTAAGATAACACTTATTTGATAGAACAACAAAGCAGTTTAAAGATGGTGAAATCTAACCTTGGATTACTGATCACAGAGGTCTTATATGACCTTCAGCATCCATTATACGACCTTCAAATGTTTGCAGACACCTTGAAGCTCACAACAGACTGAAATCTACCTTCCTGGTTGGCCTTAGCCTCAAAGGAATTCTGAGAGACCAAGAAGGTTCACAGGACTGGGGAGGCCCCTCCTGCCACTTCCGGTTGGTACGATGGGTCTTCCTCTGAGCTCATCTGACCCCAGACACCACTCTGCTTTTACCAAGAAACTGCCTTTCCTATTGGGCTCTGTAGAGTCTGCTCCCAGACTCCTGACTGTAAGGTGGGGTAGCACCTCACATAAGTGGTGGTATATGTGTCTGTCTCTTCCTGGCCGTGGAGACACACCTTCTGGCACAGAGGACGGCTTCCAGTTCCTTTCATTAGGGCAGAGGGTAGTGAGGCTCAAAAGGTCTAAGGCAATGCAATTCAAAATTTTTCAAAATCTAAACTTTTTTGTTGGTCTCTTTCATATGCTAAAAATATCTGGTAAAGGAAAACAAATAAATGCATTTACAGAGCTAATATTTATGAATTGAAGTCAAATCTATTTACAAAATTAAATAAAATGTATTTTGTCTTCTGAAAAAGGACATTTTTCTTCCCTGCACTTGAACTCATTTTAAATTTCTGTGCAATCTGTTTACCCCTGAAACCACTTAGACTGATGCAAATCGTGTAAACTCTCTGTGAGGACAAAGGGTCCTTGCCTCTCACACGTTAGATTCAGAGGGAACACGCAGAGCACATATGCGATCCATGGAACACTGAGAAGTCAGTTTTACGACAGACATCTTCAGATGCATCTTGACTTCCGCATCGAGCAGTTTCTCCCTGAGGCACATCTGCTTTCCCCCCAGGGAAGACTCCGTAAAACTTATTACCGGACACCCCATTTTCCTGGGATGGATCTGAAGTTTGCTCTCTCGACTAACTACAAAATCCTTTCTTATCTATTAGCTGTTTAAAATTGTCTGAAGAATTTGTTGAGAGCTCAAGAATTTGAGAGCCACGTAGAAAAAGGTTCAAGTTGATTTGATTCTTCCCTTTTTTGCCCCTTGTCACTCCTCTCCCCACAGCCTGATCCGGCCACTTGATGGAGGACATCCCAGACTTCTATAACCTTCACTGAAGCACTGACGGCTTAAAGATTACAGTGACTGGCTCAGTCATTATTGTAAAAACCGGTCTGAGTTAAACCAAATAATAAAGACCCTTAACAGAAAAAAAAATGGGAAAACTATTTCGTCACCGGTAATAAAATACATAAAGTATGTATGATTCTAATGGACTTCAGCAAACTCTCGCTTCTCCAGGGATCATGATGTTACCAGAGTAGAGAAAATCGTGCATTTATGAGACGAAAATCACCACCCACATGTGAACACATTAATGCCAAGCAAATGCATCTGTTTTCTGGACCCACACAGTCATGAGAAGCCAGACATGGCTCAAGCACCAGCAAAGCACTGGGCAAGGGGTGCGGACTCCCAGATGAGAAAGTCTGGCAGCAAGTGAGTTCTAGAAGGAAATTGAAGGAAACTGAAGGAAAAGGGCCCATTTCACATGCCCTGGGGATCCCATTCTATTCCTAGCTGAGACTAAGAACAGACGACCACAGCAGAACCCATCCGTGTGGGGCCACGTTCATCAAACAATTCGGAGACATTTGAGGACCTGAAATGTGACGACTTCCACAATGTTTGTGTTTTGGAATGGAGGCTGCAGAAGGGTGACATGTTCCCAAGTCATCACAAGTGCAAGTTTCCACCAAAATCCATTTTATACCAAGTTGCAGCAGCCATCTGGGATGGTCTGTGCCTAGTGTCCTGCTTCTGGAGTTAGCCCTAGAAACAGAGCAGTGACTGCTTACACTTTATAGTCTTGTAAGCAAGTTTCTCAGGCAACAACGCTCAGTTTCAGGGAGAAAGGTGATGGGCATCAGGCACTACAAAGAATATAACACAAATCTTTAATTTTTTAAACAGCAACGTAAAGATAAATTATTAGCCCACACTCTCTTTCAAAGAATCTCTCTTTCATAGGGATCTTTAAAAAGTCCAATTATCTTAAACAGGAGAAAAACTTTGCTGAGCTTGATGGTGTTTCTTCAAGTTTCAGGAATGTGAGCATCTCCATCGAGTCACCCCCTCTGGTGACTCAGAGTGCAGCCCAGGCCAGCGGCAACATCGCTGGGCGCTCATCATAGACTGAGGATATCTGTCTCCGCACCAGACCTATGACTCAGAATCTGCATTTTAACAAGACCCCAGGTGATTAATGTGCACGTGAACGTTAGAGAAGCATTGTTCTAGATTGTAAAGGAGGAAGGTATAACACCAACCCACATGAGAGAGACTTGAGCTTTGAAACAACATAGAACCTAAAGAGTGGTAAAATAGTTCAATGTCCTGACGTGAAATAATTTAGAGAATCTAAAATTGATAAAGCTGTTCTAGAATACTGATTTTCTAACAGAGTATGTTCCTGTCTTGAAAAGGGTAACATATATCCTAAAATATTCTTCATAAATTAGCTCATTAGGCATTTATGAATTTTCCTTCCCACACTCTTTTTTTTTTAAGGGTTTTTTTTTTTTTAATTTATTTGACAGATCACAAGTAGGCAGAGAGGCAGGCAGAGAGAGACAGGAGGAGGAGGCAGGCTCCCTGCTGAGCAGAGAGCCCGATGCGGGACTCGATCCCAGGACCCTGAGATCATGACCTGAGCCGAAGGCAGAGGCTTTAACCACTGAGCCACCCAGGCGCCCCCCCCCCCACTCTTTTTTTTAAAAACTCTTTTCCCTCCAAATTATGCTACTATATATAGGATTAATTACATTGCACCAGTTAAAGATATATTTTCTGAAAATATTTAAAAATTTTATTATTGCAATATCCTGTTTACAAAGAAAATGTGGATGGTAAGCAGTCAAGTATGGCCTTTTAAAAAAATTGAAAGATAATTGACATAGACCATTGTTTTAGCTTTAGATGAACACATAATAATTTGAGAAATATATATATTGCAAAATAGTCACAATAAGTTTAGTTACCATCCACCACAACACAGTTACAAATATATCGTGGGTGTGTGACAGACACTTTAAAGATATACTCCCTTAGCATCTTTCAAATACGTCATATGGTATTATTAACTATAGTCACCATTCTGTCAATTATGTCCTCAGCGATGTAGTACGTCCTGCAAACTGCAAATCTTTTGACCACCTTCACTCAGTTCAACTAACACCCCTTCTCCCCATCCTCCCCCACTCCGCTCCATCTCTGGCACCCACCAAACTTTTCTCTGTATCTAGGAGTTCATTTTTTTAAGGTTCCACGTATAAGTGATATCATAAAGTATTTGTCCTTCTCTGCTTTATTTCACCTGGCATAATGCTCGAAGGTCCATCTGTGTTGTCACAAATGGCAGGATTTCCTTTTCTATGGCTGAATAACGTATCATCAGATGATGGAATCTATATAATGGGCTATACAATTACGTATAATATTGCATTATACACTTAAATGTACCACATTCTATAATATATATATGTATATAGTAGATACACAGACACTGTATTTTCATTTTATGGTGTATATATGTACCATATTTTCTTTATCCATTTATTTACTGACGGATATTTAGGTTGTTTTCATGTCTTATTGTAAATAATGCTGCAATGAACACTGGTATGCAAGTGTATTTTCAAAACAGTGATATCATCTCCTTCAGATAAATACCTATAAATGGAATTGATGGGTAAGGTATTTCTATTTTTATTTTTTTCAGGAATCTCCATACTATTTTCCATATGGTACACTAAGTTACATTCCCACCAATAGGGTACAAGGGTTCCCCTTTCTACTGTCATATCTTTTTGAAGTAGCCATTCTAACAGTTGTGAGATAATATCCCTTGGTGGTTTTGATTTGCATTTCCCTGATGTTTAGTGATGTTGAACATCTTTTCATACACCTGTTGGCAATTTCTATGTCTTCTTTAGAAGAATGTGTATTCACATTGTTTGTCCATTTTTTAAAAAAAAGTGAGGTGTAATTTACATATAACACATCAGTTTCGGGTGTACAACATACTTAAATATGATTTGTACATTTGCAAAATTATAGCCACGAATAAATCTAATTAGCATCCATCACCATACAGTTATAGTTCTTTTCTTATCATGAAAACTTTTAAGGTCTACTCTTAGCAACCTTCAAATATGCAATATAGTATTATTAACCATATTACCATGCTGTGCATTACATTCTGTGACTTATTTGTAACTGGAAGTTTGTACCTTTTTTACCTCCTTCACCCATATCACCCATCCCTGCCACCCGCCTCGGCAACCAGTAATTGGCTCCCTGTATCGAAGAGTTGTGTTTTTGTCTTTTCAAGAGACCACATATAAGTGAGATCATATGCTATTTGTGTTCTCTGTCTTACTGCACTTAGCCAAATGGCCTCGACATCCATCCATGTTGTCGCAAATAACAAGATTTCCTCCTTTTTTTATGGCTGAATAATATCCCATTGTATATGTACCACTGGTTCATTATCCACTCATCTATTGATGAACATGTAAATCACTAATTCCATTTCACTATGATCTTTTCCCCAGGCTTTATCTTGTTCTTTCATTTGGAACATGATCCTTTGTTTCTTATGTTTCTTGACCTTGTTGGTTTCTAGGTGTTCGACGAAACAGCTCTCCCAGTCCTAAATCAGCACCCTGGTGTAGGGATATAACTTATCGTTCAACCCAGCCCTAGCTCTTGGTGGTCTCTCAAATCTTTGGGATTGTCCAAGCTGCCAACTTTGTTCTCAGTGGCTCTCAGGAGTTGAGGGTGTTGTCAAGACTTGTCAGTGTCCAGGAGAGGAAGACCCCAGTCAGCACCTAGGCTGAATGGAAGCCAGTCCCTTGGGTGCCAGCTTAGAAAGCATGCAAATATACCTCCTTCAGGGGATTGCTGGGCACTGGATGCTTCGGGGTGCTCCCTCTGTACGGGGCCCTATGGTGATAGTCAGTTAAGAGCCATTGCTTTATTTGTTACTGTCCCGCTGACCACCAGGGCCGGTTATCAAGGGATATGTCCTCTGGGTAGCAGCCACAAAAGCTGGGGCGTCAGCCATGTACACAAGCTCCTTTCCCAGAGACATGTACAACCTGGGGCTGGGCAGAAGGAGAGTTTGAAGAAGGTGCCTGTCAGTCTGCCAGTCTCTGGGGAGGACTGTCTTGAGCTTACCCACATGTGTCTCATTAGAAGCCTATTCCTTAGGCCGCAGCTATGCAGATAAGCTAAAAGGCCTGTCACAGAAAGACTGGGATGACTTCAGTCGGCCACCTCTGTGCTGTGTCCTGGACTGGGCAGCCGGTTAACAACGGTCAGTTTGTTACAGTCCCGTGTGACCTGCAGATGTAAGCCCCACGGGCCACCTGATAGCTGCGTGAGCTTCTTTCCTGGAGCTGCTGGCAATATGGAGTCCAGCAGAGGGACAGAGGAAGACAGCGAGGTGTCTGGAGAGGACCGCAGTCAGCCGTGTTTTAGTTAGAAGCCTGTCCCTCGGGCCTCAGAGATGTGGCTACACTAATAGGCCTCCTTCCAGAAAGACTGGTGGCACATTTCAGTTGGCTGCCTCTGTGCTGTGTCCTGGGCTGTGGCCCTTAATAGGCCCTTCTTTGTTATGGCCTGTGGGACCTGCCATGGCAGCCTCCCTGGTCACCAGTGCCAGGCAATCAAGCGGTGTTCCCTGGGTGGCAGCTATAAACGCCAAAGCCCTGGATGTGTGCAGAGGCTCCCTTCTGAAAGACCCCAGCAGCTGAGAGCAGGCAGAGGGGCGGCAGGAAGATGGGGCCCTCCAGCCTCCACGGGCTTTGAAGAGTATTTCAGCCGGGTCCTAGGTGAGGGTGACATGAGATACCTGCCCTTCAGCCCAAAGCTTTTAAGAGAAGCAAACAGGTCTCTTTCACAGAGAGACCGGGCATTTCAGTCAGCTGCCTCTCCACTGGACCCTGGGGGTAGCCACACGGGCACTTCAGGAACTGTTTCTTGGTTCGCTGTAACCTTATAGACATAAGCCCTATTGGCTTTCAAAGCTAGATGTGTTTGCAGACCCATCTCTCAGGTGTAGGTCTTAAAAGATGGGGTGCCAGATGTGGGGGTTCAAACATTTTTCTTCCCACGAAGCTCAGACTTGAGTTCCCGCCTGACTGTGGGTTACCACGTTTGGGGAGGATTTTATGGTGAGATACTATCTCAGTCTCTCCTACCCATTTTGATGTACATTTTTGTGTTTTTTAAAAGTAGGCTCCATGCGCCATGTGGGGCCTGAATTCACAAGCCCAAGATCAAGAGTCAGATGCCCCACCAACTGAGCCAGTCAGGTGCCCCTTGATGTGGGTTTTTTATCCACCGAATGTGCAGGAGTTCATTAAGTTCGTTTTCAGATTTCTTCCAGAGGGAACTGTTCTGTGCGTAGCTGCAGGTTCTGTGTGTTTGAGAAGAGATGAGTTCAGGATCCTCTTATGATGCCATGTTAAACCAGAGGCTCAGGTTACAAGACCCATTAACTGGCAACTACAGAGAGTTCAAGTAATACTTGCTAAGGACCCAGTAAGTATTTTGACACAGAGAATTTAAGCAAAAAAGGAAAATAAGAAGCAGAAAGCTATTTTGTTTTGCTTTCTCGAGAAGTTATTTCTACACAAAACTTTTGGACTTGTAAAATTATTCCACTATTTCCTTCTCATGCTATTGTGTATATGTACTAAAAAATATACTACTGATTGAGAAATCCAATATGCATATCACGTGTTCTAAAAATACAAGACTGAAGATTCAAACAAAGGCACCGTGGTTTAAAAATAATAACCAATAATATAAAAAAGTTTGAGTCCTTTACATGTAAAGAATATACTTTTTTTTTTTTAAGATTTTATTTATTTATTTGACAGAGAGAGATCACAAGTAGACGGAGAGGCAGGCAGAGAGAAAGAGAGAGAGAGAGGGAAGCAGGCTCCCTGCTGAGCAGAGAGCCCGATGTGGGACTCGATCCCAGGACCCTGAGATCATGACCTGAGCCGAAGGCAGTGGCTTAACCCACTGAGCCACCCAGGTGCCCCTACTTTTTTTTTTCTTAAAGATTTTACTTATTTATTTGACAGACAGAGAGAGATCACAAGTAGGCAGAGAGGCAGGCAGAGAGAGGAAGGGAAGCAGGCTCCCTGCTGAGCACAGAGCCCAATGTGGGGCTCCATCCCAGGACCCTGGGAACACGACCTGAGCTGAAGGCAGAGGATTTAAGCCACTGAGCCACCCAGACGCCCCTAAAGAATATGCTTTTTTATATAGCCTAAACCAGATGATTAATCAAAAGGCAAAATATATCATAAAACTATGAATACCAAGAGCCTTAAAATTATTAGTGTGGTTTTTTTTTAAGATTTTATTTAATTTGTCAGAGAGGGAGAGTGAGAGAACACAAGCAGGGTCATCAGCAGGCAGAGGGAGAAGGAGAAGCAGACTCATTGCTGAGCAGAGAGTCTGAGATCATGACCTGAGCTGAAGGCAAACAATGACTGAGCCACCCAGGCATCCCTAAAATGATTAGGTTTGATGTTAGAGCTATTTCCCAAGCTACAGGGAAAGGAAATTACTAAAAATCACTAAAAAATCAGAAATTTCAAAGCACTTAATCTTGGTCTATGCTCCAGGATTTGTTCTAAGTCTCTTACTAAACTGAAAGACATTTCATTAAAATTTTAAGTTTGATGTTTGAAAGCCCTCTTCTTGATAGGAGATATGTACTTACACACTTTTTTTTTCTATTATAAGCCTCCCCCTTTTTTCAGTTTTATAGATTAAAAACAAAGATAAAGTTAATGAGGTGCCTTGTAAATCTTACCCCTCAGTAATGTTAAGTTTAATCCCATCAGTTTTACTGAAACCCTGTAAATTATGAGAACATAAGAGGGAAATCAAATAGTGCTGTTTTTCCTTCCCTAGTTCAACAAGTATAAATAACAGCTCTACATAAAAACAAATCAAATTGGGTATTTGAATGAGAACCTACATAGCTTCTTAAAATTACCTAAGTTACCCAGACATACGGAAACTTTCATCATAAACATTTCAAGGAATACGACTGTCCAAGCCTCCACCGTGGGCGGTTCTAAATTTAATCTTGGCCACTAGTCCAATGTAGGACGCAGGGTAAACCTAGGTCCATGATTTGCTACACAACTTAAATCTCAAATCCCACCAAAACGTTTCCTGCAGCCCTAACAGCTGCAGCCACTCTGCAGCGAGCCCTCTGACTGCAGGGACCGTAAGAGCAGCCCAAGGCTGTTTCAGTAAACACAAGCAAACGGATGGGGCGCTCACGCAGGCACAGTTTCCGAAAAGGCGGTATGCGGGACAAACAGAAGAGCTGCACGAAAGGATGTCAAGAGTGAGCAGGACCATGAGTTAGAAGAACATGCTTTTATTTACCCTTTCTTTCCCCTTTGAAAACATCTATACAGGCAGGTGCAAAGTACGGCAAGGCCAACAACTGCAAGAGACCGGGAGACAAAGGACATAAAACTTGGAAAGCTGGGTGTCAAGATTCAAGATTTAGCAGCAGAAATAAGTAAGTGCTGGTTGCATTGCAGTCGCTAGAAAATGTTACTTTACTTAAGCACCTATCTATTCGTGTTCCCTCTGGACCCTCTTACTATCTAAGGCCCATTCCCTGGAGTCACTGGACTAGTCCCCAGGAAGCCAGAGAAGAATCCTTGCTTCGTTTAGAAAATTACCCGAAGCATCTCTGGGACGCAAACTTGTGCCCAATCATCCTGAAAACACATGTAACGTTTAGGGTTTGTGACTAAGCGCACACGTACAGTATAAAAGACTACACATTCGCGAGCAAAACGCAGTGTGTCATACCAAGGTCAGGCTGTCCTAGACTGGTGGACTTCATTTCAGGCTACAGAAACTGAAAAGTCATTTAAAAAACAATGCACTGCTCTGCAGTTGGGTTTTGATTAAGTGGCACCAACGTCCGGGCTACTTACGAAGAGTAAGAACAATCACCGCGATGATGCCTGCATCTGAGAGAAAAATGAAAACCGTTTGAAGACGGAGCACACCAGGGTCCCAGACGGTAGATGCACTTAATTTTGATCACATCATCTATCGCCACGTCGGAGAAGTTGCTCCTCAGTCTAGTGTCAGGGTGAGCGCTAGCGTGTCCAGCTCATGCTGATCACAGAATCCTTCTAATCAGATTCCATGCTTAGGGTCCGTCTTGCGAAACTCTTCACTGGAACCTGACTTTTCATGGCTTTGTGCTGTCGGAGCTGTACCAGGTTACTTCGTAAAGCTCACCAGGACTATCAGAATTCCCTAGATTAGAGGAAATGACCTACGGGTCGCCATACACAGTACCACTTAGGTTTAGCATGTTAACTGGACTACTAAAATTTAAAACTAGAAATGTCCAATTTTGTGAAACTTGGTTCCTTCCTTAACTACCAATGATTGAAACACAATAGATATGTCCACGCAGAACTCCAAGGCCTCATAATGCAGAGTAATTAGTAGCCAAAATAATACCTAATTCCTCAAAGTCTTCAAGTGTTAGTCGGTCACTGGGCTCGGGATAGCCTAGGGGAAAAAATGGAAATAAGTTAAAAAAGAAAGATAGCCAAAAGCTTAAAGGTCCATAAATTCACTGGTTTTATTTTTTGCTTTTGTATGAAACTACTTTTAATTTCATTTTCCTTAATGGTTATCAATAAAAGTGCTGTCATCAATTATAAATTTATATTTGATGTCATCAACAATATTCTTCCTGTCCACTGATATTTCCTGTGACAATATTCTGTGGTATAGGAAGCAAACTTAACACTACCATATCCTCAAAATTAGCCTGAATTCAACATGATTCTACTTAAAATTAAAAAAATAGAGGAGGACTTTGAAATAATTTAGAAGCTGATCTGGAATAGAAAGTCTCTTCAACATAACAAAAGCCACTTATGAAAAACCCATTGCCAACGTCAAATTTAATGGTGAGGGACTAAAGTTTTTCCCTTAAGACCTGGAACAGGGGGTGCCTGGGTGGCTCAGTCGGTTAAGCAACTGCCTTTGGCTCAGGTCGTGATCCTGGAGTCCCAGGATCAAGTCCTGGGATCGAGTCCAGGGATCGAGTCCCGCATCCGGCTCCCTGCTTAGCAGGGAGTCTGCCTCTCCCTCTGACCCTCTCCCTTCTCATGCTCGCTCTCTCTCTCTCTCTCTCTCTCTCTCAAATAAATAAATAAATAAATAATCTTAAAAGAAAAAAGATCCGGAACAGGACAGGGTGCCTGTGTTTGCCACTTCTACTCAACATATTTATTGCAAGTTCATATCAGAACTAGTTGAAAAAGAAATAAAAAACATCTAAATTAGGAAGAAATAAAATGACCTCTATTCATAGGTGACACGATCTTTTACATAGAAAACTCTAAAGATTAAACACACACACACACACACACACACACACACACACAGAGACCTGGTGGAACTAATAAATGAATTCATTAAAGTTGCAGGATACAAAATCAACATGCAAAAATCAATTGCATTTCTACACACTAACAATACGCAATCTAAAAAGGAAATTAAGAAAACAATTCCATTTATAATTGAATCAAAAAGAGTAAGAGACTTTGGAATAAACATGACAAAGGAGGTAAAGGGCTTGTTACACTGAAAATTATAAGCTAAAGCAGAAAGAAATTTAAAAAGACATAAAAAAAGGGAAAGCAATCCCTATGTTTGTGGATTGGGGGACCTACTAAAGTTAAGATGTAAACATGATAAAAAACAATCTACAAATGAAATGCAACCCCTATCAAAATTCTAATGATGCTCTTTGCAGAAAAAGAAAAATCCATCTGAAAATTCATATATAATCTCAAGGGACTAGGAATAGTCAAGGCAATCATGAAAAGAGAAAGAAAAGATGAAAGGACTCCTATTTCCTGATTTCAAAACTTACTATAAAGCTACAATAACCAAAACAGAATGGTGCTGGCATAAAGACAGACCTACAGACAAATGGAACAGAAGCCACAAAATAAATCTTTGGGTATGTTGTTAAGTAATTCTCCACAAGAGTGCTGACAAACTTCAGTAGGGAAAGAGCAATCTTTTCCACAAATGGTTTTGAAAACTGGATAACTACATACACAAAAGGATGACTTTTAACCCTTGCCATTCACCAAATACAAAAATTAACTCAAAACGGGTCAAAGACCCTAAAAATTTAAAACTATAAAACCCTCAGAAGAAACTAAGACTATAAGCTTGATGATGTTGCACCTGGCAATGATTTATTGAATGTGACACCAAACGCACAGGCAACAAAAGAAAAAAACAGATAACTTAGACTACATCAAACATAAAAAAAATCTGTACATCAAAGGACACTAACAATAGAGTGAAAAAGCAACCAACAGAATGGGAGAAAATATCTGAAACTCGTATAATAAGGGATTAATATCCAAGATATAAAAGGAACTCCTAAAATTCAAAAACAAAACAAAACAAAACAAAAAACAAAACACAATCCATCAAAAATGGACAAAGGACTTGAATAGACTTTTTTCCAAAAAAGATATACAGAATGCCAATACGCACAGGAAAAGATGTGCAACACATTACTAATCGTTAGGGAAATGCAGATAAAAACCACAATGAGATTCTACCTCATATATTACCTAACACACAGTATGATCATTATTTTCAAAAAGCAGAAAATAGTTGGTGGGAATGCAAGCTGGTGCAGCCACTCTGAGAAACAGTATGGAGGTTCCTCAGAAAGTTGAAAATAGAGCTACCCTACGACCCAGCAGTCGCACTACTGGGTATTTACCATAAAGATACAAACGTAGTGATCTGAAGGGGCATGTGCACCCGAATGTAAATAGCAGCAATGTCCACAATAGCCAAACTATGGAAAGAACCTAGATGTCCACCAACAGATGAATGGATAAAGAAGACGTGGTATATATATAGACAATAGAATACTATGCAGCCATCAAAAGAAATGAAATCTTACCATTTGCAATGACATGGACGGAACTAGAGGGTATTATGCTGAGCCAAATAAGTCTATCAGAGAAAGACAATTATCATATGATCTCCCTGATATGAGGAATTTGAGAGGCAACATGGGGGGGTTTGGAGGGTAGGTAAGGAAAAAATGAAACAAGATGGGATCGGGAGGGAGACAAACCATAAGAGACTCTTAATCTCACAAAACAAATCGAGAGTTGTCAGGGGGAGGGGGTTAAGGAGAGGGTGGTTGGGTTATGGCCACTGGGGAGGGTATGTGCTATGGTGAGTGCTGTGAAGTGTGTAAGACTGATGATTCACAGACCTGTACCCCTGGGGCTAATAATACATTTTATGCTAATAAAAATAAATAAATAAATAAATGGGACAAAAAAGCAGAAAATAATACGTGTTGGCAGAGGTGAAGAAACTGGAACTCTTGTGCATTGCTGGTGGGAATGTCAAATGTATATCCACTGTGGAAGACAGTACAGTTGTTCCTCAAAAAAGTAAACACAGAGTCATCATATAACCAGCAATTCTATTCCTAGGTATACAGCACCCCAAAACTGCTAACAGGGACTCAAAATTGAAAATTTTCTATTTTCAAGTTTACCATTGCAAACAGGATTCAAACATTTGGAAGCCAATATGCAGAGAAACATTACTCAGATTAGCCAAAATGTGAAAACAACCCAGATGTCTATCAACAGATGAATGAATAAACAAAATATACAAAACAATTCATATTATTCTGCCATAAAAAGGAATAAAGTTCTGATCCATGCTACAAGGTGGATGAACCTTGAAAACATTATGCTAAATAAAATGAGGCAGAAATAATTCCATTTCTATGAAGTACCTAGACTAATCAAATTCATAAAGACAGAAAACAGAATTTTTACCAGGGCTGGGCAGTGGAGGGAACTGAGAGTTACTGTTTAAAGACTATAATGTTTTAATTTGAGATGATGAAAAGGTTTTGTAGACAGGTAGTAGTGATGGTTACAAACAATGTGGATGCAATAATGCCCTGAAATGTATACTAAAACAGTCCAAACATTTCTGAAAAGGAAGTATTCTGCCAGATATTAAAACAGGTCATAGAGTGGAAAAAAGTGATTCAGTGCTGTTATGAGAATGGTCAGAGTTCAAGGAAACAGAAAGCTGACTGGAACACCTATGAATTTAATGACAAAAAAATTGGCACTTGAAAACAGTTGGAGAAAGAACAACTAATTCAACAAATGTTGTTACTTTGCCACTGGGTGGGTGTGGGTAGAGGGGAGAGGAAATGGATCTCACTCCAGACACCGTAATGAATTTCAGATGCACTAATGATTTAAATGCAAAGACTGCAATCAGAACTCAGGGTTGAAATGTTTAGGAAGTTGTAGCATAAGAAAGACCTAAAGCTTTTATAAGAAAGACATAACATACATAGCCACTAGAGAAAAGATCATTACATCCATTAATCCATCTACCTACTGATGTAAAATTTCTATACATGTAAAAGACCACTAACAGAACAGTTAAATAAATAAATACCGTATACATTTCAAAGTCATCACTGAAAAGAATAACAGTGAATCTAAATATAATCCCAATATAAAACATTAAGTGGAAAAATTGCAAGTTTCAGAAAAATATATACAATATGATGTCAATTTTGTTTAAGATAAAAGAAAAAATACTCAACTATATGTATAATTACACATCTAAGGAATGCTGATGCACTAATAAATTAATGAGGAGACTTGAGTAAGCCGAGCCCTAAACTATTAACCGTGATTAATTCAGGTAATAGACTAGAGAGAAAGAAGTATAATTCTTTACATGTCTATTTTCATAGTGTTTGAAAATTTACAAAAACATATTCATATACCACTCATGCAACAAAAAGTTATAAAAAGCAATCTAGGGGCACCTGGGTGGCTCAGTCAGTTAATCGCCTGCCTTTCACTGAGGTCATGATCTGGGGGTCCTAATGGAGCCCCGGGTCAGGCTCTCTGCTAAGCTCCCTGCTTTTCCCTCTCCCTCTGCTCCTCCCCTCTCCTCATGCACTCTCTTTCCCTCTCCCTCAAATAAATAGATAAAATCTTTTATAAAAGCAATCTATAATTAGTAGCATACAAAAAACAATCTTAAAAGAAACTGACTAGTGAAAAGGCCAAAAAACCCCTGAAAGAATGTTCACTTCATATGAAAAAGGCTTTAACTTAAAATAAGCTCTAACAAATCAACAAGAGAAATATTTTAGAAACCTAATTTTTAAAAAATGAGCAAAAGTTATGGATAAATCAATGTAGAACAAAAAATGTTCAGCTTCATTGATAAATTCTAGAAATGCAAATTAGAACAAGACATAACTTTGTACTCATCACCTTATCAAGTTGTTAACAATAAAAGCAAGAGAAAGAATTAGTGTACCTGGGTACTTTGAAACTGGAGGTTTGGTTGGATGAGTAGGTTTGAAACCTGGAAAAATAAATTTGATTCAATTCACCAGCCTTATCATTATAAAATTATGGATTTAATATTAATTTCTTATTTTTTATTTCTTAAAAAGATCCATTATTTCTCAAAATGAAAAACACACCTGCTTTCCAAACTTTGGAATTCTACTTCTGGGAATTTAATTTAATACATATTTGCACAAGTACATAAGCATGCATATATATAAGAATGTCCACCAAAACCTTGTGTTTTATACGGAAATCCTAGAAGTTAACTGATAGTAAATTATAAAAATAATGTGCTCAGAGTAAACACACATATCTTAAAAAAAATACCATCCAGGTAGTATCATACTACATAAGAAGTTGTATCTTTTTCTTATCTGCCTAGTATTTCTTTTAAAATACTTTAAAAAAATATTTTAAAAAATATTTGCACATTTAGTTCTGCCTTAACACCATTATATGTTGCTGACGCTTTTGATATAGTCTTTTTCTAACCAATGATAAAAAATGATTAACAATCCCCTAGGGAGTTTTGATTTTATTTTTTTAAAAGATCCCTATAGTTTCTCTTCACAAGCTTTTTCTCACAATTCTTTCAAAAACTAAACTCTAGGGGCACCTGAGTGGCTCAGTCAGTTAAGTGTCTGCCTTTGGCTCAGGTCATGATCTCAGGGTCCTGGGATCTTACCCACATCAGGCTCTTTGCTTTGAGGGGACCCTGCTTTTCCTTTTTTCTCCGACCCTTCCCCCACTTGTGATTTCTCTCTTTCTCTCAAATACATAAATAAAATCTTAAAAAAAACCCAACCTAAACTCTATCAGTGTTTTATAAACTCTTTCTGAAATGCTTATACTTCAACTCCTTCAAAAGAGCATCTCAACAAACACCACACCCCAGTGTATATGTCCACGAGGCCCATGTGAGTAAACATGAATGGGTCAAGGAGTATAAATTTCATATGCAATCTTATCAGTCCACCAAAAATGTATTTCTTTCCCTCCAAACCTCACAGCACTCAACTAAAGTACACAAGGAGGCTATCAGGTACTAGGTTTATAGGAATTATAAAAAGAAGTATTCTCGTTACCATGTTAATATGCATAATTCTCCCAAATCCTTTAAAATAGTATGGCCATAGGAAATATACAAACAAATTAAAAGCCAGTATTCATGATCCGTTTGAGTTCAACACCTCCATGAAATCGTAAAGTCCACAGAAATGAGGTGACTTGAATAAGCAGAGCCAAACTAGGACCCTGATGAGGTCAGCCCAGGCTAATGCTCTTCCCACTATTCTGTTGTCTTGTGTTTTCTGAGACAGAGAGAGGCCAGAGAGAGCAGCCCTCAAATCAGGAAGATATTTCCTTCCATTAGAGCAAAATCAGCTTTCAAGTCTTACGTAGAGTAGCTGACAAGTAGTCCCTGCAACAAATCCTCCGTTTCATTTTAATGAAGAACGATTTTTCCTACCTTTTGGTTGCTTTGAAATTTAGGTTCAATTGCCAAATAAAAATGCCTAATAAAAACAAAAACAATAATTGTATGAAGTGGCAAGGGCTGGGGATGAGGGAAGACATTCAGGCCTTTTTCTGGAGATAGCAGAAATTTCCCAGTTTAAATTGTGCTACATAGAAACAAAAACAAAAACAAAACCAAAACACTAAACTGGTTGCAGTCCAGCAACTGAGACATAGTCCTGGATCAAGAAGACACTCTAAAGGAGCCAACAGATCACCTTTAAAAGGAATAAGACGGCAAAGTCAATGACATGTTAAAAAAATAGAAGCCATAGGGGTACCTGGGTGGCTCAGTGGGTTAAAGCCTCTACCTTCAGCTCAGGTCATGATCCCAGACTCCTGGGATCGAGCCCCACATCGGGCTCTCTGCTCAGCTGGGATCCTGCTTCCATCTCTCTCTGCCTGCCTCTCTGCCTACTTGTCATCTCTGTCTGTCAAATAACTAACTAAATAAATAAATCTTAAAAATAAAATAGAAGCCATAGACCTTCCTCTTCACTAGTATTAATTTGAGTGATGCTATAAGTCATATGAGCTACCCTTAGAAGCTTCCTATATGCCAGGCACTGTGCTAAGTGCTAAATGTATCCCATTTACACTTTATGTAACTTGCCCAAGTTTACATACATTTTGATATCTGTGAACTATGTCAGATAGTTTTAGAGTAACTATATATAACAACCAAAATGGCTATAAACATGTCCTTCATCCTTTCATTACTAACAATGATGAATGAGTATAAATCAAACAACAGTAAAGGATTTTTTGTTAAATATATGCAGGAAAGGACTAATCTGAATGACTTAAAATTGGAGGTTTTACATTGGGAGAAACTGATACTGAAAAACCAAATAACGTAAAATCAACTACTTGGGCATTACCGCTGTCATTTATATGAATTATGCCTTTCATTCTTGACTTGTTCATGTAAAAATTCTCATGCTTCAATTGACTCTAAAAGTGGTTGCTGTGCATTCTTAAAAATACTACCCAAGAGAAACTTATATACCTGTGTGATGTACATGAACTGTTAAGACCTTCTGAAAACATACAAAATCACAACACAAATTATCTCATGCCTCCATCATGGGAATAAACACAAGACAGAGTTAAATACTAAAATTTCTCCTTTTCAATGACTCAATATCATTGATATTGAATGATGCCAAAGAAATGATAAAAGCTAACACAAAAAGATGGAAAAAGACATTTGTACCTCTGATACATTTTGGCATCGCAGGCTCCCAAGTACTACTCCCACCACAGAACACTGGGTTGCTGCCATTCATATAGAAGCCTGGGAAGCATTCAAGTAGAACCGTAGCTTGGTAGGAATATTTGTTTTTGATTCCTGATACCATTCTTCCATGTTCAAGTACTGGATATTCACATTTGACCACTGAAAAATGGAGAAATTAATGGAAAGCTGCTTGAACATAGGAGCAGAAAAAATAGCACAAGGTAATAATTTCCATCAGGAAGAAATATACAAGGAATGAAAAGCCCAGGTGTTAATTAAAAGGAAAAAAAACACACCAAATAAACCTGTATGCATATATATATTTTAGCTCTTGGGAGACAGATTTAGAGAAATCCAATAACTTTTTTCTACCTAAAAAAGACTGGCATTACAGTTTATTGGCTTTCCTACACTTTTTTCCCATTACTGATAAGGTTTGAGAAAGGCCTGACCACCACATACAAATCTGGGGTAAGTGCAAGAGCAACTTTTAATGTTCTTTGCCCTAGGGGTTTTTTTCAAGGTCATGTTGACACTGATTGCAGTAGCCTGGTTTTCTAGAAAGGTGGGAAACACTTTCTGAGAAGGCAATACTTGAGCTCAAAGTTAAAAGTTGAAAAGCAGGCAGCCATGCAAAGAGACGCAAAAAGGAAGTTCTCAGGTAGCAATAACATACACAAATGGATGTTCAAGAAATGGAAAGGCCAATGGAGTCAGGGCAGCGTTTTCCAAACATCTTGGCCGGCAATCCAGAGATCAAACAACACACTTCTTGCTGTATACCAGTATATGAGCACATAGGCCTGAAATACAAGTTAGCCTCATACCGGAGGACTCTGCTAGTTCCCATTCTACTCTCCCTCTTAAGAAGTACACATGGGTCATGACCTCACAGACTGATTTCAGAATCGACTCATGGGCTTGGGAGAATTTGGAAACAAAACCACAGGACTGAGCCTTGAGTACGACAGAACATGTTATGATATTAAATCCGAGCAGCAGATAAGGGCCGGAGAGTGGACAGCCTTTTCAACCAGAGGACTGCTCTTCCTGTGTTCCCAGGGATTCTGACTTTCCAGCAGCTGTCCTTTCCCTTCAGCCCGAGGAACTTCCGGTAGCAATTCCTATAGTGCAGGTCGGCTCGTGATTCTCCTGGCTTGGGTTTAGCTCCAAAGGTGTCCTTTCCTCACCTTCTGATGTGAAAGATTTCCCCTTGATGGAGAATTCTAGATGAAGTGCTATGGGGTTTTTCCAGCAGCCTAGCAGATACTGTCTTCCAGTCTCCAGCGTTCCTCAGGACAAGTCAGCTGTCACTCTTACTCCAGGCGATGGTGGGGGGTGGGGAGGACAGTGTGACATGTGTTTATTCTCCCCTCTCCCTGACTGCTTTTCCTTGTACACCTTTTGTTTTCAGTCACTTGACCCTGGGGGGGTTCTTGGTAAATGAAAACAACGTATTTGTCCTGCTGGGGTCACTGACTTTCTTGGTTCTGTGAGGTTATTGTTTTGGGACAAATGTGATTAATATTTGGCCCATGTTTATTCAAATTGGTGTCTACCCTGTTCTTTCTCCTCTTTCTGAAGCTCCAACAGCTTGTATGTTTGACTTCTTGCTACTCTTCCACAGGTCTGTACGTCTCTCTCTCTTTCTGGTATTTCTTTTCAAATCCTATTCTCCTGACTTCAGGTTCACCGATTTTTGCGCCAGATGCCTGTTAGTGGCAATAATGGCTTTCTTTATGTCGGCTAGACACAATATACACAGTAAAACTCATTCTTTTAAGAATACAGCTGTGTTAGGGCTGACAAATGCAAATAATCTTGTAATTACCACAATAAAGACACAGACAAATTCCATTACCCCCCAAAACATCCTCATGCCACTCTGTAATCGACCCTACACTCCCCCACACAATCACCTTCACCATCAGCCAAACACTGATCTGTTTTCTATCTCTGTACAGTTGCTTCTCCAGAATGTCGTAATGGGATCGCAGCCTCTGACTCTGGCTTATTTGACTCAGCATAATGCATCTGAGAGTCATTCGTGCTGCTGCATGGATTGGCGCTCACTCCTTTTTATTGCTGAGTCGCATTCTGCCATCTGGATGTACCACAGCTGCTAATCCATTTCACCAGTTGAAGGACAAGTGGGTCGTTCCCAATCTGGGGTGATTATAACTAAGGCAGCTGAATATTCTCATAAAGGTTCCTATGTGCGCATGTTTTCATTTTACTTGGCTTGATGAACTATATGGTTAAGTGTACGTTTAACTTTACAATAAATGAAAAAATGGGTTCCAAGTGGTCATACCACTTTGTATTCTTACCAGCAATGTACAAAAGTTCCAATTGCTTTATACCATTGCTGGTATTTGGTATTAGTCATTTATTTTTAATTTCAGTCATTCTAATAGGTGTTTAGTGGTATCTATTTGTGGTTTTAAATTACATTTCTATAACTTCTAATTATATTGAGAAACTTTTCATGTACTTTTTTGCCACCCATATATCATGTTTACTGAAATGGGCCTAATCAAATATTTTTTTTATTTTTTAAAAATTGCTTTGTTTTCTATCTATTGAGCTTTGAGAATTCTTTATGTATCATAGTTAGAAGTCCATTATTAGATATGTTCTTTGCAAATATTTTCTCCCAGTCTATGTTCATTTTTTCCCATTCTTTTAAAACTTCTTTTGTAGACCAGAAGTTTTGAGTTTGGAACATCCAATTTTTTATTTTCTTTAGAAGATCACACTTTATAGATGGTATTTAAGAAATCTTTGACTCGGTCACAAATATCTTGTTTGTTTTCTTGCAAAAGTCTTACAGTTTTACATGTAAATTTGTGGTCCAATTTTCCCCCTAAATTTTATTAATTTTTAAAAATATTTTATTTATTTATTAGGGAGCAAGTGAGCACAAGAAGGGGAGAGTGGCAGAGGGAAAGGGAGAAGCAGGCTCCCTGCTGAGCAGGGAGACCTATGTGGGACTCAGTCCCAGGACCCTGGGATCACGACTTGGGCTGAAGGCAGACGCTTAACCGACTAAGCCACCCAAATGCCCCAATTTTATTAATTTTTAAGAATTTTAAAATTTGAGTATAGTTGATACATGTTAGTTTCAGGTGTATAACATAGCGATTTACCATCTCTACATGTTACGCTAGACTCACAAGTGTAGCTACCACTTGTCACCATACAATATTTTTGACTACATTTCCTATGCTATATTTTTATTTTCATGATTTATTCATTCTATAGTGGGAAGTCTGTATCCCTCCACTCCCCTTCACTGATTTTTTTCATCTCCCACCTTTCTTTCCTCTGGCGATCATCAGTTTATTCTATTTATAGGTCTGCTTTCATTTTTGTTTTTTTTGTTTCTTTTTTTTTTTTTTTTTAGATTCCACATATGAGTGAAATCATATGGTCTTTTTCTGTCTCAGTCTAACTTATTCCACTTAGCATAGTACCCTCTAGGTCTATCTGTGTTTTTGCAAATGGCCAAAAAATCTCATCTTTTATGGCTGTGTAATACTCGTGTGTGTGTGTGTGTGTGTGTGTGTGTGTGTGCGTGCGCGCATGTGTATCATAGCTTCTTTAGACCTTCATCTATTCACGGCCATTTAAGTTGCTTCTGTATCTTAACTATTGTAAATAATGCTGCAATAAATAGGAGTGCATATCTTTTCAAATTAGTGTTTTTGTTTTCTTTAGTTAAATGCCCAGTAGTGGAATTATTGAATCTCTATGATCCATTTTGAATAAACTTTGGCTTGTGTTGCTAACTTTGGTCAAGGTTTTTTTGTTTTTGGTTTTGGGGTTTTGTTTTTTTTTTTTTTGGTATATGGATGTCTAATTGTGCTATACCATTTGTTAAAAACATTATTGTTTTTCCACTGAATTGTTTATATACCTGTACACTTGAAGAAAATCAACTGGATATGTTGGCAAGCATTTAATTCTGGATTCAGTATACCATTCCCCACAACTCTATATGCCTATCCTTTCACCTTTAGCACACTGTCTTGATTATATGCCTTAAGTATATTTTACATAGTCTTAACATCAGGTAGAGTGAATCCACCCAATTTTTTTCAAAATTGTTTTCACCATTCTAGTTATTTTGTCTTCCTGTATAAGGTTTAGAATCAGTTTAATTTATACAAAAAGTTCTTCTGGGATTTTTTATTGGGATTGTGCTGAGTTTAGATAAATTACAGAGAACTGATTATTATATTGAATCTTCCAAACCATAACTAACATATATCCCTCCATTTATTAAGGTTTTCTTTAATTTCATTTATTGGTGCTTAGTAGGTTTTAGCCTTAAAAATATTTCATATATATTGTTAGATTTACACTCAAGTATTTCATGTTTTGGAGAAACTGTAAATACTTTACAAATTTCTATTTCTAATGGTTTATTGCTAGTATATAGACATATAACTGTCTTCTGTGTTGATCTTATATTTTGCAACCTTGTTAAAACTTCAGTTTTTGGAATCTTCCTCACAATTGGGTCATAAGTGAACAGAGACTTTGTTACTTTCCAATATGTATGCCTAATTCTTTCTCTTGCTTTGCTGTAGTAGCTGGGACATGCTGTACAATGCTGGATAGAGTGGTGAGAGTGGCTTTCCTTCTCTTGTTCCTACCATGAGGGAAATTAGTCTTTTACCATTAGATAAAATGTTAGCTCTGAGATTTTTGTTGATGATGAGAAAATTTCTTCCTTTCTATTCTAGTTGAGAAATTTCATCCTGAAAAAGATAAATTCTGTCAGGTGCTTTTTAAAAAATATTTATTAAAAGGATTGTGTTTTTTTTCTTATTTATAGTCTCTTGATATAGTAAATGACACTGATTAATTTTTAAATGTGAACCAATCTTGCATTTATGGGATAAATCGTACTTTGCTATGACGTATTATTATTATTATATATGGCAGGATTTGTTTTGTTGCTATTTTGAGAAGTTTTGGTTCTATGTTCATTAAAGACATTGTTTGTAATTTTCTTACAAAGTTTTTGTCTGGTTTTTGCATTAGGATAATGTTGTTCTCAGAAATGAGTTAAGAAGTATTCTCTCCTCCTAAATGTTTTCAGGAGTTTGCGTAGAGCTACTGTTATTTGTTCTTGATATGTTTGTTAGAATTTTCCAGGGAGGCCATCCGGCAGTGCTATTCTCATTGTGGGGAGGTTTTTAACTAAAAATTCTATTTCTTTTTTTTTTTTTTAAGATTTTATTTATTTCTTTGACAGAGACAGATCACAAGTAGGCAGAGAGGAAAGCAGAGAGAGGAGGAAGCAGGCTCCCTGCTGAGCAGAGAGCCCGATGTGGGACTCGATCCCAGGACCCTGAGACCATGACCTGAGCCGAAGGCAGAGGCTTTAACCCACTGAGCCACCCAGGCGCCCAAAAATTCTATTTCTTTAATAGATTTAAGACTATTCAGGGATGCCTGGGTGGCTTAGTAGGTAAAGCATGTGACTCATGATCTCAGAGTTGTGAGTTCAAGCCCCATATTGGGCATAGCCCCATAGGGGCAAAAAGAAGATGACTTACCAGGTTATGTATATCTCTGGGCGAGCCTTGGTTGGTATTTTGTGTCTTCCAAGGAATTTGTCAATTTCAAATATAAGTTATCATATTTATAAGCACAAAAGTTGCTTTCATAATTCCCGCATTATCCCTTAAATGTCTGTAGGATATTTAGTTTTGTCCTCTTTTTCATTCCTGATATTGGTAAAGTATATTCTTTTTTTTTTTTTTCTTTCAGTCTGGCTATAACTTTATCTATTTTACTGATTTTTCTCCAAGAACCAGGAGTTGGTTTCATTAATTTTCTCTTTTCAATTTCATTGATTTACTTCTACTGATATTATCTCCTTTGTCTCCTTGTTTTGAGTTTAATCTGCTCTTCTTTTTTAGAATAGATTATTGGGGTGCCTGGGTGGCTCAGTGGGTTAAGCCTCTGCCTTCGGCTCGGGTCATGATCCCAGGGTCCTTGGATCAAGCCCCGCATCGGGCTCTCTGCTCGGCAGGGAGCCTGCTTCCTCCTCTCTCTCTGCCTGCCTCTCTGCCTACTTGTGGTCTCTGTCAAGTGGATGAATAAAATCTTAAAAAATAAATAAAAAGAAGAATAGATTATTGAGACTTCTGTTTTTCTAACATAACTATTTCTTTTTTTTTTTTTAAAGATTTTATTTATTTATTTGACACAGAGAGATCACAAGTAGACAGAGAGGCAGGCAGAGAGAGAGAGGGAAGAAGGCTCCCTGCTGAGCAGAGAGCCCGATGCAGCGGGACTCGATCCCAGGACCCTGAGATCATGACCTGAGCCGAAGGCAGCGGCTTAACCCACTGAGCCACCCAGGCGCCCCATCTAACATAACTATTTCATTTCATAAATTTTCTGCTAAGCAATGTTTTTGATGTGTCAAATTTGATATTTTGATATGCCATGTTTTCATTTTTATTCAATTCAAAATACTTTCTAAATTCTCTCATGAATTCTTCTTTGACATAGGGATTGGTCAGAAGTGTCTTGCATAATTATCAAATATTTGAAGGTTTTCTAGGTTATCTGTTTTATTTCTACATTCGTTCCATTGTAGTCAGTTAATATATTCTGAATAATTTCAATTATTTGAAATTTGTTAAAAATTGTCATGCCCATTTTAGAGAATGTTCTATATGGACTTGAAGAGAGTAAATATTTTGGGGTGCCTTGGCTCAGGTCATGATCTTGGGGTCCTGAGATGGAGCCCCATATCAGGCTCCCTGCTCAGTGGGGAGCCTGCTTCTCCCTCTCCCCACCCCACCCACGATCCTTCTCTCTCTCTGTAATAAATAAATAAAATCTTTTAAAAAGAGGGAAAAAAAGAGTAAATATTTTGTGCTATTCAGTGCTCCCTTTCTTCTAAGAGTCAAATCCCCTCTAGTGCCTCTCTGTTTGTGATTAGTCTTCATTGTTAATATTGTTTTTTTAAATATGTTTTGTCCAGAGCTTTTCAATCTTGGTGGTTAGAGGGTTCATCTTTTACAATTTATTCTGTAGCCAGAACTCTCAGATATCTTGTAATATAAAAAAATATTTTCTTATTTTTAACCCAGTAGGTGTTGAATTTTTGGGTTCTTTCAGGGAAAAAATTCATAATTCATGCATATACATAGTAGATCACCATGTATGAACTAGAATGCTGAGAACAGGTGGGATGAGGAGCAGGGAACTCTGTAACTAGAACTGATTTCACTTGAACCTGTATTAATCTACAAGGGAAGTCAATTTAACAGGAAGAGGAAGCACATACACACTGTTTTGTTTACTTACAGATAAAACTATTTACAAAATTCCAAGTTCAAGATTTACAAATAAAGAAGGAAATAAATGGAAATATCACTACCTTTACACTGAGGAGGGCTACTACTCCACTTGTTATGGTCAATACAAATAAGTTTGCTGTCTCCAACAAGTGAAAATTCATCTGGTCCATTTGAAGGATTACAAGTAAAAGTAATTAATTCATTATATTCAAATAGAGTTCTGTGACTATTGCTGTATTTTCCATTTTTTATTCTTTTAGGTGGATTACAGTAAATCTCTTAAAAAGGAAATAAAAAGAGGAAATAAAGGGCAAAAGGAAAAGTGTTAAGAAAGCAATATAAAGTCCTACAAACTACCTTCAGTAAATTCATTAACAATTTCTATAAGCTAGCTGTGAATCTAGTACCTATTTAGGCTTCTATGAGAAAATAAATGATCCCAAATTCAAACCACGCACAAATAAACTTTCAAAACACAAAACTCATTTTCTTGAATACCTATATGAAATACCTATTATTACTTTATAAGGCCATGCTAAGTTTTGTTCTGGTCACCATAAAATGTACTGAAATTTTAATGAGAAGACATGCTTGTGATTAAAAATAAAATTCACTGCTAGCTGAGAAACTCTTTAAATATATCCATTTGCAAATTATATATATATATATATACACACACACACACACATATACACACACACATGCTGAATGAGTGATTTACATGAGTGAATCACTCAATTCACATAAATGAATCAATTCACATGAGTGAATTACTCAAATGAGTGATTCACAATAATGCCAAGATATTGTCTTTCTTCACTTTCATCCTTATGAACATACAGTGAAATTTTCCAAGGCTACAAATTGTGTGATTTCACCACAGACTGAATCCAGATGTCCTTCTTTAAGCCAAATATTAAAGAGATTTGCAAAAATGTAAAACAATCACGATATTTTCAGTATCTGTTTCAGAAAATTTATTTTTCATAAAAAAATGCTGTGTATCTTAATGTAGTGGGCTTACTATTATTAACATGAATGAATAATTATTTTTAAAACTTTTCATTTTTTATTCCAATATAATGAATATCAATAAGCACAGCCCACATAAAGAAAAGTTCTTTGGGATCTTTGTCAATTTAAAAGCATAAAGGGGAGCTGAGGTCCAAAAGATTGAGCCTTGCTTGTCTAAATTCTAAAATGAAAATTTACTTACTATTACATGTTGGTAATTCGTCACCCCAATACACATCATCTCCACGACGGTGACAAACTACAGCTTGTTTTCCAGATAAGTAATAACTGAGAAAAGAAAAACTTACTGTTTTCTCTATTAGTTAATAAGATACACATAAAAATGAAAATTTTAATACTGTTGCTTTTCTACACAACAGTAGTTTGAGGAAGAAGTTTCTCAAATAACATATAGTGAAAGTGCTAACCATATCTGCTATTAATTGAATAGAGTTTCTAGGGGTACCTGGGTGGCTTAGATGGTTAAGCATCTGCCTTCAACTCGGGTCATGATCCCAGGGCCCCTGGGATGGAGCCCCACATCAGGCTCCCTGCTGAGCAAGGAGCCTGCTTTTCCCTCTCCCTCTGCTTGCCACTCCCCCTGCTTGTGCTCCCTCTCTGTCAAATAAATAAAAAATTCTAAATAAATAAATAAGTAGAATTTCTACTTTTGAACCCTCATTGACCAAAAGCAAAGATGTCTAAATAAATCTGCTGTACCTGTCAGTCTGGCGTCTTTGCTATCTCCAGCAATCACATTACACATTCATTTCTACATCTATGTTCACACCACTCTTCTCAGTAAAAACAACAACTGAGTAGAGAGATTAGGCCCTAGAGCTTGCCTATCCGGCTCTGAGTCTCAGCTTTTTGACTCACTTTCTGTCTGAGCTCAGGAAAGTCCCTTAATGGTCCCCTTCCTCATCTATGAAAAGGGGAACAGTGCATACTTCATGGGATAGTTTCCAGGATTAGATGAGTTAGCATCTGGTACATACTGAGTGCTAGGGCAATTTTTAGCTCTTGTTAATATTCTTTAGGTAAGAATATTTTTCTGGGGCTAGCTCAGGAATATTACTCAATGAAATATTCTCTTGTGATTTAAATTCATGGTATTCTCTTCTCCTGCGGGACTCTTACTGTAATAAGCATGAATAATTTTATTTATTTGCTACTTCTGATTTATTATTTTGTTTTGACACGTCTCTATACACTGTGTTTCTCAACAAGGCTACAACTTTTTTGAGAAGAGACTATACCTTAAACTTGTTGTCTGCCTAGCAGGCTTGCTCTATGTAACTACTCACTAGATGTTCCAATATTTTTACTTGATCAAATTAAAACAAATAGTCGGTGAAATGGTTTATATAGGATCCAGTTGCCTTTTTGCTACGTTATGGTATTTAGGGAAGGATTCTGGGAAAACACAGAGTAGGAAGCACTAACAGTCCGTCTCCCCAGCCAGACAACATCTGCAATGGCGAATCCGCCTGATGGAACTATTCTGGAGCTCTGGAGTCTGATGATGGCTTGCAACTTCCAAGGAAAGACTTGGACAGGTAAATTGCATTGATTTCAGTCAAGATCACCTTAGCACAGTGTCTCCCGCCCATAGCAGACAGCTCTGTATGTGTTCCTGGAGCAGCTTAGAAGCAGTTCTGGGGAGCCAGGGTGCACAAAAAGGACCCTGTCCTCCAAATACTGGGGACCTGTGCTCTTATCACTGAATTCTGCTTCCAATCCCAGTGAAGCATTCAAAGAGGTGGGCAGCCACTGTCGCCATACCTACCCCTAACTCTTGTAAGCCCCTTTCTAACTGTCTGAAGTGACTTCCAGGGGATGTAAACCTCCAGGACTATTTGCTCCCCACTTCATTTTTCACTTTTTTCCCTCTCCAGAGAGCTAGACATTAAAGACTAGAATATTCAAAACCAACTGCATATGTGAAGAAAGTTAAGAAATGAGTGTGCAGGGGCGCCTGAGTGGCTCAGTGGATTAAGAAGTGAGTGTGCATGCCCAAGGAAAGTCTCTGGAAAGACTGTTAGTTTAAATGTCAGGCTCATAAAATATAGGACGAGCCCAGATGTCCATCGACAGATGAATGGATAAAGAAGATGTGAAACAGATGTAGATAAATAGATAGAGATAGAGACAATGGAATATTACTCAGCATCAAAAAGAATGAAGTCTTGCCATTTGTGACAACATGGATGGAACTAGAGGGTATTATGCTAAGTGCAATAAGTCAGTCAGAGAAAGATAAATATTTTATTATTTCATTCTTATGTGGAATTTAAGAAACAAAACAGATGAACATAGGAGAAGGGAAAGAAAAATAAAATAAGATGCAATCAGAGAGGGAGACAAACCATAAGATACTCTTAACTATAGGAAACAAATGGAGGGTTGCTGGAGGGGAGTTGGGTGGAGGGATGGGGTTACTGGGTGATGGGCATGAAGGAGGGCACTTGGTGTAGTTAGCACTAGGTGTTAAATGCAAATGATGTATCACTAAATTATATCCCTAAAACTAATAATAGACTATACATTAATTAAATTGATTTTAAATTGACAGTAAATAAAGGTCAGTCTGATCCTCAGCAGAGATACCCTACCATAACCACAAAAATATGAACAGTAACATAAAACATTGGCCCTAGGGAAAGGGAAGAATTCAAATGTCCGGTATTCCACACACACACAAAATTACAAGATACACAGAGAAACAGGAAAGCTTGGCCCACTGGAGAAAAAAAAAATAAATCAACAGAAACTGTTTCTGAAAAAGATCTGATGGCAGATCTGCTAGACAGAGACTTCAAAATAACTTCAAAATAACTATCTTAAACATGCTCAAAGAACTTCTCAAAGGAAGAACAGGAGAAAGTCAATTAAATGATATATGAACGAAATGGGAATGTCAATAAGGTGACAGAAAACCTTAAAAGAAATTCTAGAGCATAAAAGTAAAGTAACTGGGATACAAAGAATTCACTAGAGGCACTGAAAGCAGATTTGAGCACCAGAAGAAATAAGTGAACATGAAGCTAGAACAACAGAAATTATTGAGTCTGAGGAAAAGAAGGAAAAAAGAGTGAAGAAAAGTGAGCAGAACCAAAGGGACTTGTGGGACACCATTAAATAGACCAACATATACATTGTGGGAGTCCCAGAAGGATAAGAAAGACAGGAAGGGGCGGAGAGAATATCTCACGGTTGACATCCCAAATGTGATGAAAGACGTGAACATAAACATCCAAGCAGCTCAACCACCTCCAGGAAAAATGAACTCAAAGAGCAACTAAGACAGGTAATAAACTTTCAAAAGACAAAGACAAAAAGAGAGTCTCAAAGGCAGGAAGAGAGAAGTGAGTCATTATACAAGGGAGCCTCAAGAATATTATCGGCAGATTTCTAATCAGAAGCTTTGAAGGCCAGAAGATAGTGGGACAGTATACTCCAAAAAGTGCTAGAAGGAAAAAACTGTCAGCCAATAAACATCAATCCGGGAAAACTACCTTTCAAAAGTGAAGAGGAAACCAAGACTTTATAACAAAAGCTGAGGGACTCAGTGACCACTAGATGTCCCCTGCAAGAAGTAAGAAATGCTCAAGGGAGTCCTGCAAGATGAAATGAAAGGACGCTGAAAGTATCTTTGAGTCATATGGAGAAATAAATATCTCATTAAATGTAAAAGCATTGGTAATTATAACAGCTTATATTATTGTATAAGTGCAATTTTTGTTTTCTTTATAACCTAAGAGACTAATACATTAAAGGGAAGAAAAAACAGAAATGTAAAACACAGTGTTACTGTAACTTTGGTTTTTAACTCCAAATCTCATTTTCTACATAATCTAAGGGACAAATTTAAAAGTACGATTAGTTTGTGTTTTGGAGCACACGATGTAGAAAGATGTAATTTTGTATAATAAATAATCAAAGGGGGTGGGAGTGGAGTTCTAAAGGATCAGAGTTTTTGTATGTTATGACATTAAACAGGTACAAATTCAAATTAGAGTGTTATAACTTTAGGATATTAAATATAATCCCCATGATAACCATATAGAAAATAGCCATAGAATATACATAAAAGGAAAAGAGAAAGGAACTTAAACATTTCAATACAAAAAGTCAAATAAACAAAAAAAGACACTAATGCAGGAAATGAGGGCCAGAATAAAGCTATAAGGCATACAGAAAACAAATAGCACAATGACAGAAGTAATTGACTCCTTATCAGTAATTGCTTCAAATTTAAATGGATTAAAACCCTCTAATCGAGAGACAGAGATTGGTAGAATGGATGAAAATACATGATCTAACTATATGCTTCTACAAGAGACTCACTTTTAGATCCAAGGACAAAACAGGTTGAAAGTAAATGGACTGAAAAAAGATATTTTAGCAAATAGTAACCAAAAGTAAGGTTGACTATACTAATATCAGACCAAACAGACTGTAAATCAAAAAAGGTTACAAGAGACAAAGGACATTATACATCAACAAAGGGTTTATACAGTAAGAAGATTTAACAGTTGTAAATATTTATGCCACCTGATAACTACCACCATAACATATGAAGCAAAACCTGACAGAATCGAACAAAGAAATATGCATTTCTACATAATAGTCATTCCTACTAGTTGGCGACTTCAGTACCCAGTTCACAGTAATGGAGAGAACCATCAATATAAGTGAGGAAACAGAGGACTTCAAGAACACAACATTTCCGTGAGTCCTCCTTCAAATTCGAGAGTTGGAATTTTAAATGGGGTGCACTTTGCCAAGGATAAAGTCACCGTGATTACTACATTTTTGATGCTCACAATAAACTTATTATAGATATATAAATATGAGACAATTTTGCTTTCCTTCAGAATTGATTTCTTTGAATTAATTATGTATCTTTTCAGTCTCTTTAAAAAAACCCAAGGGTTGTTTGGCTAAAAGTGCAACATTTACGAAAATGCTTGAGGAGCAAAACAAAAATAGAATTGGTAACATTTACCTCATTTCCTCTAAGGAGCAACTTACCCCTCATTACAAAAAAAGTGAGCTGCATTTTCAAATTGAAAGGAGTTATTTGGGGCATAGACTTCGCCATTTTCGAGTACTGGAGTTTTACATTCTTTCCCTAAAATAAAATTTAAAAAAAATTTTTTTAACACCAATTTCAAAACAGATTTAAATCAAAGTCAAAATTCTGTACTATTCTCTGCAATTAATGCAATATCATTTTCTGTAACTAACCGGTATACAAACTTAAAATTCACATTAAACCTGGTAAACAATTGCCAAGAAAAAGATCCCCTGGGAATTTCTTAAATACTGGAAAAATACTGCTCCCTGAAACCAATTTTCACATAAGAAAATCTTGCTGTGGTGGGAAAAAAATGAAAGAAAAAAAAATGAAGGAAAAAAAAAAGAAATGTAAAAAGTAGTAGTGGAAAATGGACCCTAAAATTTGTAAAAATCTCTAGAGAAAGCAAAACACAATTTTGAGTTTTTGTTGTTGTTGTTGTTGTTTACTTACTGTAACAAGCTTCTTCAATAGGATACCATGAGTGATTTTGCTCACAGTAAGTCTCGACAGAGCTCAGAGCTATGTATCCTGGGAGACACTCATACAATATATCTTCCCCAACTTCATAATATTTTTTAAGGGGACTCTTGAGGAACATATTTTCATATTTTGGTGGCTCACCACAGGCATCTAGGGATAAGAGATTAAGAACATGAAATTTTTTTTTGGTATTTTTTTTATGCATTTTAAAAAATACATGTATTTATCTCATGCACCAGCCAAGGACTGTGGTCTGACAGGATGTAGGTAATACCGAATAAATGGAAAGATCCTTGGCAGGCTTTTAATGATACTTACGTGCTTTTACCCAGGTGGTGGGAGGAGTGGAGGATGTGCCCTGCTTGCTGTAAGTAACAGGCTATCAGCATTTTATTTGATGGGGAATAAGCTGAATTTTCATGCAACAATAAATTGAAAAGACAAAATCAATGCTTATGATCTTAAAATATATATAGGTATGCAACCTTTCCCACTTTTTTCTTTTTCTGTTTTTTTTTTTTAAATATTTTATTTGTTTATTTGACAGAGAGTTAGAAAGAGAGCACAAGTAAGCAGAACGTCAGGGAGAGGGAGAGAGAGAAGCAGGCTCTCCGCTGAGCAGGGAGCCCGATGTGGGGCTCGATCCCAGGACCCTGGAATCATGACCCGAGCTGAAAGCAGCCGCTTAACCAGCTGAGCCACCCGGGCGCCCCCCCACTTTTTTCTAAATTCATTTAAAAACTTGCCTCTCCTCTAAGAAGCCTTCTGTAGTACACAGCACCCTGCTCCAGTGACTTTCCCATAGTCTGAAACAAACTAATGATAACTCGTCACCTCAGGCTCAGTCTCCTCGTAGAAAGCAACTTCCCAGAGGTCAGGGATTGTAGGTCTTTTTTTCTATGGCACTGTGTATCCAGTGGGTGCTTCAGAAATGCTAGAACTATCTTGGAACTCTGGAGTCTGATGATGGCTTGCAACTTCAAGGAAAGACTTGGACAGGTAAATTGCATTGATTTCGGTCAATATCATTGATGGAAATACATCATTGACAATATCATTATGGGAAAATAATGTTGCTTTTTTGGGCATTACAATACTTGAACAATAGATGCCATTATGTAATCCCGCAGTCTGCATGCAGAAAATTCCCTAATGTTCCAGGGGAATTTCAGGAAATTCAAAGTGCTCTACTATAGAGCAATCCAACTGTTCGCCTCTACACTTGCAAAAATCCTACAATGCTCCCTAGCCTTGCAAAAATTAAAATAACTCTCTGACCCCAGCACAAACCCACAGCCCTGCCCAAAACACTACCTTCAGAAAATCATGGTCTCCGACCTAAACTGGAATTGCAATGAAACCTGACCTACCCGCTATGTTTCCTATGGCCACCCAACTGAGTTTTAAATTTTCTTTGCTACCTCAGAGACTCTTGTGTTTACACCTGTCAGTTGTAGTTCTCATTTCCCACTCACTTCTGGGCCTATGAAAATCAGTCAAATTACTGTCAAAGTCACTAATTGAGGCTCCTGGGGGGCTCAGTCATTAAGCATCTATCTGTCTTTGGCTCACGTCAGGATCCCAGGGTCCTGGGATCGAGTTCTATTTTGGACCCCCTGCTCAGCTGGAAGCCTGATTCTCCCTCTCCCACTTCCCCTGCTTGTGTTCTCTCTCTCGCTGGGTCTCTCAATGTCAAATAAATAAAATCTTCAAAAAAAAAAAAAGTCATTAGTTGACTCTGTTTTTGGTAAATTTATTTTAACAGTTTCTTCCCCAGTAATATTAGTTACTCTGTCTATAACTTCTGCAGCCATTGATCCTTCTTTGCTCTCTCCTGCCTGAAAAGCTCTCTCCCTGATTTCTAGGAAAGCACACCACCCAGTTTGGCAGCTTGTCCTCTGGCTCCCTTCTTTCTGCCCAATTGGATAACATGACGCTCCTAATGGGTTGCTGTGGGAATCCTGGTTACTCCACTCCGCATATCCCTGTGGATGTGCACACTCCTGTGACCTCATTACCACTGAGAAGAGCTGTCCCAAATCCTGGTCTCCATCCTCGATCTCTCCCAGGTGCTGGACTGTTTATATTCAATTGCCTTCCTGAAAACGTACCCCATAGGGTTAATGAGATTGAAACTAGAAGAAAGTTTATACCTTTTTTTTTTTCTCCCAGAGAACTGTTTCTTCCTAATCAGCTTTTGTGTCTTCTCAGAGCTTACTAACGAACTCATGAGCTGTTACTGCAGAAGCCTGGGAATCAAGGTCAACAAACAGATATGGGTCCAGTCTGTGAGCAAGCAAGGCTGTGCATTCTTTACCCTAGATAAGGAGTCCAAGATCCAATCCAGGTTATACTGGATCTCCGCGCAGGCCTGGAGCCCCTTCTCCTTGCCCTGAGATAACTTCGTGAGGTCAGAGACTAAATTCTGCCCCTTCTGATGGATACTCAGGTATCCACCCCAAAGGGAACACGGGATGTATGCATGCAGGACACTCAATGTACAAGTTCCATCTTTCCTCTTGAATAAGTTGTTAAATTTCCCTGCTCTTTTCATAAATATGTATATAATCTCAACCCTTATGATTACAAAAACACTGTCCTCTCTCCCTTCAGAGAGGGGGGGTTTCAGGCCTCCTCTCCTGCTTCCTTTGGTTGCTTCTCAAATAAACTTTCCTTGCTGCATATCTAATGTCTCCGTGATTGGTTTTGCTTTGCATCAGGCAGATGGACTTGAGTTTGGTTCCACCTGGAAAGTGTCATGCTCTCTCAGATAACATTAGGAAGCCAGAGTGTGACCTCTTGCCCAACAAACAAGATAGTTTTCACAACTCAAATGCCTATTCTGTCTCTCTAATTCCACCTTTCCCTCCAGTTCAAACCACTGCCATTTCTTCTCTAGAGTGCTACCAGTGTTTCTGAACAGGCCCCCTTAGCCACCTTGCCACCTTTCATTCATTTCATGTTTCACACTGCTGCCAGAGTCATGCTGATAGGACACAGTGACCAAAGCTCTTCCAAGTCTGATATCTTTCAATGACTTCCCAATGCCCTCATGACAATGTCTAGGGCTCCCTATCATGGCTGGCAGTCTTGCAAAGCCCGTCATTACCGGGACTCTGCTCACTCTTGCACCCTATTCCCAAGCCCTATTCAATTCCTGGCAGTGTCCATTAAATGACCTCAATTATGTCAGCACTCCAGACCTCCCTGCATCAATTAACTTCAGCTTTGACCAGAGACCCCGCACTCCTCCCACCCTCTCACCCACTCATCCTTCAGTTTCAGCTGACAGGCCACTTCTTGTGGCTCTTGACATGTGTCAGCAAAAAACTGGGTTAAGGGACACCCAGGTGACTCAGCCAGTTAAGCTTCTGCCTTCAGCTCAGGTCATAATCCCAAGGTCCTCGGATGGAGTTCGGCATCATGCTCCCTCCTCTGCGGGAAGCCTGCTTCTCCCTCTGCCTGCCGCTCCCCCTGCTTGTGCTCTCTCTCTCTCTGACAAATAAATAAAATCTTTAGAAAACAACAGGGGTGAGTTTCCTCGCGATCCACATTTACTTCATCCACAGACTACCCCACAGCGGGACTCGTTATTGTCTCTGCTTCCTACCAGACGGTTACCTCTGAGGACTATGGGGGGCACCTCACTGCACCTGTAACACCAACCGCCACAGCTGAATGAGCGCCGCTGTCAGTTCCAGATACTCTTAGACCAAAGCTCACATCCTTTTCTGCTCAGCCAAATTCTTCCAAAGATACCCGCAAATCATAATTTTTTTCTTTGTTGTTTTATGCCTGTCTTCAACTTTTTTTCAAAGGTTGAATGATAGCTCTTTCCCTTATTCAGGTATTTGATTTCTTTCATGTCAAAATATTTATGCTTTCTTGTTTTATTTTGACCCCATTCTCCATTATTGCTATTCTTAGAAAGAGCATTTTAACATGATCAAAGGAGAACTCCAAATAATAGGGATTTTATTTTTTCCGAAGTACAGTAACTGAAGACTCTACATCTTGTATCTTAAAACAATAGTGGTGATAGTATTAATAATTTTAGAAATAGCAAACATCCAGCACTACCTCCGTCTATTTTTTTTTTTTTTGAGTAGGATGTCCTTTATTCAAGGGAACACAATCCACAGATTGAGGGAATGTGGTGACTTTCATGTTCTGGAGCACTATTCCTGACGGATTTGGAGCAAGAAGGAGATTTATAGAGCTTTCCAAGAGGAAACTCAGAAACAGGGCATGATTGGCTGGGAGACTGGAGATTTCCTTATAAGGTTAGCCAGCTCAATTCCTCAAGAAAGTCCCCTAAGCTTTGAGGATGGTGACTGGGGTATGCTGGGTGTCCCTGACAGTTGTTTCCCATAAGTGCAGGCAGACTTAGAGTTAAATCTGTGATGTGGGCCAAGTCACTGGGTCTCCATTTCGTGGGTCCTGATATATGGTTTAACTTTATCAATTCCCTACGTCCATTCTGTACATTCATTAGACTACAATTTTCCAAGGTCAGTCAGTGATCATCATCACGGTAACAGGAACTTGAGGGAGATGCCAATGTCAGATGTTCCTCAATTATTTTTACTTCTCCCCGCAAAATGCACATAGTAATCTGCCTCAGAACTCCAAGATTAGGTTGCAAGCGCTACTTGTAGTTGAAATTTTTTATATTGCTTTCATTATCATTCCCCTCTCCCCTTAGGATTCTTTAGTGAAAAGCTCTAGATTTGTACCTGGACTTCAGTCAGATAATACATGCAGTCCTTTATTTGCTTTGCCCATCAAAAGCAATCAGAAGGAGAGGTGCTCAGGGAAATGACCTATACTTATATTTTAGGCACAGCTTAACTTGTCTTCATACTCATCCTACGGGTTGGGCACTATTGCCCCCTCTCTAAGATGGGCCAGGTAAGGCACAGTATGTTAAGTCACTGGCCCAAGCCAACATCTCCAGCAGCCAGGCCGCCTGCTTCCGCTACGGACACTGCTTCTCACCACACTCACCTGAAACCCTCCCACGCTTACACCAACACCCTGCAATGCCGTCCTCAAGAAATGGTCTTCTACCGAGTCTGGAGAAATTAAAGGAACCCTGGTTTAGATTTGCTGTGTGCTAAGTCAAACAAAAGGGCTCAAGTGCCCTGAAGGGACAGATAACAACATCAAGCCTGAATTTTAACAATGGGGATTGTTCATTCCTCACTATCCTGTTGCTTTTCACAGTGATTGGCTCTGTGTTCTAGTCCTTGGCCTTTCCCTTGCCTCCCTTGTCCTCCAGCTGCCACACAGGCAGCTGCACGGTCCTTGGGAGCCCCCAGCCACATCACAGCTCTAAGCCTCTGATCACACTGCTCCCCTCTGCTCTGAACATCCTTCCTTCCTGCTCAGCTGCAACCCCCCTCAACTCCTGTCTTCTTATACTGAATCCACTCAACCACTCCTCTAGCAAGCACCATCTGCTTCCCCCGGGAGGCAGTGCCCAGTGGCCTCGTCCTGGACTGTCCTCCACATGGATCGCTCAGTCACTATCACGGGTTTCTGTGTTCAATAATTCCCCTGTTATGGCCCATGCGGCCATAACACCAAGCACAGCATGTCCCTCAGAGGAGCTGGGCAAAACCATCTGGCACTCAAAGGACCCCTGGTGTCCAACAGAACACCTCGCTGAAGAATATACTGGGATGCATCTAATACTGAAAAGCATCATCTTTAAGCTTTGGCCAGAAGGACCTGGCCACAGGATTTCCTCTGTTGCCTAACTCCCAGGATTCTGGTGACCCAGCAACTGACCAGATAAGGACTGCTCTCTTTGCATTCTAACCTGTAGAGTAAGGAAGTAAGAAACTACCCTGTAAACACTTAATGGATCTATCCTGGCTTCATCCACCAGAGAGAAAGAAAAGACCTAAAAGAGACACCACTCACAGCAGGAGGTGGTGGGTTTTGTCCAAAACGCAGACCCCTTCTAGAAGAATGAGACTGGTTCTCAATTGGACGAATGTTGGCTTCTGCCATCTCATGCAGCCGGCAATTACCTCCCTCTGAGATGGGAAGCCTCCAGGCACAATGCTGCCTGCTTACAAACCTGCTTCCGGCCTGTGAGCTGCTTCAGAACTGAATGTGTATTCTAGTCCCGTATTTTCCCTGCCCGACATAAGGAGGCTCATTTGTACTTTCTCTAATTTCATACCTATCCTGATTTTACCTTTGAACTTTTACTTGGTCTTGTGTTTCCTTTTCTGCATTTTTAAGTTTTGCTACCTTCCATGTTGCACCCCATTTTATTTTCTCTCTTCCAAACAACATCCAACGTGAGCAACAAGGATCATCTAAACTTGATCCTTTTTTAAAACATTTTTTTGTTTTCTTTTTATTGCCCCTGGTCCCTCCCCACGCTACTCCCTCGACAAAAATGAACTTTTTCATGATCAGGAACAAGGAAGATTAGAGTATGGTGAGCTCTGCAGATTCTACAGAACAGGGAAGACAGAGCCTCTGTGATGGTCAGCTTCCCCTGACTTAGCTTAGGCACCGCAGAAAGGCCATCCTGAGAACAGGTGTTTAAAGAACCTTCCTCCTGGAAGCGGGAGGACTGGTTTCTGGCACTCTAAGCCCCAGCTTCGTTATATTATTTATTTAATTTATATTATTTATATTATTTATATCTATATAATTATTATAATTCATTTTCTGGTACTCAATACTTACACAAGAGTGTTGACACTGTGCAAAAAATTGCAAATCTGGAACCGCAAGCGTGACAAGACAGAGAAGCTCTCTACACTCTCGTGGGGAGAGCAGAAAACATGTTTGCAGGGGTGACTCCCAGTCAGGGGGGATTTGAGCTGGTGTGCGTGTTTCTGTCTGAGATAGGGTGGTCAGAGAGGGGCCTCCTGAGAGGCTGACACCTCAACTCAGCTTGAGAGGTAAGGAGGAGCCAGGGGAGAATGATCCAAGTCTGAGGGAATAGTAAGTACAGAAGCCCCACAGAGGCGGAGTTTGGCCCACCAGGGGCCCCTAGTGATTGGTAAATGCTATCAGAGGGTCAAGCTCCTTTCCCCCAAAGCACTTCCTTTGGGTTATAACATATTCACGAGCAGTATGTTTGGTCTGCCACTCCTGATAAATTTTAGCAACTATTTCTCCACTGCCACTGTGTGCCTGACACTGGGGTCCTCACAGCGAGCAAACGTGTCTGCTCACCGCCAGAGGGCACAGCCTCTCCAGACTCTTACCGGAGTTCAGAGAGAGCAGGAGCACTGGGGCCACCAGAAGGACCCCGACCAGGCGCCAAGAAAAGCGCTTTTCGGGGTGAAAGCAACGGGCGACGTACGGCGCGGAGGACACCGTCATCTTCCCGGAGACCCGCGGGAATCTGAGAGTCCGCCAAGCGACACCGTCCCAGGTTTGGGGAACAGACGCAACAATCCCGAGCGGCCGGGTGTCAGGAGCCCGCCGCGGGGGCGTGGCCTCAGCGCGGTTTGGGCGGAAGTGACTCTCCTTCCCGAAGTGGGCGGAGCCAGCCGGCTCTCGGGGGCGGGGCCGGGGGGCGGGGCCCTACTGACCTCTGGAACATGGCGTGGGAAGGAGAGGGTCGGGCCGCGGGGTCGCAGAGCTGTTCGGTCGTCTCCGCGGGTGCCAGGCGGCCCTGCGACGATCCCTTGCGCACTGACCCGACGTCGCCGGCGGCTTGCGGGGCTCGGCGGGCTCACCGCCCGGACTCAGGAGGGTGCGAAGGGAAGCAGAGCTGGCGGGGTCCTCTTAGTCCCTTCTCCGGAACCGAACGCCTCACTGAGCGAAAAGCACAGCGACCTGAAACTAGAAACGCAAGGCCAGGCAGCGGGTCGTCGTGGGGCCGCACCCCTCCAGGCTGCTGTGTGTTTTGGGGCCTCCGAACTGCCCGGACTCCCTGGCCCTTGTTTGAAGAGTTGGCATGAGTCGGGCATATGGAGGGACAGTGCTTGTGATTTGCGGGGCTCTCAGCATCTGCTCTGGGATCCTCTGGAGGCCTGATAGATTTCAGAATCTCAAAGGTTTGGCCGCTGCACTCCCAGCCCCTCAAGTAAAGCAAGGTAGATGAATTATTCAACAACACCGGGCCATTAGCATTTGGGGCCTCACCTCTCTGGGGTCCTTGCCCTTGAGCAACTAAATGCTTTATTAAAGAGAAAATGCATGAGAAAGGTAAGGACAAGGGTGTATTAATTGCCCATCTCCTGGCAGTGCTTTAATTAAAGCCCTTATTGTTGGGATGGAGAGGAATCCATAAGAGGGGAAATTTCCTGATGACCCAGTCTCTAAGTGGAAAATCAAGAGGAAATGAGCCACATCTGTTTGTAGCATTCTGACTAAACCTGTATGACTAGGAAGAGGGAGGGGGAAAAGTCACATGGCTTGTATTAAAAGAGTACACAAAAGGAACTGACATTTTCTTCCCATTAGCTGGCAAAGAACGACAAATGTTCTTTACTCTTTACTCACCAATGTGAGTAAACGTATTTGGAGGGCAACACCCTCAAACTTTGGCGAAAATTTAACTTTTCTGTAGAGTTTTTAAATGGCCATGACTTTTAAAGCACCAGTTGCATTTGGACTTTATCCCAAAGGAATCATCAGAGCTGTGACCAAAGATGCATAATTTTGGAAAAAAATAAATAAATCCTCAGCATCTAGCCAAAGTATAAGGAATTTTTGATAGGTGGCTTTATGGTATGAATGTCTATTCAGCAAGCAGTGTAAAAACAGTATGAGAAACTGTGATATATATGTACGTGGAAAAAGCAGATTCCAAATCAGTATGTGCCTTCTGGCATTCCTTTATTAAAGTAAAAGTAGTATACTGATACACATAAAAAGGGAGTTGGATTATACCAAAATTAACTAATACTTCATAAGATTATGGGTATTTCATTTTCTTTGTGTTTTCTTGTTTTCTATAGTGACCTTATGTTACATTTGTAATCAGATAAGGAAAAAATATTAAATCCAACCTATATTTCAACAGCTACTCTTTTCAAAGAGTTGTACCCATGAAACCTGCATCACACCTAGATAAGGTATGACAGAATGGGAAGGAAATGTAAGCTCTCTGTATAAACTTCAGATTCGTATTCTGGAATTACAAAACTCTCTTATATATGATTAATATTTTGTATCTGAAATGTACTGAAGACATTCTGGAATTGAGTCTTCTGTCCAGATCAAAACATTATTTTTGATTCTGGGTATATGATGTAAAGTTGTGGATTGATATATAAAATAAACACCTTAGTCTTGGATTATAAAAACTTGGGGCGCCTGGGTGGCTCAGTGGGTTAAAGCCTCTGCCTTCGGCTCAGGTCATGATCTCAGGGTCCTGGGATCAAGCCCTGCATCAGGCTCTCTGCTCAGCGGGGAGCCTGCTTCCTCCTCTCTCTCTGCCTGTCTCTCTGCCTACTTGTGATCTCTGTCTGTCAAATAAATAAATAAAATCTTAAAAAAAAAAAAAAACCTTATGTGGAGAACGAAGTAAAAGAAAAAACTAATTAAACGTTCTTATAACTTCCAGCCATCGACAAGTGCTTGGGACAGGCAGGATGACTGTTCGCCAAGATCTCAGCTCCTCGGTGTAATACCTGGGTAGAGGCAAAAGGCCCCCTTAGGTAGCCAGAAGTCCAGGATCCTGTAAGTCTTTTTCAAATATGAAAATTCCTTCAGAAAATTCCTTTATCTCTCCCCCGCCAAGTTAGCAATCATCTTCCAAGTATATGGCTGGTTGATATACATCTGAAAGGTCTCATGACTAAGGTTTTACTAGGCAGTATAAATAACCTTATCCTAACAACAGCTAGCCCTCAAGGTCCTAGAAACCTTTCTTCCAAATTCCTTAGAGACTGATGCTATCCCTAACCAACCCCCACCTTGAAAGTATGTAATCAACCACTCCTCACAATCGCAGCTCAGTGCTTTCTACCCAGGGGTCCTGTCCATGTGCTACCATAAACGGACCTTTTTGAAAAAATTAACATATATATTATTTGTTTCAGGGGTACAGGTCTGTGAATCATCAGTCTTACACAATTCTCACCATAGCACATACCCTCCCCAGTGTCCATCACCCAGCCACCCTGTCCCCTCCCCCATAAAAGGACATTTTTGGCACCAAAGACATCTAAGGAATTATTTTGCAACCTTTCACTCCCAAACCCCAATGTTTCACATCAAAAACCATGCACTGTGATGACACTTAATTGAAGGAGGTATAAAAAGGAGACACTGGAAACTCAAAGAGGGGGAATTACCATTTCTGTTGGTTCTTAGAATTCTAAGAGTGAGAGAAGAGAAGTATTCTGTGGATGAATGTTGAAACTTATTTGTGAAAATAGAATCTATTTTTCTCTGCAACACTCTTGTACAATGGTGTATGTCTGTTACGTCTCAATAAGATGAAAACATTTTCCCATCTATTTCTACCACTAAAAGTTTTTTTGTCATGAGTAAATTAAAAGGTGGCAAAGTATGGCAGGTGTTTGGTTTCCTAGTTACATAAACTAGATTAGAGTCAAGAATTGGGGTTTTACTGGAAATTTCTTTCAATCAGTAAAATCTGTACTGGGGGATCATCAAGACACTCTAAATATAATTGGATAATTTCACATAGATTAATTTATTTTCATTTCCCCAATAAAAGCTCCATTGGAAATTTGGAGCCCTTTTCCGTATTTTTCTGAACAGGCTCCTTGACACAGGGATAGAGTTTTCCTGCTGTAGCTCCAGTGCTAAGACAGTTCTAGGTCTCTCGTAGGTGCATAATAAATGCCTATGAATACTGCATGAAATAAATGGGAGTTGCCGTCAAATGCCTCTAACCTGTCTCTGCCTGTTCTCCTGCAGCATGGATTTACCAAATAAGGGCTGGGAAGATTGTGAGAGATTTTAATAATCTTAGACACTAGGAACATGGTGGGGTTTGCCTCTAAAGGAGGGAGCTACAACTGTCTGCCCAGAAAACGTCCTGTCTCAGGCAGTGTGAGCTGTGATAGGAAGTGGAGCTACTGTCTGTCCCTTAGCCTTGAGATCATTTCAGTGACTTTGTTCAAAGGGAGAGTGTTGACATTGAACATCCTGTAGCCTGGACAAGAATAGAACTCAAGAGCCAAGGCTTTGAGTGAGTTTGGGCAGTAAAGGCTCCTGGTGCCTGCAACTCCCCTAAAGATTTTTGTCACCCCGCCCAAGTGACAAAGAGGAGAGCATGGAAAGTATGCCTGTTTGTCCACCAGGTTTGAAGCTGTGTGCTAGATCTCCTTTAAGGCCTTATGAATGGCACTAGGGTGGAGGGAGGGGTGTGGGGATGTCATTAAACAGAGGCCAACTTGTGTAAAATTAATCTGAATGCCAGATGCTTCTTGGCCTCCTAAATTAGTGTATTTCCATCATGCTTTTCAGAGAAATGGGCCTGTGAGGACTCTCAGAAAAGGCTTTCCACTGTCACAGTGAATTACACACTAGGTTAGCTGTGAAAAGCTGAAAGAGACTGCCTAAACAGAGCAAAGATAAGCCATCTTTTTGATGTTGGCCCTGGGAGCTGTGCCACCTCCGTTTGTACCTGGTGAGCACCTGCCAGACAGTTGACCTTCATATTTAGCTGTTACTGGCAAGAACATTCCAGTGATAAGCCACACCCCACGCAGGGAGGGATTCTGAAACCATGAGGTGCAGAGAGGGCGGCGCTTCTCAGAAGGAAAGCATGTTCATTTTGTTTCCTTTTGGCTTTTGAAGGCTTTAAAAAGTAAATATATTACAAACCATATTCCAGACATAGATTTAGAAGGAAAACAAAAATCTTTTATTCCTATCCCATTATAGTGATGAAAATAGAACATACCATTTAAATGTCATAGACTTTAACTTACACCTCACAATTATGTGTACACAAAAAGGAAATGAGAAACAAAATTAGATTGTTAGCACTAAGAATAATCTTGGAGACCTGCTTCTTGGATGAAAAATGTAAGGCCAGAGGTTAACAGGATTACTCAACAATGCAAATGAAGTTAGACAGGTCAGTATTTTACCCATAGTTCGTAGAAGCAGTATTTCCCATGGATCACTGATGTCACAGGCAAAAAATCTCATGAATTCCTTGAAATTCAATGGCATGGTCATCAGATACTGGTTAATCACAATACTTACTGACCTACTGCATTCTGGGGGGATAAAGGAATTTACATTTTTTTCTTGTGGTAGGGAATTTTAATTCTAAGAAAGGCCAATTCCCATCAGTTAATTTCTAGCCCTTGTTTAAAATGTCCTTTTTCAGAAACTCAAGACCTAATATATTTCCCAAAGTTTCCCCAAGTTTCAGCTAAGCAAAACCATTGAGGATCTTTTCATATATTCATTGGTTACTTGCCTTTCTTTTATTGAAGGCCCGGCTGGATATCCTTTGCCCATTTACAGGGAGGAGAGGTGAGGAGGTTTGGTCTTTTATTTTTTTTTACTCTCTAAATATGCCAGTTACCCTTGTCTATGATATAAGTTATAATTTTTTCCTCCTAGTTTGTCAGTTGACTTCCTTAATGCTGTTTTTCCCCCTTTTTTCTATGATTTTAAAGAAAACTTCCAGTTGATGTCCAGTTCCCTCTTTATATTTATCAAGATAAGTGTGGCACAATACACTTGAAAAGCAAACCAGAATTACACAGTAGTTAGCAGTCGTCCTATGCAAGTCTATTGTTAACTACCCAGAAAGATTCTGGGATCTTCTAGATCGTTAGCATGGCCGATCTGTAAGTGTGTGGACCAGTTACGGACTCCAGGACCACTTATTTAGAGACCTGTACATTAATGTTGCAATTCTTAAATTCAGGGTTTCCTAGTTTATTGGGTGTATTCTGAATCTATACAAAAAGTAAGTCACTTGCTTTATAATAAAATTATCCTTTTATTTAAGTTAGTATGTTTAGACACACAGTACAAATTGCTTTTGAAATAGAGCTTAGGAAATACCCAGATCTCATTGTTTAAGATGTTTCTCTTGAAAACCTCTTCCCCGGATTCATGTAATGCCCTTTTTAAAAAGATTTTATTCATATAAACAGAACTATGCTCACTTCAGCAGCACATATAATACAAAGAAGATACTTTTTTCCTAGTGATAGCAAAAACGGATCTAGCTATATTTTTCTGTTCTAATAGATATTGCTCTACAGAAGAAAAAGTGACTGTTCAGAAAGATATGTGTATAAAGAAGTAAACAAGTAAGAAGAAAGGTTAGCAAAACAAAATATTAACAGTGGTTATCACTGAATAGTATAATTACATGTGACTTATTTGTTTTTCATATCTTCCTCCTGGATTTTGATCCTCTCGTTAATGAGCCCATTCCATAGTATGAACATTTATTTGAAAGTGAGAAAGGGAAATCACAAACGTGTAAACAGAAATCCAAAGTGACGCCGTCTTCCTTTATGTAACTGAGACTATTTATAAACCCTGAGTGCAGTCTTTTCCCCTTACTAGCTGAGGTGTGCATTCAGCAGCGGAGGGCAAGAGGACTGACAGTAATCCAGTCTAAGAGGAGGGAGCTTTTACGGGCTCCTGGGAGCGTGTCAGCATCTTCTTGGGCACATGTTTGGTCTCTGCGAGGTCACGTCTGTCATTGTATGAGTCTCACATCTTACTCTGTTGAATAGGCTCCTTTCCAACAACATTGTGATTCAAGGTATTCCCCAGCTCTGGTACTTTGTCAAGGAAGGGCACTGAAATAACAGGATATTTTTATTCAGGTGACAGCATGGTGACAAGGGAATGGCCCACGAATTTGCTGCTTAAAATGGTGATACTAGCATTACACATAATTCCGAGTTCAGAAGACGTTCTAGGGCCCAAGAAAATACGGCCAAAGTTGAGACACTGAGTAGATAAGAGAGAGATTAATGAAGAAGTTGACCTTTCCTTGCCACCTTTTTTTGCCAAAGGAAAAGTGTTCTCACAGTTGAGCGACTAAATAGAAAGAGCCTCGTTCCAGAAACATAGAGGTCCCTCATAACACACGAAATATTTCTGACTCTCTTTTCTGAGCCAGGCCATGGCAGGGAGAGTAAACAGGAGCTGGTAGTTTGGACGAGGCTCTGCCTCCAGGAGCATGTCCTCCCCCTACTGCAGTCACGATTTGCAGAAGATACCATATAGTCCAAGATGTCCAAACACTTCCCTGGCCATGCTTCAGGCCAGGATGGCTGTCCTCCCACCAGGGGACAGATCCCTGCGGAGGCCCAGCCGCTCACCTGACACCCCCTATTATTACTGCTACCTGATCCCTCAGTGTTCCTCTCTCCACCTCACAAGATTGCCCAACATCATTTGTTACCTGCATCATCTTTGAACATTCTCATGTCCTTTAGCGCACAGCTGTGTCTTTGGAATCTACCTCTTTACCCGTATCACCCTCTCGGCCCTTGCTTCTGGCTTGGGCGCAGGGTACAGATTCTGACTCATTCCTTGTCTACCGTATCTTGCCACAGGTGATCAGCCCTGCTCCTGGAGAACATTATGGCCAAAATCCCAATCTTAAAAAGGAGATTGGAGACAAACTCATTAAAGACTTCCTACCATTTAATTTAAAGTTGATCAGCAGTCAATGTACACAATTTTATGGGTACCTTGATATAAAAGAATGTTCCAGAAAAATTTGAGGATACATGAAAAGTTTGATCAATTTATCTTCAACAATTTACTGTACACTTCTCATTTGATTAAGTCTATACTTAGATTTGGGGGAAATTTAAATGGGAGTCCTTACTCTAAGCTAGTTTAGCATGGCAAAGAAAATGTATACGTACAATACTGGCACATTAAGTGAGCGATCAGTGTTTGAGGACTGAGCGAGTCAATGATTGTAGTAGTGCTAACAGGCAACAATGATAAATGAAATTTTGAATACTGTGGATATAAGTTTACATACAGTTTGTAATGGTGCAAACCAAACTAGGATTTAATATACAGTTAATAAAATCCCAGTGTATAACCTTGTAAAGTATGTGAATAAGCTTAGGATTATTAGCCATTGGATGGAGGTTTTTACATGTAGTTTTTCTATTTATATTTTTCTGGTATTTTCTATTATTTTCCTAAGCACATATTACTATTAAAAGAAAATATTCCGAAAATGGTAGAGATAGTATGTGCTATGAGTTCCAAAGACAGACATTACTTTGCACCAGAACATTTGGGGAGAGCTTCTTGGGTGAGTGAATTCTGAGCTGGGCTAATGCAATTTTGATTGGAAGAAAAATGGTCAAGTGTTTAGATAGGTACCTTGGCAGGACTGAGGAGAAATCAACTGATCTTTAATTAATTTAATTTAATTAAAGTTACTTTGTGTGTTTCTGTTGGTGACAGGTAGCACAGTGGGCTTTGAAACACTTTTGTACAGCTTTTCCTTCAGAGTAAAGGACAAGGAATGCTTCAACCCAAGAGCACAAGGTAAAGCAGCATAATATTCTCTGTCTTATTTTATCTTAAAATCTCCTGCATTGTTTGACTTCTGTTACCATACATATGTTATTTGTGTTAACATAGTGCTCTTTTCCAATGCAACTACTGGAATAACATTAGAAAAAAATTACTCTCCTAGAAGGTCACACCATGTCCTGACTTCTATATCTTGTGGATCTACCAGTTGGGTTTCCCCAGGTATATGCTAATGGTCTTTTGAGAAGAATCAGCTGGATGATCATTAAAGCTTCAAAAAGTTAATTAGCAATTCTGAATTTTTAAAAAGCAATGCCTGTTTCATTTGCTTTCATAAACAGCCATGAAAGACAAGCTATGCAACAAAAGCAAAGTGAGTAAAAGCCCAATAGTAAACAAGGGATTCACACATTCTAATTAGGAGAAAGTTGACCCTACCTTCTGTGTTTGTTTAGAAGATCTGAATTGCGTATATCATGATTAACTATAAAATGCCTCTCCCACCCCTTTACCTTTTTCTGTGGCCACTTCTGTCTTCTGTTGAATTTAAGATTTTTGACATGTTTGTTGCTAAAAAATGGCTGGTTTAGGGGCACCTGGGAGGCTCAGTGGTTTAAGCCTCTGCCTTCTGCTCAGGTCATAATCCCAGAGTCCTGGAATCGAGCCCCACATCCGGCTCTCTGCTCAGCGGGGAGCCTGCTTCTGCCTCTCTATCTCCCTGCCCCTCTGCCTGCTTCTGCCTACTTGTGATTTCCACTCTGTCAAATAAATAAATTAAAAAAAAAATCTTAAAAAAAATCGCTGGTTTAAATTAATGCACACTGATATATATATGGGAAAGAGGACAGAACGGAGATTTATTTAAAAATGTGATACTTTTGCTTTTGTTTTCTAGAAAGGGGCCTAATCCCTTTAATGGGCTTTTGTGCTGGTGTTTCTAACAGTGTCCTAAGAATCTGGATAGGAAGAAATTTTAGGATACTTGGGCATAGCCAGAGTAAGCAAGGACTGGGAAAATTGCTCTGTATGATAAAGAATAGTGGAATTTTGAATTTACAAGAAAACCAAGAGTCAAAATAAGGAACCCTGAGAACATGTTAAAGATTTTAACAAAACAGGTGTCTAATGTGGGAGAGGCCTAGGAAAAGGGTGGCAAGGCAACCAAGGTTTACAAGGGGACCAAGCAGTGAGAAAATCAGATCATATGATATAGTTCAGGGTCTGGAGCTTTTCTTCTTAAGGACCACGTAGTAAATATTTTTGGCTCTGGGTGCTACCTAGTCTCACCATCTGTGGCTTCTACTCAATTCCTCTGTCGCAGAGGGACAAGTAGCTATAAGTAGGCCAACAGTGGGTGAGGCTGTGTTCCAGTAAGCCCTTATTTACAAAAACAGTTACTTTTAGGTTCCATGATTTCTACTATTCAGTTCTACACTGTGTCCCCCTTTGGGTTGTAGCATAATCTCCCTTTTCACCCCAATCCTTCAGCAAACAGCTCAACATTTACTACACAACACCTGTGAGGCCAAGCTGGGGCTCTCAGTTCCTGGAATGCAGGCATGAGGTGTGGTGACAAGCCCCTGTGGGCGGGGGAGGGGCACAGAAGGGAGAGAGCAGTCCTAGGAGGCCAGGTGAGGCAGAGAATTGAGTCAGAGCTGGGAAGCAGGAAATGCAGACTCCACAGGATCCTTAGGTGACCCTGTGCACTTAAGGGGAGTGGGGGACCTGGAGGCACACCCACGTGGCAAATGCTTGGGTTCCACAAGAAAAACAAAAGCTTCCCTCTCAAAGGTTCACGGCACCCCTGCACAAAAATAGAGGAATGCTCTGTTGAAACAGTGCCTGTGCATAGCGCAGATGGCAGTCCTCACCCAACTGCTGGAAACAGCCAGAATCCAACACAACAGCAACCAAGGCATTTCTACTTCCTGAAGTACCTTCTGACACCCCAGCCCCAGGGATCCAGCTAGACCAGCAACCTATGCAGATCTTGTTCTCATTTTTCAGTACTTGAGCTTTCCAAGACATGAGCTCAGGATATACGTGAGGTACCTGCTGTCTTCCTGATTGGTTTGCAGTGTCTGAGGCTTTACACTGTTGTCTTCTTGAGGATGTAAATGGATCATCTCTTTAGGTTTCCCATCTGTATTCTTGCTAATGGGCAGAAGAGGAAAAATAGGAAAATAGCTTAATTATATACATTTCAGTCTTGGAAGAAATTCGTCAGTGGCATTCACTTTGAAATTTAGGGCAGAATTTGCCGAAGTTTCTGAAATCTTTGTGAGATATATAAAAGGAAAACATAACCAAATCCCACCTTTCAAGACTAAGTCAAAACTCGAAGGAGAAAAAGCTATGAAAACCACCCTGTACATTGTGTCAGAAGACTGAATTCTTACAGACAAGTGTCCATGCCTAAAGCAACACTTCCTTCCACAACAGTTCTGACAGGCAAATAACCTTTTACCGCCCGATTGTGACATCGAAGCCTCACAAGGTCAGGGGCCCTGTACAGTGGGTCTGACTCAAAGCTTCCTCTTCTGCTTTAGTGAAGGTAGAAGTTCTGTGTTCTGTCCAATTAACGTCCACAGTTTGGAGAGCAGCAGTCCTTGTCATGAGGCGTAGGAAGACTGACAGTATTTCCAAGGATTTAATCGCTTTGAGATGCCAGTAACGATCACATTTGAAGAACGATAGCTCACATTTTCTTTCTTTTTTTTTTTTTTTAAGATTTTATTTATTTATTTGACAGACCGAAATCACAAACAGGCCGAGAGGCAGGCAGAGGGGCAGGGAGGAAGCAGGCTCCCCGCTGAGCAGAGAGCTGGATGCGGGGCTCCATCCCAGGACCCTGGGATTATGACCTAAACTGAAGGCAGAGGCTTTAACTCACTGAGCCACCCAGGTGCCCCAATAGCTCACATTTTCTGACCTTCATCCTAAGCCAGGCACTGTGTTAAGTGAGCTTGGAACTACTGTCCCTATTTTACAGACAAGGAAAATGAAGTTCAGAGAAGGGAAGTGTCTCCCTGGGGGTTTCATAGCCAGTAGGTGGGAGTGAACACAGCTCTCACTGCTCACTAATCTTGGGATCTCACGTGGTGTGCTGCTCTGCCTCTTCAAGGGCTAAGTAAGCACTTCCCTGGCAGAAATTAAATGAGACATGATGCAATACTGGTACCTTTAGGTTTGGAGTATGTGTTGGTATTAGGGATTTCAGGGTGGAAGCACAAAGAGTTAAGTCACTTGGCCACTTGCCAGTACTTCATTACTCAGTTACTCTTTACCCTTTCTTAGAAATTACAAGGAGGGCATCCCCTGAGACAAAGAGCAAGAGTGAATCAGGAGCCAAAGTTTTCAGAGGGTGAGGAAGGGCAACTTGAGATCCTTGCGTGAGGAAGAGCAGAGGTTTATACCAACAAGTGTTCCAGAGCAGCTTCCAAGGCACAATGACTAAGTGTTTATCTGAGGAATGGCCTAGAAGAGGTCTTGGATGATAGGTGGTACATGGAGTGAGAGAAAATACAACCTTAGAGTATGCTGAATGAATGGCTATCCAATTGAATGATGGTGGTAATGAGGTAACAGAAAATATGTATTGTTTTCTTCTCTCAGTACCTGGCACAGATCTCTGAGACGCTTATATAATTTTAAGTATCACTTGAAAAAAATGTTATTATCTTATATATTTCTTTTAGTGTGAATACTTCTCTGTCTATAATGTACATCAAGGGTCTTCTTTATAATTATGAATTATTACATTTGTTTATGTAGTGGTTTTTGTTTTTTTTTTGAGGTTTTCTTTCATTTCTCTTTGGCTTTTAAGAGGAGACAGGTACAGTCATAGACATTTTCTAGGACAATATGGCTATGCTTACCTTTTTTTGAGCTTTACAATTATCCAATAAGAGCCAATGACAGATGAAAGAAAGAAGATCACGCCAAAGAAAATACCTAGGCAGTAAAACAGGGTCATTGAATGCACAGAAAATATAACCCATCCATTTTAAACTCTAAACATCTAGTCGCACTCGAAGTTGCCAGTGAGTTCTTTAAATGCAAGTATAAATTCTACTTTTAAGAAACACCTCACAATGGGGCGCCTGGGTGGCTCAGAGGGTTAAGCCTCTTCCTTCAGCTTGGGTCATGGTCTCAGGGTCCTGGGATCAAGCCCCACATCAGGCTCTCTGCTCAGCAGGGAGCCTGCTCCCCACTACCCCCCACCTCCCGCCTGCCTCTGCCTACTTGTGATCTCTGTCTGTCAAATAAATAAATAAAATCTAAAAAAAAAAAGAAAAGAAATACCTCACACAGGCTTACCTTTAGGAGTTTCCCTCTACTCCTGGTTTAATCTAGCACATTAGTCTTAGGGTCAGGGTCACTGATAAAGTGTGAGCAGGGCAGTCTGTAACCTTTAGTCTATAGCAGCCTTTCAACAGCTAGGTGACAACAGCCCTGGAGCTCCTGGCCTCGGCGCTGGAGGACCCTGCGCTCCCGCCTTGTGTAAGGCCCAGGGACCAGCTGTCCTCTGCCACAGAGTCTGCCACCAAACCACTTCTCTTAAATGGGCTAAGGAAGTTGGTCTTTGTGGCTTCCAGTTTGTGGGAGTGGGCGTGATACCATCCTGAGGAAACTTCCTGGGTTATAAACCAAAGAGGAAGTAGGGCTCTCCAGCTACGAACAGGAAGGATGATTATTCAGCTGTAACAGTTTAAAGCCAGTATAGAACCTTCCGTCAAGGACACTCACTCTGTATGCCTGTGAGGATACCAGTCTTGCCACACTGTGGCCTGAATTTTGACTTACTTTCCTTCTAACCGAAATTGTAACGTAGGAGACACTGATCTCTCCTTTTAGGTTTCACTCGTGTCAGTACATACTTACTGTTCAGGGTGCGAGAGCTCCTCATCCAGCCCTTCCCAAAACTTACCGACTATGAGAGCGCTTGTGCCTGAGGGGAAGACAAAAGCAGGACAACGTCAGTCTGGCCCACAGCATGGCCAAGAGGAGATCAGTCACTGATGATTCTTCCTGATTTTTTCAGAACACGGTCTGATGTTTTTCTAATGTAAGAAGCCATTGGTTTCCCTCATGTAACTTCATTTTATCTTGTGCACTGAGCAAAGTGTGTTTTTTTTCTTTTTAACTTAAAATTTTATCATAAAACAATTACAGAAGAGAGTTTATAAAACAGTATAAATGAAAAATATCACACAGGATTGTACTACCCTGAAAAATCCTTCACTAGGTAAAACTGTACTAAAATTGTGGTATACATTTTTCTAGCTTCCTAGGCCGACTATGTCTGCCTCACTGATTTTTTCCTACATTCAGCTCCAGAAAGCTGTTTCTGGAAGCTTATGATTTCAGGATGCCTCTAGTAGGTCTTCAGGGACTAGAGAGCCTTAAATTAATCTTACTGTTCTAGGGCTTCTGTCTCTTTCAGCCTGTCAGCTCTAAAAAGAATCGGAAGAATGACAGACGAGGGCGCAAGTCTGGGTGTTTCAGTCAGTTAAGCATCTTCCTTTCATTCAATTCATGATCCCCCAGGGTCCCAGGATTGAGCCTGGTATAGGGCTCCCTGCTCATTGGGGAGTCTGCTTCTCCCTTTGCCCCTCCCACTGCTCCTGCTTCCCCACCACTCTCAAATAAATAAAATCTTAAAAAAAAAAAAAAAAGAAGAAGAAGAGGGTGTAAGTCCTTGGAGTCAGATTGGCTCGGTTAAAAATCAGTTTTAACTACCAAATAGCCATATATTTTCCATGTTCATTGATTTTTCTATATCTCATTTATCCTACCTGTGTATTAGAGATCACAGTACATCTAACTCATAAGAGCATTCATTCCCTAAATATTTATTGAGAACATATGAGCTATTTAATTCTGGGTACTGGGGACACAAGTGAAATAGACAAAGATCCCTGCCCTCATGGAGCTTTTATATATATATATATATGTGCTTAATTATAATCATTAACTTGCTCAAGAGCTCACAGAATTAAAAGAACAAATGTAAAGGACTCAGAGAAGCCTTTGTCATAAAGGAAGCACCAATTGATGGATGGATATTAGTTCTTGTTTACCGCTAGTAATATATATATCTTTTTCTTCATCACAAATGTAATAGTATCCAAATAATACAGAAATATGTGAAGTAAAAATAAGAGTCCCTGTAATTTTTCTCCTGTACTGTTAAGAATTTCGCTTACAACTAGATGTCCATCAACAGATGAATGGATAAAGAAGATGTGGTATATATATATATATATACAATGGAATATTATGCAGAAAAATGAAATCTTTCCATTTGTAATGACGTGGATGGAACTAGAGGGTATTATGCTGAGCGACATAAGTCAATCAGAGAAAGACAATTATCATATGATCTCACTGATATGAGGAATTTGAGAGGCAGGGTGGGGGGTCATGGGCAAAGGGAGGGAAAAATGAAACAAGATAAAACCAGAGAGGGAGACAAACCATAAAAGACTCTTAATTTCAGGAAACAAACTGGGGGTTGCTGGAGTGGAAGGGACCGAGTGGCTGGGTGATGGAAACTGGGGAGGGTATGTGCTATGGTGAACGCCATGAACAGTGAAAGACTAATGAATCACAGACCTGTACCCCTGAAACAAAAAATACATTGTATGTTAATTTAAAAAAAAAAGGATTTAGCTCGTAACTTATTTAGTGGACTTCTCTTCCTAGAACATCTGTGAAATGAAGTTGCAGGATGTAATAAGCCAACAGTTCTGGCTATAATCAGTATTTATTGAGGAAGCATCAAGTGATTCCTTGTCTTTTTTTTTTTTTTAATTTCTTCTTTGCCGGTATTCTCCGGAGAGCAAAATTGCTTTGGCTGAGAACTACTGATTTTTTTTATAATATCCTGAAATGTTCTGGTACATTCCTTTCTGGAACATTTTCCTGTGATCTAAGTTTTTATGTATTTATAACGTCTTTCTCTCTAGCTAATACTTCAACTGTGGAACGAAGTATTCAATATATGTCAGCTTGTATGATCATCGCAACCACCACTTGTATGTTCGTGAGAACACTATTAACCCTTCATTATATTTGCACAGAGATCTCATCTGGCTAATGTCTTCAAATTTACTTTTCCAAGTATGTAAATTCGAAGACAAATTTGTTGACATTTTATGATCTTCTCTATGCTATCAGAAAGCTCAAAACGCTGCCCTTCCTTTAGCTGTTTCATAAATATTCTTATATTTTACCGTAGCTGTTCTATGGTCACTTTTTAAACTTCTCTTTATTCCATCTGGTATTTATTATAAGATAAAAAGAAAGGGTCGGGGCACCTGGGTGGCTCAGTGGGTTAAGGCCTCTGCCTTCGGTTCAGGTCATGATCCCAGGGTCCTGGGAAGGAGTTCTTTGCCCGGGCTCTCTGCTCGGTGGGGAGCCTGCTTCCCCCTCTCTCTCTGCCTGCCTCTCTGCCTACTTGTGATCTCTGTCTGTCATATAAATAAATAAAATCTTAAAAAAAAAATTTCTTCAGTGCTACCTTATAGCATTTGGTCATCTTTTCCTTTCCCATGGTTTGATTTCTGTTACTATGTTTTATCTGCAAGATACATTTATTTTATTAATATTTGCTTGTTCCATTTACTTATGAAAGTAAGTTTATTTTTTGTGCTGGCATAAAGTAATTCAGGTATTGTAGCTTTCTATTTTCTTTTACTATCTGGTATGGTTACTCTTCCAATTATGTGAATTTTCTCTCTCTCGCAGACACATCTTCAGAATTCTCTAAAGGCATCCAGTTGGTTCAACAGTGAGATTTTTGCCAAAGAAGTAAATATAATTTGACATTAAGGGAGTGTCAAATTTATAATTTGGAAATATTATGTGAGTCAGCTTAGTTAACATGTTTAAGGGATTAACTATAAAAAATAGATCTTGAACAATCTTAGCATTCAATCATGTATTATAACAAAGAGTTGTAAGAGTTGTGGAGGGCAGCTTCGCATTAATTTTGATTAAAGATGATTATACACTGTTAATTTTGCTCAATAGCATCTTGATGTGTACAAATTTAGGATTTAGGGTTTTCTATCTTATATCACTCTCTAGTTGTTAGCAGAGGGGTACTCTTCTACTGAGCTCAATGATACATGATTTCTTTTTTTTTAAATTCATTTTTTAAAATTTGAATTAAATTTAGTTAGCATATAGTGTGTTCTTAGCTTCAGGGGTAGAGTTTAGGGATTCATCAGTTCTATACAACACCCAGTGATCATTACACCAGGTGCCTTCCTTAATGCCCATCACCCAGTTACCCCATCCCCCCACCTGCCTCCCCTCCAGCAACCCTCAATTTGTTCCCTATAGTTAAGAGTTTCTTATTGGCCTCCCTCTCCATTTTTAACTTATTTTATTTTTTTTCTCTTCCGCTCTGTTCATCTGTTTTGTTCTTCAATGAATAAAGAAGATGTGGTATACACACACACACACAAAATGGATTATCACTCAGCTGTCAAAAGAATGAAATCTTGCCATTTGCAATGACGTGGATGGAACTTTAGGTATTATGCTAAAAGAAATAAATCAGTCAAAGAAAGACAAATACCATATGATTTCACTCATATGTGCAATTTAAGATACATGATTTCTAAATCTGCTCTATCCAGCGTACCAGCTTAAAATCCTGTATACCAGTGAGGGAGACCAACCATCTTATCTCTGCACCTTGGAAAGTGCTCTCTCACTCATGTTGAAATATTCTTGAAGGCCTGCACTACCATTGATGTGCTCCTGACTTTTAAGGCCCCAAGGCTATGAACAAATCATTACTGTGCCATGCAATCAACAATAGAGTAATATAGACAAAAAAGGTTCAGAGGGGTTCCTGAGGAGAGATGGATGGGTTGAGCAGTGTGAGAAGAGTGAGGCTTGCCTTACTTTCATTGCAAGGGTTTTCTGGGAAGAATTAGGAGCTCCTGTCGTACTCCTTAGCTCTTAGCAGGTGTTATAAACATCACACCACATTCAGTGACAGTATTGCAGAATGAATGAATAATAACCATGACTAAGGAAGGACCTACATTTCTTGCAGCTCCATTTACTAGATGTGCATATGGCAAGAGGAGGGTTCCATGTGTCTTCTGCCTGGCATTGGCTCTGGGGACTGCCTTCCAGAGTATACCCATCCTCACACTCGAAAGTTATATTATCTCCATAGTGATACACTTTTCTCATTTCCAGCTCCTTCCGGATTCCATTCATAAACTCTGGGATGATACATTTTACCTCTGAAATTAGAAAAATCAGAAGGAAATTGACATTTTATTGTTAATTGTTAATTGAAACCGACATAGTGGAGAGATCTATGACCCCAAACTGCTTTGCCTTCAGCAAAGATGTCATGTTTTCGATCAGGAACTGTTGACACCCACCCAATATCTTAGGATTTTAAATTCTCTGACTTTCATTTCTTGGGTAAAGTAAGAGAATATGGAATGTGTTATGCATCCACTTTTAATTATTGATACCTCTGCAACTGGGGAAAGATTGGGAGATATGATCACCATCTTCTAACACTGGATCCACTTTGGTCACCCCATAAGGAAACAGGAATATCACATTAACTCTCTCTAGGTATACAGTACATACTCGTATTTTGCTTCTTGATTTAATGCATGTTTCTGGCTCATATCTATGCATAGAACAAAGAAGCTAGTAAATCATGATTCTAAATTCAAAACATAATTTTTCTACTTTATTTTACCTTATTTAGCTTATTCTTTGTTTTGCTTTTTTTTTCTGCCCAGCTATCGATACCTTCTTCAGCTTTAAGCAAAGCCTGCTTTTTAGTTGTAATTATTCAAACATGAGGCTAAATTATTATTTTCTGTATAGGAACCAACAAGATAAAGTGGTATTTCCCAAAGTATGGTCTGTGGTCTTCCTACTTCAGAATATACTGATGGGTTTGTTAAAAGTAGTCCAAACTCCAGTTCAAAATGTCAGAATCAGAGTTCTTAGGAATGACGCTTGAGATCCTAATCTTACAAGGTTCTTGGCTGATTTTGCTCATGCTAAAGACCTAGAATGATTGCTATAAAGCACGTTCAAAGAGGACAGTTATTAAGACAAAATGAATTTTACTTGAAAGCAGCTGCCAAGAGAATAGAATATTACCCTTTTATTTTCAGGAGAAGAACCTTCCTAGAGTCTTGATTTGAATACTTAATCTTTGAAGTATTCCCTGACCCTCCCTATTTCTCCAGGCGACTAAAGCAAGGAGGGGTAAGCGTTCGGATTTCTGCAGAGACACAGGGACTCCACAGTATATGCACTCCATTCTTGTAAATAAATACAGGAGGGCCATTTACACCTCTGTAGAGGACCTCATTTTCTTTCTCTAAAATCAGAGTGTGGCTAGCCAAGGACTTCTGAGACTTTTCGGTTGCGGAGCGCCCTCTGGCCCTATAACCACCATGGCAGCCATAGGACTAACTGCTCCTTTACATTTGAAACACAGGCATGCCTGAAATCCCTCCTACCTCATTCCTGCTCTTAGTTTTCTAAAAAGAAAAGAAGGGGGACAAAAAGCAAATTGCTAACTTACTGCTGTGCAAAGTCAAAAGAACCACATTTGAAAGGAGACAGAACACAGTGCAGTGTTTAAAAGCATGGGTGGGGGGCACCTGGGTGGCTCAGTGGGTTAAAGCCTCTATGTTCGGCTCAGGTCATGATCCCAGGGTCCTGGAATCGAGCCCCGCATAGGGCTCATAGGGCTCTCTGTTCGGCAGGTTGCCTGCCTCCCCCTCTCTCTGTTCCTGCCTCTCTGCCTACCTGTGATGTCTGTCAGATAAATAAATAAAATCTTTAAAAATAAATAAATAAATAAATAAATAAATTAAAAGCATGGGTGGGGCAGTGGCCCAACGCAGGCACCACCACCCACGAGCTGCATACCATGGACTAGTTACTGGGTCTCTCTCTCAATTTCCTCTTCTGTAGAATAGCAAGAATAATCCCAACTCATCAGACTCCTTGAGAGATTAACACAAATAATTTTTATTAAAGACCTCAGTACCATGCTTAGTCACAGAATATTTTTAATCCCAAATTTTGTAGTTTTTAAGAATATTAACAACAAAAGATTTTAAGTCTATGCAAACACAGACAGGAATAAAGGCAGTAATTCCTGGCACTTGTTCTAGGGAAGAGATGAAATAAGCACTTCACCTTTGGTCTTGGAAGTTATAATAAGGACCCATATTCAGTAATTGCAGGAATTAATTGCTCTCAACCTTGCTCCATGCTTCAATTTTCCTTACAAAAAAAAGTGTACTTCTAGTCTCTTATTTAAGGTATTGGTGAGGACCACTTGTGACTCTCTGAGATCCTTCAGAGCTAAGATACATTATTCGTTAAAAGCCCACAAATCATTTTATTTATTTATTTATTTATTTTTTTATTTTTTTATTTATTTGACAGACAGATCACAAGTAGGCAGAGAGGCAGGCAGAGAGAGAGAGGAGGAGGAGGCAGGCTCCCTGCTGAGCAGAGAGCCCGATGCGGGACTCGATCCCAGGACCCTGGGATCACGACCCAAGCCGAAGGCAGAGGCTTTAACCACTGAGCCACCCAGGCGCCCCCCACAAATCATTTTAAATTGGTGTTTGATGTCTACTGTATTACTGGAAATTCCATCAGTTCGTTCTACTACTTTGGTAGAACTAAGAGTCCTTGGGTAGCCTCCTTCTCATCTTTTTTCCCCCCATTTTTCTCCCCCCTCTATTGACACTCATTTCACAATCTTCTCAGAAAGATCTCTCAGTCTTATCAGCCCCGTGCATCCATTTTCCATTAAAAAACCCAACAAGAATAATAAATACCTTTGCAAAAATGATCAAATTGGTTCCAGGTTCCCTGGTTTGTGCAGAATATGAAGGCTCTTCCCACCAACAAGTAGCCTGGGTCACAAGTGTAGTTGACAGTCATTCCCGGAAGATATGGAGATGCAGGTCTTTCAAGGTAATATCCATTGTGGATCTTGGGCAGATGGGGGCATTCTAAGAACAAGATCCCCCCAAAACACAAGAAAAGACATTCACTGAAACAAAGAAGTACAAATACGCCAACATATCTAATAGCATGTTTGACTCTTAGAGACACAGGAAGACCCAAAGCAGGCACTACTTATTTCCCAATCAGTGGGAAAACTGATTCTTTAAATGTAGACCTTCAGCCTGTAAACAGGACCACCTGTATTCTCTTCCTGCAAACTGCATCAGATGGGAGTACCACCGGGATCTACAAAGGACCACTTTGGTGCTACCTGTCCTCACTGGTGCACAGAGCTGTTTCAAAGACCAGGACAGCCACGAATGAGCCCCGGATTGTACAGATATTGTCATTTAATACCAGACTAATACATAAAAGGAGGGAGCTGCCAAGAGCACAACCTTGAACTCCACTTTTCTAGGACGTCTTGAGTGCCTGTTGCTAAACATGAGACGAAGGGTCAACAAAATGCAGTCACAGGCTGAGCAGAACGCTTAGAAGGAACAAAAGCAATACAAATGCCTGCCTTGGAGTTTCTTTAGTCATTTCCATCAAATCTAAAGTAAAATACAGCCATCAACATGTGCTTTTGCTCAGCACACCCATCTATCCAATAGAAATACAGCTGGGTTTTTGTGTGTGTTTTTTTGTTTGTTTGTTTGTTCGTTTGTTCGTTTGTTTTTTTAAAGTAGGCTCCATGCCCATTAGGGAGCTCAATGTGGGGCTGAACCCACAACCCTGAGATCCAGACCTGAAGTCAAGAATTGGCCGCTCCACCAACTGAGTGATGCAGGAGCTCCGAAATACAACTTGTAATAGAGATGGTACGACAGTGTTTTCTTTGGCATTTGCTTTTAGTGCTTGAAAATAGTCTCTGTGAAGTCTGGGCCTCACTGATTCTTCCCATTGTTTCCCTCCTTCTCTTGTCACTATCCCACACTCCTCACCCCAGCAGGAAGGGCCATGAGAGGACCAGCAATTGGGACACAGCAAGGCACATCTAGAACACACCTGTCATTCTCCCAGTAGGTAATTCTGTGTGCCTTACAAGAAAGCCACATTCCCAAGCCAAAATGACTGTCCCCATAGAAATAGGGAGGTTCTCACCTAGATATTCTGATCTAGATGGGACATAGGGAAATATGTATGCACTGACCTGTAGAACCAGCAAGTTTGCAGCGAGGGGCAGGGCCGCTCCAAATCCCGTTCCCTTCATCGTCACTTGTGCAGCGGAGGGTGCTCTCCCCGATGAGGTTGAAGGTCATCCCTCTGGCTGGGTGGTGGTCACATGTGTAAGTAATTTCCTTTCCATAGGGAATGTCTCCCTGAGAAGGTCCGGTGTGCTGCCCATTAAGGATAGAGGGAGGATTTGGACAAAAGATTTCTGGAAAGAAAGCAAGAGCTTTAGTTTCCATTAGCATTTCAATCAGCATGATCCTACCTCCATGATACCCTGGGACTGTATTTTTGCAGTGGGAACACAACTACAGTGGGTGGATTTAAATATGTAAGACTTTTTCTTTCGGAGAAGTAACTAACTGAAGTGAGTCTTTAATTTCACTTTATTGTAAAAGTCCAAGACCCTCCAGGTAGCTAAGATTCGATTGGAAAGGTAACGAATTTGTTTTTTAGCAACTGTTGTTTGCCTGCTTGATGTCTGGCATAAAGACAGTCCTGGGTTGACACTGGGGGTATAAGACAGATGAGGTTGGCCCTCAAAGATCTGAAGTTGCGAAGAAATCTTAGTGAATCTTTATTAAACATAGACTACCGTTCTCAGCAGATGTAAGTGTTTCTTGATGATTCATGACCATTATCATCTGTATCGATACCAAATACACAATAGCATATACACTGATTCCTATTGGGCTCTTCAGAGCCAGATTAAGTGGCTCTAGGAGTATTTTCTTTTGTGTTTTTCTTTCTTCCAATTGACCGGCTGTCATTTCTTTCTGCTTTTAGTCTGTTTCTAGCAGTTCTCTCCCTAAAACTAATTTGATGCTTTGAATCTGATATGAATTTAGGAATAGATACCCAAGCCTGTCAGAATTGTGTGAATAAACAAAGTGAAGGCGTCATACAACGAACAGTGATTGACTTCTCATATCTCGATTTTATCTGTTTGTATTTATCGAAAGCTTACTTATGTATTTACCTTCAGATTTATATGTCTCAGGAAGGTAGAGTTTTTTGATATCTGAGTTTTATTCAGGTTGGATGTTCTTATAAAGTTCCATCACAATCCCATAAGATGTCCTAATAGTTTTCTAGCAAGATATTTTAACAGAAACCAGATTAAAAGGGTGATTCACAACTGAATGAAGGTGGTTCTGTACATTACATTTCCATGCACCTGTGCTTCAAAAAGTAAGTAGATAGAATCTTGGAGGCTGCTGAGGATCCAAGGGAGTTGGAATCCAAGGCTGGGGCGGGGGAATTGCCCTACCCACATTTGCTGCAACTGAGGAAGAAGCAAAACTGGAGAGAGCCAAACATGGTGGACACGCACCAGAGAGAGAGAGAATTTGCAGAGGGCCAGCCAGCCTGATGGGAGAAGCAAGCGCCCATCCAGGCAGGGCAGAGAGGAGTTTGGAGGCAGAGGAGAAGGAGGATCTTGAGGAACCAGCTCCCTCTTCAGGGCCAGAGACTGCCCTCACAGAGGAGGTAGAAAGCAAAAGTGCTGAGTGATTGACCGAACCCATTTTTCTCCAGGCGCACAGATTTCTGAGAAGGGACCTCTGCAACTCTGGAGGCAGGGGTGAGGTGGGGTGGGGTGGGGCGGGGTGGGGGGTAGACAAGAATAACAAAGGTCATTGAAGGAACCTCTTCCCTGGCCATCAGCTTTGGGATTTCAGCAGGGGGTTTGCCCTCAGACCTCTGGCAGTATCCCAGCTTGAGGATTCTGCCACTGTTGGGTTGGGTTGTGGGCACCCACAAAGCAACAGGTGCTAAAACCACACCTTACCCAACTCTGCCATCAGCTTTTTCTACACCAGCTTTTTTTTTCTTTTTAAGGTTTTATTTATTCATTTAACAGAGAGGGAGAGTACAAAGCAGGGAGAGCAGCAGGCAGAGTGGGAGGGAGAAGCAAGCTCTCTGCTGAGCCAGGAGCCAGATGTGGGACTCGATCCTAGGACCGTAGGATCACGATCTGAGCCGAAAGTAGCCGCTTAACAAACTGAGCCACCCAGGAGTCCCTACACCAGCTTTTTAAAACCAATGCTCCCCAGTGCAGCCTGGAGCCAACGCAGGTAAAGAGAAACCAAAAACTTGAGGTTTAGCGCCCCCTTCTGGAAATCAAAGGAGTGGCTTCTAATTGCAAGTACGTTGAACTGCCTTAAACAATTAAAGGTATGTGTTACTTTAAATGGGATGGCAGAGAGACATTTTGTCAAACGCTATGAAAAATCACAGGAACATGGTATGGCAAAGAGGAAAGGGTCGTTCTCCAGTGATCGATCGCAAAGGCATGGAATGTTGCAATCTAAGTGATTAAGAATTCGAAACAGCTGTTAGGAAGAGATTCTGTCGTGAGCTACAAGAAAACTCTGAAAGTCAATTCAGTGAACTCAGGAATAAAATTAATGAACAGAAAGAGTTATTTACCAAGATGTGGTGTGTGTGTGTGTGTGTGTGTGTGTGTGTGTGAATATTATACAGCCATCAAAAAGAATGAAATGTTTTCATTTGGAACCATGTGGATGGAGCTAGAGTGTATCATACTAAATGGAATAAGTCAATCAGAGAAAGACAAATACCATATGATTTCATTCATATGTGGAATTTAAGAAACAAAACATGAACATATGGTGTGGGAAACAAACAACAAAGGAGGTGGAAGGAGACAAACCATAAGAAACACTTAAAAAAAAAAAGATTTTATTTATTTGAGAGAGAGAGTGAGAAAGAGCATGAGGTGGGGGGAGAGGGAGAGACAGACTCCCTGCTGAGCAGGGAACCTGATGCAGGCCTCAATCCCAGAACCCTGGGAACGTGACCTGAGCCAAAGGCAGATGCTTAACCAGCTGAACCCATAAGACAGACACTCTTTAAGGATAGAGAACAAACAGGATTGATGGAGGGAGGTGGGTGGGGATGGGATACATGGGTGATGGGTATGAAGGAGGGCACTTGTTATGATGAGCACTGGATTTGTATATAAATGATAAATCACTGGATTCTACTCCTGAAACCAATATTGCACTGTATGTTAACTAAATAGAATTTAAATAAAACTTTGAAAAAAAAGGAAGAGTTCTTTATCAAAGAGATTGAAGTTTTTAAAAAGAACCTGATAGAACTAAACCACCCTTTTATTTATGCACACTAAAATTTTCTATTTCTCTGAAACAAATAAACAAACCAACAAACCAGACAGAAATTCTGGAGATGACAAATTCAATGAATCAGATGAAGATTAGATTAGAAAGTATTGGAAATAGAACAGATCAGATTTAGAACAGATTAGTGACCTGGAGGATAGAAATTTAGAGATAACTCAGAATAGAGAGGACTAAGATTTTTAAAAAGTGATGAAACCCTATGAGAGGTATTAGATATGAGAAAAACAAATATAAAAACAATTGGTCTACCAGAAGAGAGGAGAGCAAGAATTATCTTTAGAAAAATAGTAGCTGAGAACTTCCATATCATGGGGAAGGAATTAAACATACAAATCCAAGAAACTAATAGAGTACCCTATTATCTCATTGCAAAAAGGCCCTCCCCAGAATATCTTGTAATGAAGCTGCCAAAAATCAATGATCAAGAAAGAATCTTTAAAGCAACCAAGGGTAAAAGAAAAAAAGTAGCCTACAAAGGAAGCCCCGTTAGGTTACCAGTATATTTCTCAGAAGAAACTCTATAGAACAGGAGTGAGGAATGATATATTCAAAGTGGCGAAAGAAAAACGGTCAGCCAACGTATGTTTTCTAGCAAAATTAGCCTTCAGATATGAAGGAGAAATAAAGGCTTTCCCAGAAAAAAACTGAGGGGGGGGGTCACCACCACCAGACCTGCCTTACAAGAAATGTTGAAAGAATGTCTTCAGCTGAAATGAAAAGACATCAGTGAGTGACATAACAGCAAGTGAAAGTACATAGTACTCTAGCAAAGGTGAAAAATAAAACAGAAAACCATAACTCTATTGGAATGGCATGTTAACCACCTAATTATAATATAAAAACTTACAGAAAAGAACATTCATTAGAACTGTATCTACTATAATTTCTCAATGAATATACAACATGAAAAGAGGTAAACTAATAACAAAAATATAAAAAGCTTAATAGGTGAAGGAAGATAAGGTGTTATCAGCTCTGAAGCCTGCGAGGTCTGGAAGCCTGGGTAATCCAGGTTCATCTAGGAGAAGCCACGCTTCTCAGAGAACGTTTCAGAAAAGGTGACATGGAATGGGTGTTTTGCAGACTTCTAAGAGACCTTCAGAGAATACATGACTTGCAGAGAAAACATGGAGAGGACAAACAGAGTGCTAAGAATAAGTCAGCAGGATGCACTTAAACTTAACAAGGCTCCGGAGCAGCTGGTTTGGCCCCATGCTTTCATGGATGTAAGCCAGGTCCCTTTGCCCACTTTGAGCCAAAGTTGAAAAGGTTCTTGTGGCTCTTCTTGTGATGATTCACCATTTACTCTAAAAATGCCACTGTAGGACAGTCCATTTTGCATATTCAGTACACAAGCGATGTTTCCTGGAAGCCCAGGCCATGGCTAGAGGAGCACTGGTACCACCTGTTTTGAAACCACCCTTTGGTGTCATTTGGGAAAGCGAGGCAGTGTGTGAATATTGTGGTTGGACTTTTGAAATTACGTTGGCTGATTAATATCCTGATTTTCCTTCAGAGGGGCAAGTTTGCAACTTTGACAGAATGTTCGGCATTCATTCTGTATGTCCCAAGCCCTGAAACAAAATGCGAAGTTAGGCTGTGGGTATATGACCAGGGAAATTCTCTGGTGTGGTTTTGCTGAGTTTTGGGTTTTTCTCTCTTACCATTTATTAATATCCAGAAGTTGAAAGCTAAGTGATCTTCATAGTGTATTCCTCTTACTGGTGCTCCTAACAGTGACTATACATTAGCCACCAGTGGCAGTGGGCAACGTTCTATGTGTGGAGAGTGCCTCCTGCCCATGCCTCACAACATAAGTGAGCATATCTTCTGTTTTGCTGTGTGAAGAGCAGTTTCTTCTTTCACAGGTATTTTTCTTGTCCTAAGTGTGGCGCAGATGTATGTAGTCTGCAGCCACTGAAATCAGGAATGGAGATGTCAGAAGTGAATGCTCTTTAGAAACTAAGATTATTTCCTCTGAGAAAAAGTTTTATGTTCAAATCCTTAATATTCGTCATCCTAAGCAAACTGTTTAGGTGTC